TTGTACAGCCCACTCCCTAGCCCTAGCGCGCCGAGCTTCCTGATCAACCTCCTCCAACCGTACATTATGGGTCTGAGGCGAATCCAGGGTCGTAGCAGAACTCTCACCGACCTTTGATGGAGATGTTCCCTCACTCTCTGACTCTTCTTCGCCACCTTCGTCATCACTATCTCCATACGCAGCAAGTCCTCCCAGACCTACGTTCCCTGAAGTTCGCAGCGATTGAGCTGATTGGTCGACTTTTTCTTGTCTGAGCCTCTCCTTGGTCGTGCGCCATGCTCGTGACCACCGTCCCCTTAAGAATGCAAATCTCTTATCTGCACCGTGGTTTGCAAGAATGCGCATCTCCAGTTGTGCAGGATTAGGAGACGATAGAAGGTGTAGCGCTGTTCTTTTCATAAGCGCTGACTGGACATCATCAGGCTAGCACAGAAATTGTCGTCGTCTAATGTCACCCTTACGACAAGTACTAGGGAACGATCTCTTACCTCCTCATCGCTACCTCCCCAAAGATCCAACTGTTCGTTTTCATCGGTCTCGGCAAGAGCTCTCAGACGGTCCTCTCTGTTTTGGTCAATGAGACGCCTACGTTTCTCGCGCCGGTAATCTTCAATCTCATATGGTGTGAAGAAGAATGTATCTTCAGTGTCAGATGGCAGGTCTGACCATCCGGCTGGAGACAGAGACCTTGGCTGAGAGGTACTCAGACTTGTATGCTCTGGGAAGGCATCAAGCAAAAGACGAGCATCATATCTAAGCGGGTTTTGTATCAGACTGTGGAACAGAGGATAACGATGGGACCATATCTTCCAATCCGAAGCGGATAGAGCGTAGATCCGACGGATCCACTGAGTACTCAGATAGACATTGCATGCGCAGAGTATATAATTGCCACTTGTATTTTTTTGGGGGGCGACTCGCCATAACTTAGCAATAACCGTACTACTAGGGAAACCCACCTGTCCACCCAAGTAACCTTGTCGTCCGATGCTTCGGGGAAAGAAGAATCCGAGTTGAGAAGTTGAAAATGTCTTGTGCTAGCACCCCATTGTATGAGAGCGTTACCGATTTGAGGGTCGCTTGGATGGACACCCAAAGTTGGAAGGTGCGGCGCCTCAAGAGAAAGTGCTGTTGAAAGAGACTGCGGGCCACGTATGATAGTAGCCTCGTATGCTTGAATCGACAAAATGAAAGGATCTGGTGTAATTATCGTCGCCGGAGTTACGAGGTTGGCCGATGGTGCAACCTTGCGGTACTTGCGTTTATGGGACATTCCAAGCACCTCCAGTATGTTGATTGAATAGAGCTCTCAAGGGTAAAGTGGAGCCAAGTTGTACACGGCGTGAGAACCAGAAAATGTCAACAGCGCCATTTCAAATTTCAGTACTAACCCCACCTCAATACTGTTCATCGTTGACGGTCGTGTCAAATTTCAAAGGGGCCGTACAAATCGATGGATGAAAACTTACTGACACAGTCTCCTGCTAGCAGATGTGATTCCGCCTTTCAAATATATTGTTTTATTTCATCTTTTGACGGCCGGTGTATGCGTTCAGTAGACAGCACTTTCCGCAGGTTGTTGACCCGCCGTTCCCGGCTTCCCATGCATAAGAGACACCATCCAGTCGCGACGAACTGATCTCTTTACTGCCGGTTTAGGGACTCAGACTCCTAAATATGGTGAGTCGCATGCGCTACATCCTTCATTTTTAACTTCTCCCCCCTCCTTCAGATACCTTTTTAGTGGTACATCCACCGTTCGGACGTCTAGGCATACTAATTAGGGCATTGGGGTAGAATCTGCCCAGCAGCGCAAGTTCTACTTGTGTTGACCTGATATATTCGGATGCTGAGAAGTCAGAGCGAGTCCCGCATGGGAGGATCTCGGTGCCTCGATCGAGGCCAGCCGCCAGTTATGACCACACTCATCTTTTTCACTTCCAGGAGATGTCCACCTATTGAGTATCATGTAAGTAATCGTTCATTCTGCGTCATGCCCTTGCGGTACCTCATGTCCCTTCCGGGAGCTCTGACAAGCTCTCAGGGTTCTATTCTGACTATTTGGCTTTCTGACCTTACAGGAACCACATATGTTATCCTCATCGTCAGAAGCTGCTGACCCACTATTTTCGTCACACTCATGAGATAGCTCATCACGCGCACTAGGGGTATCTCGAGGTTTTGATTCTGGTTGGGACTTTTACATCTATATCTGCAAGTATAAATTGCGGCGGATTATGTTGGACAGGTAGCTGCTTCGTTACACAAGTAAAAACCCTCGTTCCCCTTTCATATCTCGCACCTCATAATGCATCTCTCCCTTACCCTGACGGCTGCGATGGCAGCATTCGCATGCTTCGGAGAGGTCGCCTCCATGCCCCTTGAGGAGACGCTGAGAAGCCTGACTCCGAAAGCAAGGAATGTTTTGAAGCGTGCTACCCCAGTAGCCCCCTATTTCGTTTTATACAGTGATGCGTACGTTTCCACTGAACCAACGGTGTCAGAAATTTCGGTAAGCTTTCCCTTCCTCTCCTTGCGATCGATACACTAATCGTGAACTGGTACAAACATCAGGGCTTCAATGTGTTTGCATTGTCTTTCCTCTTGGAATCTGGTGCAGCGGATCAAGCTGAGGAATGGGAAGAGCTTACCGCAGCTCAACGTTCTTCGATTCTCTCTGAGTATGATGCCGCAGGTATCTCACTCATCGTGTCCCTTTTTGGGTCCACTGATACCCCCACTTCATCGGAATACGACCCCATCGATACTGCAAATACCATGGCAGCTTGGGTCATCGAATATGGCCTGCAGGGTGTAGACATCGACTATGAAGTATGTTGCATGATGTCTGATAATGTTTGACGAAACTGATTTTTCTTAGGATTTTGCTGCATTTGACGCTGGCACTGGCGCTGCTGAGCAGTGGCTCGGTAATTTCACCACCCAGCTCCGCACCCAGCTTCCGCAGGGCCAATATATATTGACTCATGCTCGTGAGTGAGATATTCAGAAATTAACATCATCACGCTAAACTGATTCGCACAGCTGTTGCACCTTGGTGAATATATAGTGGCCAATTTGATCCCTACTGACTGAAATCAAAAGGTTTACTCCTGATAGATGGGGTGGAGGAGGATACCTCTGGGTAAACTCTATGGTCGGGGATATGATTGATTGGTACAATGTGCAGGTGCGGACGACGTCCTATCATTTCTAATTTCTTGTTCTGATTTTCTGTCATCGCAGTTTTACAACCGTGAGTCTCTTTGAAGCGTTCTCTTTGACTCTAGTAACAACAAACAGAGGGCACGACGGAGTACACGACTTGCGATGGCCTCCTGTACAACTCCTCGACTGCTTGGCCACAATCTGCACTCTTCCAAATCGCTGATAGTGGTGTTCCTCTGGACAAGCTTGTGATCGGCAAGCCTGCTACTGCAGCACAAGCCAGCAACGGGTACGTGGACCCAACTCTCTTGGCATCATGTGTTTCATCGGCCTATGCTTCTGGATGGAGTAAGTCTGTCCCATTTAGCTAGTTTTCCCTCTCTGATCATCACGGGGAATTCTAGATGGTGGTGTCATGGTTTGGGAAGTACGTGAGAATCTGAGCGATTCGCAAGGTTTCTGAGCATGCCGATATTAGTATCCTTACGCTGAATCTTCATGGATCGCGACTGTGCGCGGGGACACCTGGCCAATGCCATCCACCACTGCGACACCGACGAGTACTGGTACCACAACGGCGACACCGACACCGACAGGCACCGGTAATTGCGCAGGTGTTGCTGCATGGACTGCTGATGCGGTCGTGAGTAGATTTCTATTTTTTTTTCATCCATTCAGTACTGAACCTTTACAGTATACCGGAGGTTCTGAAGCAACCTACGGGTGCGTATATTCTGAATTGCTCTCCTCCATCCACTAACCCAAAATCTAGTGGGTACCTGTGGACTGCAAGCTGGTGGACGGAGGGTGACACCCCTGGAGGTAATTTGAACTCAACTCTTCCAGAAAAAAACCTGACAGTCCTACAACAGGTACCGCGGATGTCTGGGTCAACGACGGAGCTTGCACCTCTACAAGCAGTAGTACACTGACGAGCACCAGTACTACACTGACGAGTACTAGTACCACACCGACGAGCACCAGCACTACAACGACGAGCACTAGCGCGACGACGACATCGACAGGCACCGGTACTTGTACAGGTGTTGCTGCATGGACAACTGGTGTGGCCGTTAGTAGATTTCTTTTTTTTCTTCCGCTCAAGACTAAAGCTCTATACAGTATACCGGAGGTTCTGAAGTGACCTACGAGTGCGTATTTTTTGATTTGTTCTTGTCCATCTACTAACACATAGCTTAGTGGGTACCTGTGGACCGCGAGCTACTGGTCGGAGAGTGACACCCCTGGAGGTGATTTGAACTCATTTTTTCTAGAAATTTTCTTAACAGTCCCACAACAGGTACCTCGGGTGTCTGGATCAATGACGGAGCTTGCACCTCCACAGCCACCGCCGCAGCTAAGCGTAGGGCTCTCCCACCCCCCATCGTCACAGCGCCTGCTTTGTAAAGGCATTGATGGGTACCACTCCACCCTGCTCACCTGATGCAGCGGGGGTCCCGCGATATGTACCTTAATAGATATGACGACAGCGACGTATTATTATTGTGTTCTTGTACTGTTTTTACTTGCAAATTATGACGTAGTGTCTTGCGATACTCGCTATACTTATGATGATTATTTTGTTGGGCCTGTAAGGCTGGATTCGAGTACGAAGGGGAATGTGAACAGAGATGGGTTAGATATGAGACGAGTGCAAAGATAAATTAGATAATCGAGACGAGTAAGAGAAGGCTTGAGACGGAGACTTTCTGCGAGGTTTCTGAGGTACTTGGAGCAGGGAACTGAGTATAATTCGCTGCTGATATCAATGTACATGGGCTGTATATAACCGCGAAACGGTAAGGGCCATCGGGTACAACTAGATCAAACAAAATCCTGGCCAGCTCAGGCTCGGGGGGTCCAGCTGCCAGGCCCATACAACATGGACCTAAGCCAGACGTGTGGTGCACACTTTGTGACTATGATGGTAGTTTGGGTTGACCTGTTGAAGGAACTCGACATTGTTTCAAATGCCTCTGAAATAAATTATATAGTACATGCAGTCTCCTACGCTAATCCGCACTCCTTCTCAACGTCTGCAAGAACTTGAGCCCATTTCCCCCCATTCCAAGAACTGATCCTGACCCACTCGTTATCCTTTAGAACTCGTTTGAACCACAGCAAATAACAAGCTACGATGATGTCTGTATACGAAAAAGTGTCACCCATGAACCACTTCCCGTCTGTCTTCTGGTACCATTCGTACATAGTATTGTGTCCCTTCTCTAGTAGGGCCCAGTCTTCATCGTAGGTCGCATCCCAAGGCAGCGGGACGTCTATCGAACGAACTTTGATGAAGAACTTGGCACTGGCAGGACTCAATATTTCTGTGGAACGCGCAAAGATAGACTTTACAGCAGGCAGAATGAGTCTGATATGGGCGGAGTTGAACTCGCGTATCAAGGATTCTGAGTTGTTGGGGAAAATGGCCTTCTCGGGATATGTCTTTTCGAGGTAGGAGGCAATTTCGAGGGAGTCACTGATGAGGGCGCCGGTGTTGGGGTCGTTGAGGACGGGAACGGTGCAAAAATCCGAGCCGTCTGAGCGTTTGTTTGGCTTTGCACCGATGGCCTTCATAGCGATCGAGATGTCTGAGTATTCGACCCAGGCAGTCACAAATGGAAGACCCTTGTAGCTCAAAACGAACCTAGGGCGCAGTAGGCTGGTCAGATATCAAAGTGCGACATACAGAACATGAATTACTGACCTCGTCTTTGCGGGGTTGGCTGAAACGTTATTGCCTGGTAGGTTGGAGAGGGTGTCATACAGGACAAGTGTCTGCATCATGGAGTACTACTGAGACGTGGGGTTTGAAGTGCTGCGGCCAATCTTGAAACTCCTTTTAAAGGTTGAGCTTCATTGGTAAGCACCTGAACTTGGTTAGCGCATCGATGTGTTCTTGAACACCGAAACTATCTCTGTGTATAGATGCAACCGTATGGCGTGGATTTTGGGTGACGTACCACCACAGTTGCAAAGTTGGCAACCAGTGGCCCATCATCGGATGCCTATGTGTTGGAGTGGCTGACCTCCTCTAACGCGTTATAGTGGGGTATAAATTAGAAATGTAACCAAGGCCCTGTGACGCATTACGGTTAGCTCCATAAACAGAGGTAAAGTATAGCGTTGGTATTGATCCTTGATGCTTACTAGTCCACATTGGGCAGAAGTCTAGGACATTGAACCGTATGAGGAAGAAGGTTCACGTACGGGTCTCAAGCGCCCGCCAGAGGTTGTGCTTGACAAGCTCCCACGGAAGGCAGCCATTCATTCTCTGTGTCCTGCACTTGCGCATTGTACAAGTGTTAAGTGTGATCGCGCGATGACAGCCTGACTGACCGTGTGTGCCATACTCCGGAAACGCTGGTATCTTCACATCATCATTCTCCACCAAAGCCTGCTTTCTATATTATCTTGCTGACAATGCGGCCGGATACGCTGTCGCCGAGTTATTTAGCATCAATATCTCAGGTAATGATGGAGGACTGTACCATTGTGTCCTATAATTTATCGGCATCAGACAAATAATCGAAAACACGAACCCGCATCGACACCACCGTCCCTGTCAGCCATCAATGCATCAACATCCTCTCACTCGCGAACAGCAACGACAACTTAGACATTGCTCTGGATCCCCGATTAAAGTGAGACAAGCTTTAAAAAACATTCCGTCTTATGCAACTCACTATGTTGAATGAGGCTGAATAAGCACTCCGCCTCCTGCCAGTGGCGAAAGCAGGATCATCCTGACTCAAAAGCGATCGAGGCTTCGAGTTGGAACAGGGTATGTGCCACATACCTCGTGTCGGAACCAATCAAGGCTCCGTTGGAACAGGGCACCACAGAACCAAAATGAATAGAGCGTTACGTAAATAATGTTCAAATGAGCTGAAATTGTCAATCACGCCGGGCCAGTGTTAACGTGTATCTATCATTTTCTTTCAACGAGTTTACACTCATCGCACAATTTCAGAACCTTAATACTACAGTACATGAACGTTCATCGCGCCATCATCGTCCCGACGTCAGGAGACCCCCATCATGTTCCTTTGCCGTCCATCGCTGAGCTCGCAGATCTCGATATTCTCAAGGATCGCTCCACAAGGGCAATATGAAATTTATCTCGGATGAACCCAGGGGAGTCGAGGACGGATCTCATAGTGCTCTTGCAGATGATATGGGACCAGAACATGCTACGGATCGTCAACGTACTCGAGCATGTCCTCAAACTAAAGCGCCGCTCTCGAATCTGGCTGTGTCCGACTGCAGCTTTCACTCTCCATGCAGCTCACCCGTTTCAAACAAAGGCGGATCGTTCTGTGAAGGAGCCATGCCTGGAAGATCTCTACATTTGCTCTTACATGCCGACACTTTTGGCTCTGATCAGATCTAGACAGTTGATGAAGAAGCGTGTGCCTCCGTCCTTTGTGGCGATTGGACAGGGTCAACCGAGCGCAGGGAAAGGCAAGGTGCTGTTGGCTGTCGACAGCGAGCTCGAGCTTACTCATAAGCTCGTCCTTGCGACGGCCAACCACACCACTATTTCTGGCGACAAAGTCACACGAGCAAGCGCACTCGAAGCAGAATACGTGGGTGCACCTTGCTTGTCATGGCAAGCAGGACCCTGCGCAGCCTTATAATTCACATTTCATCATGAGAGACGAACATTGACGCTGCTCGATATCATGGAGAAACATCTTCCGCAGGCCGAGTTCGCGTTCTTATCGGCTTGTCATACTGCTGTAGGCGAGGAGATGCCCGACGAAGTGATCCACCTAGCAGCTGGTATTCAGTTTTCAGGTTTCAAGAACGTCGTTGGCACGCTGTGGGAGGTCGACGATGCTGTCGCGAAAGACGTCGTCGAAGGTATATGTTTGGAGATTTGAAGAAAGGTTGTGACATGGACTGTACGAGGGCAGCCTGGGCACTCAAGCGTGCTACGCACGCGGTGAAGACGAAAGTGCCGCTCGAACAGAGGATGGTATTTATTCATATTGATGTGTAGTTCTACATCGTATTGCTGTCGTCTCGCATATATCTCTGACTTGAATTTGATTGTTGTGTTTCTTTGCATTCGAATCCATGCTGAAGAGCTTGAAGGTAGCATAATAATGTAGCAGTGATCAGAAACAAGGGTACACCAGATAGAGCTCGTAGTACTCGTGCATCGAGGCCACGCAATGGACCCACGGCTCTGCAAGACGCAAACGGGACCTGAGGGTAAAATCAACTTTGTTTCTCTGGGTGATCGGACATTAGCCAGATGATATCGCCGGTAACCTTCAGTGGTTTGCTGATCACGTCTGAATCAAGCGCACCGCCGACATAGCCTATAGTGTACACATGCTCGTTCGGTGTTTACACGTATCGTTGTGATAACGTCAAATAAACTGGTCAGTAATAAGATCCCCATAGAGATTTAAAGAGTAAACGGCATCTCCCTTTGTAGGAAGGGCCCTGCGTTATGGTGCTACTGACACTACGCCCCAATGGGAAGCTGTCGGGGGAAGAATGCTGGGCAGACGTCATAGTAGGAAATAGGGATACAATGGTTTAGAAGCGCACCAGACCCGCGTATGAAGCACAGTAATGGAGCGCAAAGGTTAACAGGCGGGGTGATAACAAAGATAGGTCAAACCACAAGTCTTCATGGCATGGACTACAGATCAGAAATAGAAGCGCCGCATGTTTGTCAGCCGAGGTGGGCGATCAAATGAGCGCTATAGCTAATCTGCGCGAGAACACTATGAACAAGCAGTGAGAAATACGGAAGCAGACGACAGAGTGGAAAAGACATGTAAATGAGACAGTGACGAGTAAAGAAAAAGAGCCAGGAAATGCAGGAGAAAGACTAGTATATAAATACCATCACAGACGGCTTCGTCGGATCCCTTCGTCCAGTCCTGCGCTCTGCAACCGTCCCATGCATGTCGGCCTTGTACTCGTCCTGTTGCGCAGATGTGAGTGAATTGTCGTCGCCGGATTGGCCGATGGTGCAACCTTGCGGTACTTGCGTTTATGGGACATCCCAAGCACCTCCAGTATCTTGAGCTGGAGGATTGAATAGAGCTCTCAAGGGTAAAGTGGGAGCCAGTGCCACGGATCAATTTGTACTCGGCGTGAGAACTAGCAGCAGTTACTAATACGACTATTTCAGTAAGTACTAACTCCAGCTCAATACTACTACGTTCATCGTGTCAAATTTAAAACAGGCCGTACAAATCGATGGATGAAAACTTACTGACACAGTCTCCTGCTAGCAGATGTGATTCCTCCTTTCAAATTGTTGAAATATTTGAAGGGAGGACTCGGAATCATTCCATTTCATCTTTTGATGGCCAGAGTACGCGTTCAGTATACAGCACTTTCCGCAGGTTGCTGACCCGCTGTTCCCGGCTTCCCATGCATAAGAGGCACCATCCAGTTGCGACGAACTGATCTCTTTACTGCCATTTTAGGGACTCAGACTCCTAAATATGGTGAGTCGCATGCGCTACATCCTCATTTTTAACTTCTCCCCCTCCTTCAGATGATACATCCACCGTTCGGATGTCTGGGGATACTAATTAGGGCATTGCGGTAGAATCTGCCCAGCGGCGCGAGTTCTAGTCGTGCTCACTTGATGTATTCGGATGCTGAAAAGTTAGAGCGAGTCCCGCATGGGAGGATCTCGGCGCCTCGATCGAGGCGAGCCGCCAGTCATGAGCACACTCACCTTTGTCACTTCCAGGAGATGCCTACCTATTCAGTGTCATGTAAGTAATCGTTCATTCTGCATCATGCCCTTGCGGTACCTCATGTCTCTTCAGGGAGCTCTGACAAGTTCTCAGGATTCTATTCTGACTATTTGGCTCTCTGACCTTACAGGGACCACATATGTTATCCTCATCGTCAGAAGCTACTGACCCACTATTTCCGTCACACTCATGAGATAGCTCATCACGCGCACTAGGGATATCTCGAGGTTTTGATTCTGGTTGGGATTTTTACATCTTTATCTGCAGGTATAAATCGCGGCGGATTATGCTGTAGATGCTTCACTGCACAAGTTCAAACCCTCGTTCCCCTTTCATACATCGGACCTCATAATGCATCTCTCCCTTACCCTGACGACTGCGATGGCGGCACTCGCATGCTTCGGAGAGGTCGCCTCCATGCCCCTTGAGGAGACGCTGAGAAGCCTGACTCCGAAAGCAAGGAATGTTTTGAAGCGTGCTACCCCAGTAGCCCCCTATTTCGTGTTATACAGTGATGCGTACGTTTCCACTGAACCAACGGTGTCAGAAATTTCGGTAAGCTTTCCCTTCCTCTCCTTGCGATCGATACACTAATCGTGAACTGGTACAAACATCAGGGCTTCAATGTGTTTGCATTGTCTTTTCTCGTGGAATATGGTGCAGCGGATCAGGCTCAGGAATGGGAAGAGCTTACCGCAGCTCAACGTTCTTCGATTCTCTCTGAGTACGATGCCGCAGGTATCTCACTCATCGTGTCCCTTTTTGGGTCCACTGAGACCCCCACTTCATCGGGATACGACCCCATCGGTACTGCAAATACCATGGCAGCTTGGGTTATTGAATATGGCCTGCAGGGTGTAGACATCGACTATGAAGTATGTTGCATGATGTTTGATAATGTTTGACGAAACTGATTTTCCTTAGGATTTCGCTGCATTCAACGCTGGCACTGGCGCTGCTGAGCAGTGGCTCGGTAACTTCACCACCCAGCTCCGCACCCAGCTTCCGCAGGGCCAATATATATTGACTCATGCTCGTGAGTGAGATATTCAGAAAATAACATCATCACGCTAAACTGATTCGCACAGCTGTTGCACCTTGGTGAATATATAGTGGCCAATTTGATCCCTACTGACTGAAATCAAAAGGTTTACTCCTGATAGATGGGGTGGAGGAGGATACCTCTGGGTAAACTCTATGGTCGGGGATATGATTGATTGGTACAATGTGCAGGTGCGGACGACGTCCTATCATTTTTAATTTCTTGTTCTGATTTTCTGTCATCGCAGTTTTACAACCGTGAGTCTCTTTGAAGCGTTCTCTTTGTCTCTAGTAACAACAAACAGAGGGCACGACGGAGTACACGACTTGCGATGGCCTCCTGTACAACTCCTCGACTGCTTGGCCACAATCTGCACTCTTCCAAATCGCTGATAGTGGTGTTCCTCTGGACAAGCTTGTGATCGGCAAGCCTGCTACTGCAGCACAAGCCACCAACGGGTACATCGACCCATCTCTCTTAGCATCTTGTGTTTCCTCAGCCTATGCCGATGGATGGGGTAAGTCTGTCCCATTTAACTAGTTTTCTCTCTCTGATCATCACGGGGAATTCTAGATGGCGGTGTCATGGTTTGGGAGGTACGTGAGAATCCAAGCGATTCGCAAGGTTTCTGAGCATGGCGATATTAGTATCCTTACGCTGAATCTGCATGGATCGCGACTGTGCGCGGGGACACCTGGCCAATGCCATCTACCACTGCGACACCGACAAGCACTGGTACTACACCGACGAGCACCAGTACCACACCGACGAGCACCAGTACCACACTGACGAGCACTAGTACCACAACGACAAGCACTAGCCCGACGACGACGACATCGACCGGCACCGGTACTTGTACAGGTGTTGCTGCATGGACCACTGGCGTGGCCGTTAGTAGATTTCTTTTTTTCTTCCGCTCAAGACTAAAGCTCTATACAGTATACCGGAGGTTCTGAAGTGACCTACAAGTGCGTATTTTCTGATTTGCTCTTGTCCATCTACTAACACACAACTTAGTGGGTACCTGTGGACCGCGAGCTACTGGTCGGAGAATGACACCCCTGGAGGTGATTTGAACTCATTTTTTCTAGAAATCTTTTTAACAGTCCCACAACAGGTTCTGCGGGTGTCTGGGTTAATGACGGAGCTTGCACCTCCACAGCCACCGCCGCAGCTAAGCGTAGGGCTCTCCCACCTCCCATCGTCACAGCGCCCGCTTTGTAAGGGCATTGATGGGTCCCACCCCACCCTGCTCACCTGATGCAGCGTGGGTCCTGCAATGTGTGATGTAATGAGATATGACGACAGCGACGTATTATTATCGTTTTCTTGTACTGTTTTTACTTGCAACTTATGACGTAGTTTCTTGCGATACTCGCTATACTTATGATGAGTATTTGTGTTCGTGAATCGTGATTTGATCGGATTTCAGAAATAGAAATTCATAGCACTCAATGAGGCCACCACACCAAACACAAAGCTTCATGTCTTTGGGACCTAGGGATCAAGTGGCAACGGCATATATACGAGTGCCTATTTTTCAGTTCTGATGTAATTAATCGAGCCTACCATTGTTCCTTTCACCGACATAGCCTATAGTGTGCACATGCTCGTTCGGTGTTTACACGTATCGTTGTGACAAACTGGTCAGCAATAAGATCCTCGTAGAGATTTAAAGAGTAAACGACATTTCCCTTTGTGGGAAGGTCTTTGCGTGATGGTGCTACTGATATGCCCCAATGAGAAGCTGTCGGGGGCAGAATGCTGGATAGACGTCATAGCAGGAAACAGAACTACAATGGTTTAGAAGCGCATCATGCCCATGTATGAAACACAGTAATGGAGTGCAAAGGTTAACAGGCGGGGAGGTGATAACAAAGATAGGTCAGACCCCAAGTCTTCATGGCATGGACCACCGATCAGAAATAGAAGCGCCGCATGCATATCAGCAAGGTATGATAATTGGGGAACGATCCAACGAGCGCTGTAGCTAATCTGCGTGAGAACACTGTGAGCACCTCGTTGACAACCGAGTGGAATCACGGGATAATCAGTAGAGAAGGAACGACTATGTTCAGTCGTCTAAGATTTGCCTATAAAGATCAGTAGGGAAATCGGTCGCATTAGGGTTAGTGTCATCAACAGGACAAAGCATGACATATCTCGATAATTCCGAGTCCTCCGAGCGTTCACCTCTGTCTCAATTTTAATGGGAATCTGGCAGTCACGGTGAGAGAGGACGTGCAGGAACTTGAAATTTCTGCACAGCCAGCTTGGCAAAGGAGACATTCGAACGGCTGTCTTCCTTCCTCTGTAAGTCTGGATAAAGACCAACATCGATGAAAAAAGACAAAAATTATGATCTGACCCTGGCTCGAACAGGAGACCTTCTGTGTGTTAGACAGATGCGATAACCAACTACGCCATCAGACCGCGATGATGTTAATTCCCACACCGCCATTTTGGTCTTGATGACGAATTGTGACTCCGACTCAATCGAACAACCAATAGCTACTACGATTGAACTACTACAAGTCTTTTTCCTGCAGAGTGGAGCTGGTATGTTAATGGAGGGGTTTTGCCTTTCTCACTACTTAGAACATGACTGCATGTCCCGGTGTCACGGTGCACTGCAGGACTCTGTCGTACTGTTTGATGAGTTTTTCCTTCGACACGGTTGATCATGTTGAAATCCAAACTCACCAAAACATCACTGTGACCCTCCACAGGAGTCTGATGGGTGTGGGCTGTAACGTCATCTTTTGACAGTTTGTATGCCTTTCTAGATTTGCCGCGACCCACTCAGTAGGTCAGTTTGCGTCGCCACTGGCATATGCAACAACACCAACACTTCTACTTTCTATTCCTTCGGCCATTGACACACATTCTAGGCACGTACTGATTATCGATAACTCGTAGGCTCTGGTATAATCGTGCAACCTAACGGATTTAGTTATACAGCAGATCACAAAACGATAGCATGGCGCGAACCTTATCTGCATCGCAATATTGAAGACATAAATCTCAGCGCAAGGCCACCACCTACTTTCATATCGACGAGTCGCAGACCAGGTAAATCGCCCAGCTTGCAAGCCTGGGCGCTTGAACCTTGAGCTGATATTGTGCCTTCAGATAACAAGCTTATTTTAGGATATGGTCGTCCCCCTTGCTCCTGCGTTACTCCGTTTAGCACACGTCTGGCCTACCACTGGCTCAATGGTGCCTGCTAATGTCTGTTTCGGGTTATTAATCAGTTGATTCTACAGGTAGTTTGAAAGGTGCCAACAACGGCCTTGGGGATTTATGTAGGTCTTAAAATTAAGAACGTACCAGGGGCCGGCGCTGAAATTTGAAACTAGAAGTTCTACTGTACGGGAGACAAGGTATAATGCGACATCTCGACATAGTACAAAAGCGGCAACAGTGCACATGCTGTACCAGCGTTCAATTTTTCGCGTTACCCCTGTCCGGTGCGTATTGCGCAGTCTTCAACACCCCGTCTACCGTCTCCTGATCTCCAGGTTGCACCAACCTCGTTAAGCCCGATTTCACTCGGCCTCTCTGAATATCGCTACCTATGCCGAAGAGCTTCACACAGATGATCAGGCTGAGGACCCACGCCTTCGCGAAGACGTCACCGATAAATGTGAAAAAGACAAGTGCAAGCCAGACCAGCGGAGTAAGAGGCGGCAGAACTGAATTCATCAAGTCCTAATATTAACATTCAGGGCGAAATCCAAAAGCATATAATCAACAATAGACGAACAGTGGGGTGCATGAATTCTTCTTGGTCATAGATATAAAATAACTTGTCTCGCTCCTGGAGTTTGATACGCATGATGTAGCTGACGGGTGCGCGATTCGCGTTCATGTCCATTGTCAACATCACGATGGGACACTAATAGCGCGCATACACTCACCGAGACGGGGCTGCCTTGAAAGGGCTAATTCGAACACGAAAGTGCTGAGTTACCTCAGCGACAAGGACATGGCGTTGCTTATCATAACCTAGACGCGCATATAGTCAGCTTTGCACGACAAAAAAAAATTATCGGTCAAACTAACACACTGAATCCACATTACTAGTAGTGTCGGGGCTAATGATGCGGTACCACTCGTACATGCTCAGGATTTTCTGCCTTGAGTTTTTGTCGTGCTCTACGACCCTGAAAGGGTGGTGCAAAGAAGCGTTGCGCATGTAGAATTTGTTTACAGCTGCACGCAAATCAGCAGGGCTACGGGAGGTTGTGAGAGCTATCAGCACGTCTGGAAGATCGCGTTGTGGAATCTCCATTGTATAGAAGAGGGTTTGTACTATTGAACGTTGACGTTGAGCGCAGAGGAGTAGACCCTATTTGGCATCGCTTGTATGACATCATATAAATCAACATCACACTTTTACGTAAGCTCTCTTCGTCGCCCTTACTACTGGAAGAATCATACTAATGGGTCAGCTCTTCGGATCTTTGCAAAAATCAAAGTATACGGCATTGCTTCCCCCCGAACTTTGGCACCATTGCTGGAGTTTTCTGGTAGTCCAAGATCTCCTTGCTGTCTCATCCACTTGTTGGTCATTTCGTTTTATCTGCAAAGACTTATTGTTCAAACACATCACCACCACCATCCCGTATAAGCGCACCGTCCGGCACATATTCCAGCCTCGACATGAAGATACTGCACGGATCAGACGAGCACGCCGACTTCTTCTTCGTCTTCACGCACTTCAAAGTGACAGTGATGCTTGGGAGGTACTCCGGCTAGTGGAGACATGGAGCATCAAGACCTTTGGTTTGCCTGCTCCATTATACGAATCCGAGATCATACAATACGGAAAAGCCACTTTCCCCTTCGTACAACCATCCATTTCAATTTTCCTCATTTTACCATCGTGCAGAAACCTTCGTGTGCTGAACATTTCGGATATTCACATGGAGGAAGAGCGCTGGTCTGCGCTCGTGAAAATCCCTCGGCTGGAATGCCTCAACATGGAGCGATGCAATCTGTCATCCACTGGCAAGTCCATGAATCTCAAAGTCATATCAATCATCTATGAAGCACATCTTGATCCACCACCCGTTCCACCTCCAACTACACAGCTTATTTCCTCGCTCTTCAATATTCAACATCTAGAGAGGGTCACACTACTCGACCTCACCTTCTCGAGTTCATTTCTCCTTGGACTTGTTCAGTTGGGGCAGTTTGAGAACTTGAAACACCTTTCTGTAGTCGTCCCGGAAACCCACATGGACACGCTGTTTGCCTTCTTGAGTATGACACCTTCACTCACATCGCTCACTATTTCGAACTTCTCGACCATGGCCAAACCCAGCAAGCCCGTTTCACAATCTGTTATTCCTAACCTCGTGGCCTACGATGGTTTTCCTACTATTATCCCAATTTTACTTCCTGGGCGGCCCATAAATGTTGTTTGTTTGAGGATGAATCACAGGACCGATCCTCAAGCCAGTCTTGGCAATCCGTTTGGCGTCTATGATAACAATGTTATCTGCAAAGCATTGGACGACTGTTCTGCGTCCGCTCGCGTGGTACATGATCTTATGCTCTCCCCCTTTCATCCTACCCCCGACAGCATGCAGGATATCGTGCGCATCCACCCTAATCTTCGCCACCTGCGGCTTGATATCCTCCGCACGCCAAATATCAATATGAGCGTTGACGTGGTGAGTTTACGCCATCTGCCTGAAATCTTTTCCGGCTGCTTATGACGAATAGGATGAACCCATGTCACTTATCATGGACATGCTTGCTGATACCATGGCAGTGCGAGATAGCGATAACTTCTCACGCCATCCTTTGTTCTTGATATCTGTGAGAGGGGTTGACCATCGACGAGTCAAGCACAATTCTGATGAAGGTTTTCGAATCAGGGTTTCTTAAATTGGATCGCCAACGGTCATCTCCCACTTCCAGCAAAACTCGAGACACTGCATCTCCATTATTACCAAAGATCAGGGACAGTTTGCGGCGATGTCACAAGGCAACGACTCCTCGTGCCAAAGATCTCCGCCGCTTATCCTGCACTGCGTGAAATTGAGATGGGCACAACACGCTGGTGGAGAGAGGGCGATTATTGGACCCACGAGGTGCTGAGGTATAGGGTTATAGGCCATATTTAGTTGAGAACTACGAGATAGAAGCACGATAAAGAAGCATGGATAATTATATTTACTCTTCCTCGGGTGAATGAAGTTTAATCAAAAAATGATTCAACTTCCGAATGATTCGGAAGTGATCATCACGCATCATCGGGCGCAAAAACGTTCTTTTGTCAATAAAATTAGAGTTCGGGGAACAATGCAAAACCCGATAATTAACGTGCTTCACAGCCTCGCGGAGTAGTACAGCCACATATGATGACTTGTACTTGGCTCGCACAGCAACTTCAGAAGCGCTACCCACGAGCCACGACCGCATCTGCTTATAAGTAACTGCTTTTTGACGTTTTAGCTCTCTTCTCACACAACAACTAACACAACATGAGCAACCCTCCACGAGGCAGAGGCGGTAATCGCGGTGGTCCTCCCGGTGGCTCTCGAGGGGGTGGGGGTGGTGGCGGGTTTGGTGGAGGAAGAGGCTCTGGTACGAGGGGTGGGTATGGCGGTGGTCCCAGAGGAGGAGGCCCAGGAGAATTGATCTTCCGGGGCCCTACGTCTGTAGACCAACGTCTGGCAACCTTGGATCAATTGGTCTCTTCCTTTAAGAAACTTGCCTTTAATCCCAAACGCCCCCACCGGCCTGGCTACGGTACCCTCGGCCGCCAAATCACATTACGAACCAATTTCTTTCCCATCAAGCTCCCAAAAGGACCTATTTACGACTACCACGTCGAGATTACGCCGTCTACAGACATCAAGCGTATTCGTGCGCGCCTTTTTCAGCTCCTAGAACAGAGCAATCAACAAGGCTGGAGAGAGTTTGTGCCGTTTACCGCTCATGACAGCAGCGAGAGACTTGTATCTTTCAAGAAGCTGCCGCAGCCCCTTGACGTGCATGTCCAGTATTACGAGGAAGGAGAAGCTGGTCCCAATGCCAAATCCAAGCTGTATACTTTCGGAATTACCCTCACGGGCAGCATGGATGTTGCACAGCTCACGAAGTAAGTCACAGAAAGCCACCTCATTCGTTCTCACATTAATTCATTGTGGCCAGGTTTCTCAGTGGCGACATTGCGTCGCGGGACTACGACGCCCAACCGCTGATAGCTGCTATAAATCTCGTGCTTCAAACGCATGCATCACGCACCGGTGTTCGCGTAGGCAAGAATCGCTATTTCTTCCCCTCGCAAGAGCGCTTTGAGCTAGCGCTTGGCGTGGAGGCCTGGAAAGGCTTCTTCACGTCCGCCAGACCCGTGTATAAGGAACTCATGGTGAACGTCGGTGTCTGTATGACCGCTTTCTACAAGCCAGGCAACCTTGCCGACGCCATCATTGAGTTCAACCGGACATCCAATGGCGCTATGCTTCAACGGTTTACTCAGAAACTCAAGGTGACCACGAGTCATCTAGGGTACAAACAAAAGAAACCGATAAAGAAGATCATGCCTACGACTGCTAGGCAGACAACTTTTAACTGCGAAGAGTACAATGGCAAGATATCCGTCGAAGATTATTTCAAGAAAAGTTCGTTTCCTTGAGCCTGCGCTTCATTCAATCGCTAATTGTTCAGCAGAATACCCCCGCATCAAGCTGAAGCACGCACATGATGTTCCAGTTGTTGACATCTCGGGCCCAAATTCGAAATTCTCGATATACGTACCAGCCGAACTATGTGAAATAGAGCCTGGGCAACCGTTCAGAGGGCGTCTCAACGAGAAAGAAACTTCGAACATGATTCGGTTCGCCTGCAACGCGCCCAAAGTCAACGCAGATGCCATCATTGACCGTGGCCTTCCTACTCTTGGGTTTACGCCTCAGACGCTGGGTAGCCCTATGAGCAACTTCGGCATGGCAGTGGACAACAACATGGCGGTCGTCCCTGCACGTGAACTTCCCCCGCCTCGCCTCAGCTACAAAGCAGGGAAGCCTCCCAACGTCAACAACGGCAGTTGGAATATTCTTGACGTCAAATTCCACCTTGGCGGAACAATCAAGAGCTGGTGGGTGCTTGTCATCAAAGATGGACAAAACGTGTTCAACGGGCCCACCGACCCAGCTTTGGAAGGGATCTGGAAGGGCTTTGGTGAGAAATGCCGCAATAGCGGCATGACACTGGGGTCATCGCCCTCTGTGTTGAACCAAGAACTCATCCCTCCCGCCCGTGACCCATCAAGGCAGCAGGCACTGGATTTGATTCGTCAGAACATCAAACGACAAATTTCCCAGAAAGGAAAACCGACCTTCATCCTCGTCATCCTATCTCGCCGGGACAACTACATTTACCCAGGAATAAAGCGGATTTGTGACGTTGAGTTAGGCGTCCACACCCTCCATATGCTCACAGATAAGGTGCTACGGGACCGCAATAAACAAGATCAATACTTCTCGAATGTCGCTCTCAAGCTGAACACAAAACTCGGAGGTATCAATCATATGCTGGATTCGGAGAGCATGAAATGGTGGACAAAGTCAAAGACGATGGTTGTGGGCATGGACGTCACGCACCCTGGCCCTGGTAGTATTGAGGGCACGCCATCAATTGCTGCTGTTGTCGCGAGCGCAGATAATTCTTTCGTCCAATTCCCAGCAAGTCTCAGGTGTCAGGAGACTAAGAAAGAGGTAAGCGACATCGCAATGTTATCGCGCTATCACTCACCTTTTGTTTGTAGATGATTACAGACCTGACTGCGATGATGATAGAGCGCCTTACATTCTACGAAAAGAAGAATCGAAGCCTGCCGGACCGAGTCTTTGTTTATAGGGATGGTGTGTCTGAAGTGAGATTGGGCTTTTTCTCGATCTTGACGTCGCCTGCTAATTTTGAATGGACAGGGCCAATTTAATACTGTGCTGGAGGAAGAGCTTCCTAAGATGTTGGAGGCATTTAAGAGAGTCCCCCAAACGAAAGTGTATCGCCCAGCGTTGACGATCATCATTTGTGGCAAACGCCACCATGCCAAGTTCTGGCCGACCGAGTCCCAATTCGCCGATCGGAATGGCAACACTCGTCCAGGAACTGTCGTCGATCGAGGTGTCACTGCAGTGTACGGCCCTTCTATTTGATCACAAATCGGAATTCTCTAACATCTTGATCACTGTAGATTTGACTTTGATTTTTATCTTCAAGCTCATGCTGGCTTGCAAGGCCACTGAAGGCAACGCACTATACAGTGGTGTATGATGAAAACCACCTTGGCGCAGATGAGGTGCAGCAGGGTACGCACACTGCGAGTTACCTATACGCTCGTGCCACCAAGGCGGTGAGCCTCGTCCCAGCCGCATACTACGCCGACTTGGCTTGCGAAAGAGGGAGATGTTACTTAAACGACTTCTTGAGTGCCGATGACAAGGTATCAAGTTCTGTCGCAACAGGGAAAGGAAAGGGGAAAGGAAAGGTGGACAAGGAGGAAGAGAAGATGCGAGTGTTTATGGCGGCGAAGACAGCATGGGGAGAAGGTGTGCATCCTGATTTGCGCGGGAGCATGTTCTATATCTGATGTGGGCTACTGCATGTGAGTCGTACCAGTACTGTAAGTAATCGTATAGTGCGGATATGAGGTTGATGCAATCACCGATATATGTTGATTACTGTTCGGATTCAAAGTGGACATCCCTGCTTCGATCGCTCTGGACCAAGGTAAATTTGGCCCTTTCTGTTGCCACAGGATATCCGTTCGTCCAAAGAGGGTGAACCTTCCTACAAGGCAATACTAGTAACAAGTGCCTCAAAACGGGAGTGTTTGTTCCGTGCTTAATTTATGGGATGAGTCTGTCGCGGCACGGGTGTGATAGGCATCCAGATGTCCTTGGTCACCTGTATTTTCCAGTGTAAACGGCGGCGGAGGGACCCAGAATTTGAATTTGCTAGAAAGAATGATCTAAATTTGGCTCCTGCTATACAATGATCATGTACATTGTATACTATTAAAAATTTGACTTGATCGCACACAGCCGTAGATGGTTGATTGTGTAGAGAAGGAGGATATATCACAGTGTCGCCATAGCATCACAGCAAGCAGGGAACAAGAGCGCACTCACATCAGCGTGGTTGAGCCTTCTCACTGAGTCAGTACGTTCATTCATGCAAGATTATTCAAGAACAATCGCGTTACCTCGTTTACGTTGAAGCTAAGACACGAGAGTGAGTCTCAACGGACGTGAAAAGCAACACTAGTGGAGGTAGAACTCTGTACGAGGAAGAAAGAAATATCAAATTGAAAACCCGGGCCCGGAGCTAAGTGGATGATCCTCCAAGGTACCAAGCCACCACGACTAAGACCCCGGAACTCTCCAACACCCAACAGCGGCGACCAGACGACCAATGCAAGGCCACCGATTCTACAAGTACAAGTGTATACGGCCTACAAGACAATAATATACCTCAGCGAGAGTAGCAAAAATACCGATTGGCACAATTACAAGTGAACAGCTACTACACCATACGGGGTTCGAGCTGTTATGGAAGTCCATTGTACGAGGAAGCAAGTAAGTCACAAGATAGGTAATCGCCGAATGCAAATACAAAGCTCATTCATAAAAGCCAAGAACTTCGGCGCGTGATGCTATGCGTAAAAAACGTTTTTTGACTTCTACTAGTGCATGGAGTATTCGGCTGACGATATCGCAGCAGCAAGGAGCTTGCAGTTCACTATGGTACGTCTCCTTTGTCGATATCGAGGACGAATCATAATTGACCAGTCGTGCACCATTAGTATATATATAGTGCGTGCTGTCTCAACCTCGTATTCTGTGTCCTATTGTTAATAGAACTCAGCGTCGTTGGCTACATTCTGGGTAAGCTTGCTAGTCTGATCTATTCACGTCTACTGTCAAACTTGGTTATCTAGACCTATGATTATGTGTGTTCAATTCATGAAGAGGTAATACCCTCGTTTCATGATACACCTCCATTTTGACATGCTGTACAAAGTGGACATATTTGTTTCAATCGCAATGGGGCAGGATGAAAGGCATGTATATCGTTACACGATACCTCCCCTTTATCCTTCTCGCCACGGATCTGTATCGTGCGTTACGCTCCAGCACACATCGCGCTGATTATCAATTAACACTCGTTTTTCAGTGAGCTTTACCCCGGATGAAAACCCAGGTGTATGTCACATGGGGTGGGGAGTTAATAAGAACGAACGACTTACTGCATGACTTCGCCAGAAATGCCGGACGTTGGACAGTATTAGCACAGGTACGTGCATGGTATATCCATCTATGCACAGTCTTGTTGAGGGCAACCTACTTTATCTTACAGGGTTAGGCATGCTATTAGTCATTTGCTCCGAGTGTATTTTTCCTTCCTCCCTGAGATATGTATATTCCTGATATGATCCATCCAGGCTTTTTCATCCTTAGAACATATGTGCTCTGGGACAACAATAGACTCCTGCTCGTAGCCATGCTGTCCACCTTTTTTGTGAGCTCCCAACATTATACCCAAGTTATTGGTAGATGAATCAGTCAGTGTTTTGTCGTAGCATCCATCAGCATTGCCTTCGCTACTACCGTCCCTGCAGCACGTACGCTCACGCCTTCCCTCCAACGTTCCACCACCACTGAAACATTCTGTTCACCTTCACAGATACGAGTAGCCAGATCCCCGGAATTACAGGGTGCTACCGAAGTTCGACCAATTACCAGCTTTTCATATCATTTCTTTTCCTTTTTGTATTCGAACTGGGTGGGTCACCGGCATATATATCTACAGACACACGCTGATAGTGTTCTCCCCAGAACTCATGATCCTCACATTCATACGTGCCATACAGACCTGGCGGACAAACCCAAACCGTCTGTACGCTATCCTGGTGCACCATAATCTAGCCTATTATGCATGCGGTCTTCGTGAGTCAACACTTATATACGTCGTTTTCACGTACTCATCCTCTTTTCTAAAGTGTTCTCGGTAGCGAACATATTCACATCGCTGCTCCTTCATGTGCGTCTATTTCCTAAACGCCTTTTATGATTGAGCCGTTGACGTTCCACCCCCCAGGACGCCTACCAGACCATTTTGGATGGGTGCGTACCTCTACATACCGCTGTGTTCCAACTAATGATACACCACATACAGTTTCCAGTTCATGATCCTTGCAATCCTCGCCACGCGCATGCACCTCTATCTCTGGCAGGTGAACCGACAAACACACGGCTCTGGAGACTTTACGCATATTCCAATGTCCGACCTGTCGTTTGTGACTTCCACGGCGTAATATCTTATCCTATGACTTGTTCGTGGAGCGAGGCTTGATCTAGTTCGTTACGTGTTTACTTTATAGGATGTCTGTCTTGGCGTGGGAGGAGTATTTGGCCTATTTAATACCTGTAGTTTCCACTGAGAGGCAGCGGGTTCAGGATCTATGATTTGAGTGTGTTAGAGCCAAACGCACAGCCTGACGGCAACAAACATCATGATACAGGCTTGCCCTAGTTGCAGAAGTCAAAATTGGCTTGGCATCGTTTATTTCATCAGAAGCCCATCATGCGTTCTCCACCATTCTCATTTATTCACTGGTTCACTGATGTGCATTAGGTTGTATGTCTAGAAGCACGTAAAACTTAGAGGTCCTTGCAATTGTAGAATGTCATGAGCGATAGGGCGGGTCAAAAAGTATCGCATTAAGGCAGGATGCCCTGACTCCCTGTCCTACAACCAGACAAGCCACAAGGTGTGAATAACTTATCTAGTCAAGTGAAGTACATTTGTTGGTAGTGTAGGTGGTTCTAGATGTCGTCCTATCATAACAAAGACACTTGTGCGCATCGTTGAACGGGTATACTATGATAGTTCTTAGTCTTGTTAACGCCAAACCCCACTCAACCTCTGAATGATGATATCCGATGGCAAGACCAAGAAAGTCGAGAACTCGAAGTGGCAGAAGTCCAATTCGGCTTCATACCTAACTCCCAGGATACAGCAGCATGGCGTATGCGCCGACGCTAACATTCCCACATCTCCAACTAGTGCCACTCCACTACTCCCGGGGACATCCCACTTGCGAGTCCCTCCACCACCACATATCTGCTCCATGAACGGCACCGAATAAGACACAGGATACGACATCACGCCGTGGGATTTGCAAATGAGATGTCGGACATTGAAATAAGGGCGTCGTGTGGATGTTGATTCACCTGCCAGAGATGGAGGTGCATGCGCGTGACGAGGATTGCAATGACTATCAACTGAAAACTATACGTGGGTGTACGTGTCGGATATTGTTAGTAGGAACATGTAGCAAAATGTGGATGTACATACTCATACAATACATCGTGGTAAGTATACTGGAGCAGAACATCAATGCTCGGTCAAAAAGGGTATTTGATATATTCATGTACCTGGAAGATCGATGTGAATATATTTCCTGCCGACAACACTTCACGAAAAATCATGGATGAGTGCCGAAAAACGGCGTGTACGAGTGTTAACTCACGAAAACCACATGCATAATAGAATATATTGTGGTTCACGAGGACAACGTACAGATGGCTCGTGTTTGTCCGCCAGTCCTGTATGGCGCGCATGAGCGTGAGTATCAAGAGTGCTGGGGAGAACAGTGTCAGCGCGTGTTTGTACATATACATGCTCCTGGTTACCCACCCAATTGGAAAACGGAAAGGAGAAGAAATGGTATAAAATACAAGAAATTGGTCGAACCCAGGTAGCACCCTGTGATTCCCGGGATCGGGCTAGTCGTATCTGTGAAAGCGAACAAAATGTTTTAGTGGTCGTGGAACACGAGAGGGAAGATAAAAGCAAGTACATGCTGCAGGGATGGCGGTGGCGAAGATAATGATGAAGGATGCTGCGAGAAAAGACTGGCTGATGCATCTGCCACCAGCTCGGGTATGATTAGTAGATCAGGAGCTCACCAATAACCCCGACAGCATGGCTGCAAGCAAGATTCTATTCTTGTCCCAGAGCACATATGTTCTGAGCATAAAAAACCCTAGATGAATCACATCAGAGATGTACATCATACGGGTGAACGAGATATACATTCGGAGAACATCGCTATTACCATGCTAAGACCTGTCAGAGGAAAGCAGTAGCCTTCAGCAAGGATGTCCGTACATGAATGTACCATGCACGGACCTGTATTAATATTTTGCAACACCCCGCATTTCTAGCGAAATCGTGCAGTAAGTCGTTCGTTCTTATGAGCTCTCCACTGCAGTACATACACTTGAATTCTCATTCGGGGTGAGGCTCACTGAAAAATGAGTGTTAATTGATCATCGGGGCGATGTGTGCTGCAGTGGAACGCACTATATAGATACATGGCGAGAATGATAAAGGGCAGGTATCGCGTAACAATATACAAGCCTTTCATCTTGCTCCAGTGCGATCGAAGTAAATATGTCCACTTTGCACGGCATGTCAAAATGGAGGTGCATCATGAAACGAGCGTATTACCTCTTCATGAATTGAACACGCATAATCATAGGTCTGGATAACCGAGTTTGACAGCAGACGTGAATAGATCAGAACAATCCTACCCATATTGTAGCTGTTGACACTGAACTGTTGTCAGGACAAAGAATATGTGTTTAAGACAGCACGCACTGAACATGTACTGACGGTACATGACTTGTCAGTTATGATTCACCTTCAATCAACAAGGAGACACACCGTAGCGAACTGCAAGCTTCTCGCTGCTGCGATATCGTCAGTCGAATATTCCATGTAGAGGTCAAGAATGTGTTTCACACACACACACGATGCGCCTTCTTAGCTCTTATGATGAATGAGGCCTAGGTGTGAACCCATCAAGGTGACCGTGTAAACACTGGAGACCAATGACCATAGTATGCTAAGTTTACACTTGACATGATGTGATCGTGATGGAGCGTTTCAGTCGTCATGCATCCATGATTCACTAGATGTGTCGGCCGGGGAGCGACTTGATAAAAGATACAGTTACACCTTCAATTTATATAATAGACGCAGGACGAACCTAATTATATAACTTTATCAACTGAAACACAAAGATTAATTTAAAAACTCGCCGGGTGCACTCATTGTGCTGGCCCCCGATTTATGAAGCTCCTTAAACTCAAAGTTTGATGCGTTATTGCCACTTGAAACGCGGAGGGAGGGACTTGAAGCAACTTGCAATTAACTGTCGGTCATCACCAAAATTACCGAATCCAGAGATCACCTGATATGTTGAATTTTCTGACACCACCAACGACACCTGCCCGTTATATCCGACATTTGACATGTCACCCCGGCACGCTGACGTCAAGCGTGTTATCTGTCAGACACATTTCATTTCGTAGTGTAGCGGTATGCCATATGTCAGATACATTTAGATACATCCATGTATTGTATAGAGAAATATAAAACAAAAATGAATGAAAACCACGCAAGTCAAACAGAAAGTACCTAAAGAGCGCCATAGCCTTCTTCAATGAGTATGTCGTCATCGAGCACCTCACCGTACTCAGCTATTATCCTGTCCTCGTCCTCATCATCGTCATCATCATCGTCCTCGTCCTCGTCCTCATTCTCATCACCCTCATCACTCTCGTCACCCTCTTCAATATCCCCCTCATCCAGTTCCTCGTCACTGCCGTCTTCGTCTTCCATTTCGATGTCTTCGTCGGCTTCACTATCCAAGTCTTCGACAACGTGTCCCTCCTGCTGCAAAATATCGTCCCACTCCCGCATAGCCTTGTGACCGACGGCACCGCCACGAAATCGCATGAACATGTCTCTGTCCACGAACCTAAATAGCATGTATATCGTTAGCAGTTGGTAGATAGCAAAATAAAAATGTGCGTACATATTAACATAATAAAAATTCCAATCTGGGTCTTCCTCACGTCGCGCAATCGTTGGATCAACAAGTCGTTGGGAACGGCCATAAGCGAATCCCGGTATTATATGCACGCCCCTAATGACGCACTCTGGATCAAGGAATCCGAATGCATCGGGGCTTTCATCCTCAAAGAGTTCGAGGCGTTGGAGCCTCTTTGCAGCGAATCCGGAAGGATTATTGTCACGCTTGAACCATCGAACGAAGAGGACATCCATACGCTTTGGACGGGTCCGTATCACATCCAGGGATTTGTGGTATTCCACATTGACATGAAAAATCTTGATAAGACGAGCGTACCAGTAAGGGTGAGTACGTTCGTCCTCATGTGACATGACCATCAGGTCAGCACGAGTGCGGGGATTAATTGAGTCTTGCTCACGTCGAAGGTCGTAGGTGGTGTAGTTGATGCGAAGAATGCTATGTTCGAAGAGTTTGTTGTCAGTGATCAGAACCGAGTTCCGCTCTGCATCGGTAAACTCGTATTCATCGCCTTCATATACATGCCCTTGAAGGCGTGCATATAAGTGGTCTTTGAGACGAGGAATAAAGTTCTATTTCACATTATGAGCTAGATATGTTAATAAAAATGAGAATCATGACATACCTTAACGGCCAGATCATCCCCAAGCCCACCCAACCAAGCCGTGAGGTCAAAAGTTGAACGAGCAGATATGGCGATGTGGTAATGGTCCGAAGGTGAGGTACGCACACGACGAGGTCTATCGGTACCCTGTTGGGCAGAAAACTGTGCCCGAGCATTGATTACCTTCATACAAAGTCGTTCGATGGCATCTTGATTTGCGATGCTTGCAGTCATAGTTGCTTTTGTTTTTGGAGTGCGAGGGTAACGTCGTTTGAGACGCCGGTGCTCCAGTTCTCCCTATACTGGAATTAGATAGTATGATATCAACAAGAAAAAAGACTCACCGGCTGTGTAGTATAGCTGTCTGTCGTCCCCCTCATTCGAATCGTGGCCGGGTAGTCCCCAAGTGCGTGAAATTTATAAGTCTGGATGTTCAACTTCTTTACCTTGGGACGAGAAGCACCTGCTGTCTCCTTAGCCGACATGCCCTGCTTTGAAGCCAATGCAGCTTGTCGACGCCCTCGAGCTGCATGTTCGTGAGGCAGTTCCGTTGTGTGAAAGTGTTCACATGTCGTCCTTTTGAACTTTCGAATGGTGTTGCCAAGGACCACTGTAGCCGCGTCGAAAAAGTTCAAGGTGTCTTCAGTATGGAGACGGAGCTTCGCATACGCTTGCCAGGTAGCAAGGTCGAATAAAAGGTCCAGGATGATCCCATCATTATGCGGGTCAAGAAGTAACCCTTCGAAGACTGGTATAGCGCACTGAAATTAAATCTGAAATCAGTTGTGAAATGTTATGTGAAATGACCTAAAACTTGCCTGCAACAAATCTTCGAAATCTCGGGCTGCAAGGCGCTTCATTGCAGAAGCATTCTTGTGGAAACGTCGGATTGTGCCTCTCCCAAACGTTGGCACATGACGGTATCTGTAGCAGAACATTATGTATGAGAAATATTAGCAAACAAATCAAAAACATACCTCCAGTTCAACTCCTGCACTGCCGCACCCCCGGCAGCATGGATAATACGCATCAAGTGAGTGAAAATAGCCTTCCACACACCAAGTTCAAATTCATGCAACATGTCTACTACCAGCATCAAAAAGAAATTGAATCCGAATATAAAAAGCCGATCAGAAAAGGCGTTCTGTAACTCGTTAGTAGAAATTTGAATACAATATGAACAACTTACGCGTGTAGGGACAAGAGACTCAGAATTAAGGACTGATTTCACTCGCTTGCCGTCCACTGGCGCACCGCGTTGGAAGATGAGTTTGCGTGCGCGATCAATCTTGTTGCGGCGAGCCTGATCATCAACACGTCGGAGTGTTATGCGATCATTCATATCGCCTTCGGTCCCCATCTCAGATACGTCGGCCTTCTTGATAAGGCAGCGTGGACATAGACATTCACCAAGAAACTTAATTCCGGCAAGTAAGATCCTAATATGATGTCAATTTCAGTAACACGTGAAATGAGAGAAAAACTTACTTCTCTGGATAATCAGCAGAATATGAAAAAAACCGAGGAAATACTCGGCGAGTGACGCCATCTCCACAACGGATCACAATGCCATGCTCATATGCATGCATGAAGTCTTCGTCGAGGAGGAGCTTCCATATTGCCTGCATAAGCTCGCGCTTGCAGTGTGTGTGCACCTCTGACGAAGACGCATCCTCGAAGATACTAAAGTACGAATCTTGAAAATCGTCTGGGATCTGATTTTGTAGTAAGTAGGGGTAGATGATTTGAATGATTTGAAACAAACTCACCGAAGGAATATATGCGACGTGATGGCATGCGCAAGCTGTAGGCTTCCCGCGGGTATATTTAGATTCATTACCGAAAAACAAATAAAAAGGCCAGAGGGAGGCATCACCGAAATTTGAAAGGTGTGTCGAGTCAGAATACATCATAAGTGATGCTACGACATGTTCCAGATCGTCGTCCGGATTGCGGGGAAGGGAATTGACCTCAGCATGGGCCTCCATCATCGCAGGGGAAGAATATGCCTCCGAAAAGACCTCGATACTTCGCTCGTCCGAGACTTTCCACATATGACGAAATGGCGTCATATGGAACGTTCTCACTGCGCCATCTTCGAATACTTCCGTGATGATATTGATCAACGATCGATGGCGCACGCCTTTAATTTCGAGTTCGGGGGCATCACGTTCTGATGGCCACTTAGTTTTTTCTTTCGGAAGGCGAATATGAACTGACGACTCCTTCCACCCGTTCCTAGCGCTGAAAGGGTTGGACCGGTCCTCGAGGTACTCTGCAATAAGTCTTTTCTCTTGGGTGGCACTGAAAATTCTTACGTCGTCCCTATTGTAAGCGTCGTCATCGAGGAATGTTGTGAGTCGCTGCAAAGCAGCATCAGAAACCAGATTTGAGCTGGAGTATTGCCAGCACATCAGTAGACCGGCAGTTGGACTACTGAAAGCAGAGTAGAGGTTTTTGGGAGTGATGGACAAAGGGAGGGGGGGACCAGTGTGAAGCTGAGACGGAGTATTGTTGGGACCCAATTGCAACATTGGCGTGTCGCATAGGCTATTGAGGGGGGACCGTGGAAACAGAGTGGGACGAGTAGCATATACTCGGTACAATCCCATTGCGTCTGGATCTGTTTCAAAAGGGATTAGCTCGTTACCGGCATGAATCTCTTCTTCGGGCATGATCTCATCAGCCCGAGCTACCTCAGGTATGTTGTCGCCAGGAATGAAGTCGTCGTATCGTTTGGGCATGCGAATGATGCGCCCGGAACGATTGGAGCGAATAGCTGCGCTAGGCTCAGGTAGTGGTGGGGAAGGGGATCGTTGCAAAGGTCCAGGAATGTCGCTATCCTGTAATATATGTCAAATATTAGTTCTGTAGGATTAAAAAGACAAGACATACCTGATTATGCCAGTTTTTGGCATGCACGTCACCTATTTCTTGGGGGGCATCCTCCTCTCCACTGAAAGACTCCTGACGGTTGGTTTTTCTCTTCTTGATCTTGCGATTTCTTTCAGAGCGCCGGTATGATTTGCTGATCTGCGTGCTGAATTCATGGTGAGTCTCGCATAGCGTCTCATGTGCGCTCAAGCGCCTCTGGCTGTTGAAAGCCTTTCCACACCCAAGGCAGGTGAGGTCGTCCATGGAGTAGCGGGAGTGGGGGTTTCAGATGGGAGGACAGTGCTATTTATCTAGAATACAAGCACTACACTACCAAATATACATGAGGATATGTCAATACCTAAATGCCTGGTATGAATCACATGGACGCACCTTATAATGGAAGTCCTCTAGTGATACTCGAAGGCCGCATCAAGTCTGCCACATGGTATCATCCTGCAAATCCAAACCATGTAAGTATTTGAGTCACTGCAGCACCTTATGCAGTATACTGGTGCACGAGCCAGCGGTCTTCATCCCATAGCTCATGGGGTTAGATAGGGTGGGGGTAGAGTAGAGGATAGCAGTTGGACTGAACGAAGTACTAAAGATGGAAGGGAAGTGATGTTAGTTGTAGAAGAAACACCGTTCTGGTTGGATGCGGGGTCGGAAGAGGCATGGTTAGTGACAGAGGATCCGTCACCTCTCCTGCGCCTGCGACCTTCTCTGAACTCAACGCTAGGCTTGAGGTCTGGCTTGGTGGGGGTGGAGCCTTCGCCAGAGAAGGTGTAGGATGAAGATGAAGTTGCAGGGAATGAGCTAGGGGAGCGTCGATACTGAATGTAAACTGCATTCGCTTAATGGTACCGGGCTGGGCATTCTGATAAGCCTCTTGGGAACGTTCGCGTTCGACGGCTCATTGACGGATGAGGTTGGTGGAGAGGCATATCTTGGAAGCCTTAGAAACATAGCGCGCTCGTGGGTGGACAAGAAATACAACTTGAATTCTGCTATTAGTAGTACATGGGACAATGGGATAACTCGTGCAGAGCGTGTCGGTATCTGATGCAAAGTGAAATGAAGGTGTAACAAAATGAAAGCGGGACAAAGTGCTGCAAAGGACTGGCGAAAACGATGAGATGAGAACATACTATGTAGTTTTGTCAATGGCTACTACATCAGCAGGTGTAATCTTAAGGCTCTCAAAAGCTGAGATAGGTAAAGAAGAAACATTTCGGTAGCCACGAGGCCAGCGGGGGGGCCAAGCGGAATCTGCATCTCCAAAGAAGTGACCGTGACCGAGCTTGCGTTTTTTCGAGGAAAAGTCCTTCCTGATTGCGTCGAGCCTCACTGGAGTTGCGATGAAGAGATTGGGGTTATCCCTGAATCAAGATGTGAAAAAAAACGAATTAAACACTGCCAAAAAAACATACTCGGTCTTGGAGGTTGTCTCTTCGGAGACAAATGTCGCATCCAGGTCGTCCTTCATGCTAGACGAAGAGCTAAAAAGATAGAATGTGAGTGTGTACACTAATGAGCAAAAAACATGTATCATACATCTTGCAAGCCTTCGATTCTGATGTGTCCATGTCGCTGTCCTCGTCTTCGACATATTTGAACCTAGACGCGTCTTTTAAACGCAATATAAGTGTCTGTATGATTAATGTAAGTAAAACAATGCGACTGAGAATTCGAATTGAATACTTACCACGGGTCCTGGGTGGGTCGGCGTGAACTTGATTGTATACGTTGGCCAGTCGACGAGCAGGTTTTCGACATCCATGAAGATGTGGTTGCCAGCGACGCCGACTTTACCACCGACATCGACTTTGTCACTGCAGTCGACAGGACTGAAAGAGCGAGCAGTAGTGTTAGACATTAGAATATAAGTATTAAGTATAAAATTAAGAGTTCAAAGCAATACCCGCGTCAAAGCGCGTCAAACACTTATGAAAATTCCAGCGGAGCCTAATCTAATAGGAGCCAAACAAGGACAAGCGCGTCAATAATATTCACGCGTCTTAAGTTATCACTGATTCTTATCTTTCCATCCTACACCATGGCGCGTCGCAAACGCGCTACCTCTGTTTCATCATCTTCATCATCCGACAGTTCTATCTCATCCCAGTCAGCAGTAGCTGTACCTCCGAAGAAGATCTCAAAGAAACTCACCAGGCCAAAAAAAAGGCGCCGTTCATCAGACGATGATGAGAAAATGTAAGTAGATTCATCATCAGTTCGTTTGATGTTACGATCACTAACAATGCTTTAATACAGGAATATGGAGCCTGAGACTGACCCTCACGAAGAATTTGTCAGTGCAGCGCGTTGCATAGCGCGCTGCATTGACGTGTTTTGCAAGACAAAACAACTTATCACGGTAGGTCTTTCTCTCCAGCAGCGTGACGCTGCGGAGAATGGTGATGTCTCGGAGGACGAAGATATCCGGGTTAGTCGCGACAAGCGACTCTCGAAAATGTGAGTCACTTTTGAATCTTACATTTAACTGAATCTTTTCCTGCTCCGCAGGTCACCTAAGATCCAAGATCGATACAAGAGGAACTACGCTCATCTACTCCAGCTCGCGCCGAGCTTGAAGCCTCTACTTGGCGACCCTCGGAGGACTTCGGAGCTCAACGCTATCATCAAGAAGGTGAGTTTATGCGCATATATGCGCATATCATGTACTTAATTCATCCATCAGATGGATGCTACTATCTCCGCTACTCGTTCTGATGATACCTCGCGCCTGAAGAACCAAATCGGTCACTACGCGGCCTTCAACCTTCGTTCCCCGATAATGCCACCTGTATACGACGGCACTGGTTCGCGTACCCACCTGGGTAGTAACCACCCCATTCTCGCTCGATTTCTCTGTCCAGTCAGAGAACTCAAAGAATTTTCAAAGGACGCTGAGAAGTGCGTTTTTTTTTTAATTCAAGTCCAACTCAAGTTAGTCTAACGTGATACAGGGCTCAGAAAAAACTTCAAAGCGGCAAGATTAAGATGACTGCCTCCGCTCTTCCTGCCTTTCTGTGGGCTGGGGATCTACCAGGCAAGGACTACGACGACAATAACATGTTCGAAGGCATGTTCGGGGGTCATTTGTTGGAAAGAGTATGTGTCGTTTCTTCGTTGTTGCCTTATGCTGATGTTGCTTTAGACTATGCGCCACATCTTTACAAGTCCCTCGAGTGCGTATGGGGAGCAGACGCGGGCGACACGCACCTGTAACGCTGCCCTACACAACATGACCACAGTAGAAGCAGCGCATATTGCCTATGGCTGCTTGCAGGTTTGTTTCCTCAAGGTCTATCTGTAGTCATGAGTTGCTCAATTTTCAAAGGTTCGTTTTGGTATTGGCGCCAAGAACGCTTGGTCGGAAGTCGACGGCGATTTCAACTATCGCGACTTTTACAACAACATCGTCGACCTCATCGAAGATTCACCCGATCCAGAATGGAAAGACGAGCTCCTCAGAGCTTGGAACATGTAAGTTTCTTTTATATTCTTCATGTCACGCTAACATGATTGATTCAAGGAAATTATTCAAGAACGAAGAAGGCCGCGAGGGCGACTCTATTACCAGCAAAGATAACGACATTTCTAGCACCTCTCGTGAAGGAAGAGATGACGATCTAGCACGAGTCCGTGCCCAAATGGCGGCTCGTCGTGCAGCCAAAGCAGCTCCAGCACACCCTCCTTCTCCCCCACCTTCCCTTTCACCACCTCCCCCTCCTCGCAAGTCAACGCCAGCTCGTCCTTCCGAACCAATGCCTTCTCGCGAGACAACTCCAGTGCCACCTCCTACTCACAGGCCGGTTCCCACTCCCAGGCCAGTTGCTACTCCCAGGCCGGTTCCTACTCCCAGGCCAGTTGCTACTCCTAGGCCGGTTCCTACTCCCAGGCCAATTCCTGCTCGCAAGCCAGTTCCTACTCCATCTGCACCAGCACCTGCGCCTCCTCGTGAACCAACGCCAGCCCCTCGCGAACCAACTCCAGCGCCTTCTGCTCCCAAACGAGTTTCTCCTCGCAAGCTTCCAGCTCCATCTGCACCAGCACCTGCGCATGCTGAGTCGCCCGCCCCCAGTGATCTAACGGGGTCCGAGTCAGACAATGAGTCTGAACCCGTCCAGGTCAAAGGTAAACGCAAGGCCAAGAAGGGGAGCACCAAAGTCTCTAAGCCAAAGCGTGGCAAGGCTGCCCCATCTGCAGAAGCCAAGCCACGGAGAAGGTCAAGGAAGTAGCTGTCCCCTGCCTCGTTCATCATCGCACGTTCTCCTCTTATTTGCATTGCTCGCAGACCCCCCCCCCCCATGTGTACTTTCATTTTGTCGTTGTCATTTGCTACTGTGCTGTACTACTGACCTACTCATAGATCACTCGTTTTCCCATTCTGTTGTCTGCTCTCGATTACCTCAGTACCTGCATTCGCATACATAGGCTCGGAACCACTGTACCTCACTGCTTTGTACTACCATTAATTCAATGCATCACATTGTTATATCTGAACGCAATTGCAATGTCTGATGAATCTGAGCGCAATTCAAATGCATTATGTACATAGCAATGTTTGATATATCGGTACATTAGCCTAATGCCAGACTATTGTCATATAGCAGTCGCAATGTCAGAATTGAGTTTCCTAACATTGCCTTATATTGGGACCTTCCGCCAGATACATATGGCAGGTATGGTAGCTCCGACATGGCAATATATGGCCATCTCTGGATTCGGTAATTTTGGTGATGGTACCGTTGACCTCGGTGGTCGTTTTTTCGAGGTCCCGTTTTGAAGTAATCAACCACTTTTGGATGAACGAATATATATCGTATCCGAATGTGGCTATGAAACTTTGGGTCCAGATCTCAGCGGGAATGCCCGGCTTTGCTCAGCAACTTACCGTGACTCCCACCGACCAACTTTAATGTACAGATAGTACTTTGAGACCTCCGAGTCGTAGCGCTGCGTTATCCACCTTGTAAATGCATTCACTCACACTATCAATCGCGTTAGCCACCTGACACGGGTTCGGAAAGCCGGTGAAGTTGATTGTCGTTCATCTGAAGTTCTGAACATGACTTCGGCTTTGATGTCGAACGTTCAAAACTCTCTGCTTACTGAGACGAAAAAACTTTGGTTTGAACTTTGGACACCATCAACGCCCAGGGGTACCGGTGTTGATTACAACAATATTGCGCAGCAGCCAACATCAAGGGACTTCTATATATATACGTTCCCGTCAGTCATGCTACTGCCAGTAGTATTGATTTGCTTGGGAGTGCTGCTATGCAGCGTACAGATTTGATGTGTATGTACTCACTCAAACAAACATCATACCATTTGACTCGCTGACGAAATGCACATAACAGACCAATGTACATCGAACTGCCTCAAAATTTGAATCGGACCAAGGTAAGTACTACTTGATCTGATGGTAACTCAGCCATTGACATGCGGTGTCAGCAAAGCGCCTGCAAGCGCAGCATGCAAAAACTGACCCACATAGCAGGTCTCTTCATTACCTTGAACCCGTATCTCTCCCTCCCCTCGATTGCCGACTTCGCGCAGTGTTTTACTCTCCAGTCTGTCTGTACAACGTACCAACATCCTTGTCATGCCATACGAAGAGGACGAGTCGAGTATGTCAACGAGACGAGGAGAAGCGCCATTGCACTCATCGATATGTCGGACGAGCGCGCAAGATCCACCACCATATGGTGCACAGCACCGCCAGGACGCACTTTGGGAAGGTGAGCAGCTACCTTGTGATACCCACCAGCTTACTTAATTAGAATCAGGCGGGAATGAAGCGCTTCCTCCTATGTGGCAACAGTTTATGCCGTTGTCGGATAGTGCAATACAATATCATGATGATACGCTCACGATGGTCTCGCGGAACCGACCTTTACCGGGAGTGCGACTAGGTGAGGGATGAAATTGCAACAAGGAGCGACGTACTTACCATTGAACATAGATAATCCCGGAGATCTTGCTGTTCCTGGATGGGAATGGCACATCTCACCACTCGGTCGGTCTTACTTCGTCGACCACAACGCTCGGACCACGTCATGGAAGAAACCAAAGCCAGGACGTCCGGCAGGAAGCTTAATGCCGGAGTGCGTCATCGAGGGCCACTCCGAATGCATATGGAGCCTTGCCTACTTGGGCAGCAGTGGCAATATAATGAGCACGTCTGATGATAGTTCGATTCGTCAGTGGAAAGGAAATGGAGAGCCAGTGGGAAAACCTTTGAATAGCGACGGGGGTGGGATAGTTTCGATGGTAGTATCCTCGGACGAAACCATGGTCATTTGCGGAAGTGGAGACGGTAGACTGCGGCTGTGGAATATAAAGGAGGGCAGCATGGTTGGTGACCCATGGGAGGGGCATAATGTTAATGCACCAGTGAGGTGCCTTGATTGGTCTCGCAATTCCCTGGAGATAGCAAGTGGATCGCAAGACGGCACGATACGACGCTGGAACCCGGATACTGGTCGACAAATAGCACCACCCATAGAGACCAGCCACGGATGGGTTATGGCCATCAAATACTCTCCACAAGGCGACGAATTCATGAGCGGCGGTGTGGACGGTCCGATCTGCATATGGTCAAAGGACGGCAAGCTGCTTGTTCAGATCAAGGGACATGAAAACTGGGTGTCATCATTGTGCTGGTCCCAGGATGGCGCGCACATCTTCTCCGGGTCGGGTGATCATACCATCCGGAAATGGCGGGCGATTGATGGGCAGGAGCTCGTTATTTTTCGCGGTCATACTCACCCTGTCCAATCGCTCTGTCTTGCCCCCAACGAAAGCTATATTGTTAGCGGATCAATTGACTGCTCCATTCGCATCTGGGATCTCAAAACTAATCAGGCAGTCGGAGATCCACTCCTGCAATTGCATGATGACAGAGTCGTCGCTGTTGCCATGTCATGCGATGGAAAATACATTGCCAGCGCTGGAGTAGAGAAACAAATTTATGTATGGAACCTGGAGGCAGCGCTCAAAAACGTTCTGGTACGTATGTGCTTTGTTGTCTCATTCCCCTTCCTAACGGCTTTGGCTATCTAGGGCGCACATGATGGGAATGTAAAGCTCAAGGCAAGTCTTCTCTGCTTCCCTTTCACACTACATCTCACTTTTCACTAGGGACGTCCAGCTCAACTAAGAGTTGTGCGCGCATCGATCGTGAGCAACCCCACCTTTTCTCGTGTCTCGTCAGCCCTTTGACCCCCGTCTTGTGTCCAATCAGCAGCCCAAAAAAATAGGACTAGAAAGATATGTCAGTGTAGTTTCTTGTTCTTGACCTTTCTCGCCTGACACCAAGATACAGGGCAATGATTTCTTTGGCAATGAATCAGACCACACGTCTCGTCGTACGGCTCCTCCCGCAAGCCCGTCGTCCCTTATTCGTTGGCGTCATTTTCTCAATTCCATACATTTCGGCACACGACCTGTAAATCCATCCAAACCAATCGACCGACAGTTCCCACACTGGAATTTCAACTTCAAGTCGTTTTCCGGAGGACATTCCATGCGCACCGTCGATGTACCTCTTGCTCAAGATAAAGGTGTGAGTTACTCGTCGTCCCACTAATTTCGTTCCATTAAAGCACACTGCAGAGATATGACATTGTCCCTGAAACTGATGCGAAAGCGGCTGCAGCTATGCGATGTACGAACAGCCAAGCCAACAGTGCAACGTAATTAGGTCAACCGGTAGCAGGTGCACAAGAGTCTCAAGCACGACCAACAGAAACACACCAGTCAACCGGTGGGAGGAGAGAAGTTCCCCACGAAGTTTCCTGCTGCGGATTTGACTTTCAAGTTGGTCGTCATTCCACTTCGTGTCAGTCGTAAAATTGTCTAGAAACTCTGTTCCTCGAACGTTTCTCTTCCCTTTCATTGTGTTTACGCATCGAGCATCTTAGATATAACTCGTTCTGTCCCATGTACATGCGCAACGATATTGATATATCTCTCTCAATAAGGGGCGCATGATCAAATCAAGCATCAGGGTGTGCCAGTGTCTGTGTAGCTCCCGCGTAGAATATCCGAAAGACATAGGAGATCGAATACAAACAGAGTCAGAGTGTGCGAAAGGATACTACTGATACCATAGTTTGTACCGGCGCTATTGAGTTTCGCTGGTGTATTGGGATATAATGGAGAAGAGCTGCGATTTTAAGAGAAAGGGGCACAGCAGAGGGCTTGGGCCTGTACGCATGATTGGAGGCTGGCCTGGAACTAATAGCATGTGCTACTGGATGGGCACGAACTGACAATGTTTGAGTCCGGCATTCGAAAAGCATATTCGAAAGCGTCAAACCTGCTGCCAGAGAGCGTGCAAAGCTCAGTGCCGAAGTCCATACCTTACATATATCCCCTTTGTACAAGTATATATCAGTAATTCACCCACAACGTTAGGTAGTTGTCCGCTGTTGCTAGTAGTCGGTCGCCATTTCGGACTGGAAACCCACCGAAGCGACTCTTGACAGATTATGTGTTGTCGTCTAGCAGTTAGAAGGTCGTCACCTGACACGTGTTCGGAAAACCGGTGAAATTGATTGCTGTTCTTCTAATGTTCTGAACATGCCTTCGGCTTTGATGTCGAACGTTCAAAAATCTGCTTACTGAGATGAAAAAACTTTGATTTAGGCACTATCAACGCCCAGGGGTTGTTGATTATAACAATATTACGCAGCCAATATCACGGAACTTACGTTCCCGTCGGTCATGCAATGGTGATTTGCATGGGAGTGCTGCTACGTACTATGCAGCGTGCAGATTTGGTGTGTATGTACCCGCTCAAACAAACATCATATTATTCCAATCGCTGATGAGACATACGTAAACAGACCAATATACATCGAACAGCCTCGAAATTTGAACCGGACGAAGGTAAGTACTTGATCCGGTAGTTACACAGCCATTGAAATATTGACATGCGGTGTCAGCAAAGCGCCTGCAACCACAGCATGCAAAACTGACCCAAATAGTAGGTCTCCTCATCACCTTGAACCCGTATCTCTCCCTCGCCTCGATCACCGACTTTGCGCAGTATTTCTCTCTCTAGTCCGTTTGTACAGCTCAGCATCCTATATCGATCAAGGTCATGCCACACGAAGAGGCCGAGTCGAGCACGTCAACGAGACGGGGTGAAGCGCCATTGGACTCATCGATATATCAGACGAGCGCGAAATATTTACCACCATATGGTGCACAGCACCGCCAGGACGCACTTTGGGAAGGTGAGCAAGTACCTTGTGATACCCACCAGCTTATTCAATTAGAATCAGGCGGGAATGAAGCGCTTCCTCCTATGTGGCGTCAGTATAAGATGTCGTCGGATGGTAAAACACTATATAAAGATGGCACGCTCACGATTACCTCGTGGAACCGACCTTTACCAGGAGTGCGACTAGGTGAGGGATGAAATTGTGACAAGGAGCGACGAACTCACCATGGAACATAGATAATCCCGGGGATCTCGCTGTTCCCGGATGGGAATGGCACATCTCACCACTAGGCCGATCCTACTTTGTCGATCACAGCACTCGGACCACGTCATGGAAGAAACCAAAGCCAGAACGTCCGGCAGGAAGCTTGATGCCAGAGTGCGTCATCGAGGGTCACTCAGAATGCATATGGAGCCTTGCCTACTTGGGCAGCAGTGGCAATATAATGAGCACGTCTGATGATAGTTCGATTCGTCAGTGGAAAGGAGACGGAGAGCCAATGGGTAAACCTTTTAATAGCGATGGGAGAGGGATAGGTCCAATGGTAGTATCCCGGGATGAAACAATGGTCATTTGTGGAAGTGTAGACGGCAGACTGCGACTGTGGAATATAAAGGAGGGCAGGATGGTTGGTGACCCGTGGGAGGGGCATAATGTTGCAGTGAGGTGCCTTGATTGGTCTTGCAATTCCCTGGAGATAGCAAGTGGATCGAATGATGGCACGATACGACGCTGGAACCCGGATACTGGTCGACAAATAGCACCACCCATAGAGATCAGCCACGGATGGGTTGAAGCCGTCAAATACTCTCCACAAGGCGACAAGTTCATGAGCGGTGGGAGCGGTCCGATCTGCATATGGTCAAAGGACGGCAGGCTGCTTATGAAGATCAAGGGACATGAAAAGTGGGTGTCGTCATTGTGTTGGTCCAAGGACGGCGCACACATATTCTCCGGGTCATACGATCACACTATCCGAAAATGGCGGGCGATTGATGGACAGGAACTCGTCGTTTTTCGGGGTCACACCAACGCCGTCCAATCGCTCTGTCTTACTCCCAATGAAAGCTATATTGTTAGCGGATCGTATGACTGCTCCATTCGCATCTGGGATCTCAAGACCAATCAGGCAGTCGGAGATCCACTCTTGCATGATGACCAAGTCTTCGCTGTTGCCGCGTCCTGCGATGGAAAATCCATTGCAAGTGCTGGACTAGACAAAAAAATTTATGTATGGAACCTGGAGGCGGTGCTCAAAAACGTTCTGGTACATATGCGCTTTGTTGTCCAATTTCCCTTCCTGACGGTTCTGGCCATTAGGCTGCAGACGCAGAGCTCAAGGCAAGTCTTCTCTGCTTCTCTTTTACACTACATCTCACTTCTCACTAGGGACGTCCAGCCCAACCGAGAGTTGTGCGCCCACCAATCGTGAGCAACCCCACCTTCTCTCATATGTCTCGTCAGACCTTTGACCCCGTCTTGCGTCTAATCAGCAGGCCAAAAAAATAGGACTGGCAAGATATGTCAGTGTACTTTCTTGTTCTTGACCTTTCTCGCATGACACCAAGATACAGGGCAATGATTTCTTTGGCAACGAATCAGACCACGCGTCTGGTCGTGCAGCTCCTCCCGCAAGCCCATTGTCCCTTGTTCGTTGGCGTCGTTTTCTCACTTCCATACATTTCGGCACACGACCTGTGAATCCATCCCAACCAATCGAACGACAGTCCCGACACTGGAATTTCAACTTCAAGTTGTTTTCCGGACGACGTTCCACGCGCACCGTCGATGTACCTCTTGCTCAAGATGATGTTGTGAGTGACTCATCGTCCCTCCAATTTCGTTCCATTGAAATACACTGCAGAGACATGCCTTTGTCATTGTCCCTCAAACTGGTGCGGAAGCGGCTGCAGCTGTGCAACGTACGAACAGCAACCAGGCCAACAGTGCAACCCAATCAAGTCAACCAGCAGCAGGTGCACAAGGGTCTCAATCACGACCAACAGAAACACATCAGCCAACTGGTGGGACGGGAGAAGTTCCCTACGAAGTTACCTGTTGCTCTTACTTTCGTCGTCCTTTCACTTTGTGTCAGTCATGAAGGATGGAAGACGTGTGGCACGCTCACACTCAGTTCAACTCTCGTTCCCCCGCACCTGTGTCTAACTCCTCTGATAATCAATATTCGCCGCCGTGACTATCACCCACGCACTCGGATCCATCTCTCCTCGTGCACCTCCTTTCCTTTGCGCTACTTTCCCTGGATCCACGCCACGTGTTGACAACACCACCAGAGAAGTTGACCCCCGTTCTCTGGAATGCAGCTCTTGGTGGTGTAATGGTCTTCTGCGCGGAGAACTTGATGTTTGCTGGACAGGCGACTCGTTGAAAAGTTAAAGTTGGATTTCATGCAGCGTTGAGTACATACTACTAAAATCGTACACAGATAGTTCAACATGTATTTGTACAACTTGGATTTCCATCGATACGAGTTTACTGATTACTTGAAACTTACAAATCCGTCGATCTCTGCATGCGAGGGCGTCTGTCCAATTTTCACTAGGGTCGAAACGTTCGGACTTGTCTCAACAGCTCTTAGCATTTTCTTACGGTAAATGGTGAATATTTTAATCCGCATCAAGGGCATGGAGCATCCACTTCAGTGCGAAGCAGAGCTTGCTGCTGCTGAGTAAGTCATAAAATACGAAAGTCTACCTGGGAGTTTTTCAGTTTACGTCAAGGCCTGCTATGCGCTCGTTTCTTTACATATGGACTAATGTTTTTCAGGGATCCGCAACTCGTTGAAAAAGAAAAAGGGACGTTCGAGTTTTGGGCTACTCGGCGAGTTCTCTATGGCACGCTTTGTGAAGCTCGTGTACTATGTTTAACGTCCCCACCGGTCGCGTCATATTTTGGATCAAAGTGACGCCAAGGAGAGAAGAGTTGACGTGTGAAGGCAAGACATCTAACACGCCTCTCTTCTACCCATACTCAATCTTCACGAATCACAGCTCTATGACAAGCAGCAAGCGAGGTATGTATGTTTTATCTAAAGCTTGGTCTGTGCGTGTGAACAACAAAATTCTTTGCTGAGTAACAAGCAGTTCATTAATATTCCAAGTTCGACTTCCTTGGCTTCCTAATTCTCATTACCTCCTTTACTATGATCACCAACACCAATTTCAACCGAGCTCAGAACAGAGGCACCCGTGGTCGTGGAGGAGCCCAGCGGGGTCCTACTGGGCAACGGGATCCTGCTGCAGGTCCTGCACGACGCACCTCTGGGCTGCCGGCTAGTCCGCAACAGGCCTCTCAAGGAGGTGAAGCCGCCGAGTTACTCCGCTCTCATGAGCAAGCGCTAGAGAAAATGCGAGGTGAGGTTGGCATTCGGTATGACCGTCCTATCCGTCCAGGGTTCGGTACCCTCGGAGAACCGGTCACACTGGTTGCCAACTTCTTCGCAGTGAAGATCACAAAGTCACTTATTTATACATATCGTGTCAAAGTCGAACCAACCAGGAACGCCAAAGACGTTCAGCGTCGTCTCCTGCTGTTACTCGAGCAGAGCAATAACCAGGCTTGGCAAAGTGTCAAATCCTGCGTGGCTTTTGATGGGAGAGAGACGTTGGTATCTGCCGAAGAACTTCCCCAACCCATGCAGATTTCTGTGAGGTTCTTCGAGGAAGGACAGACGCTTGGTCCCAACTTGCCAGAATATACCGTCTCTCTCGAATTACTCCGCAAATTCGATATTAGCAAACTCAAGCAGTAAGTACTGAGCCAAGAGACGTGACCTACTGTCTCAATTTTGTTGTCCAGATTTTTGCACTGCGACGTCGATATCAATGATAACTACGACATTTCCCCGCTCATATCTGCATACAACATCGTTCTTCAGCAACATGCATCGTCGACTGCAATTCGAGTAGGAAACAGTCGCTACTTCGGGTTTCCGGGCTTCAAGGCAAATGAGCTCTCGCCTGGGCTTACTGGCTTGGAGGCATTCAGAGGCTTCTTCTTGTCCGCAAGGCCCGTTTTCGGAGAGCTAATGATTAATGTTGGTGTATGTATGACACCGTTCTACAAGCACGCACGATTGGATTCAGCATATGAAGAATTTGCGGGTCTTTCCAAAGGCGCAACTCTGCAGCGGTTTGCTCAGAATGTCAAAGTGACCACCACGTATCTCGGTTACACCAAGCGCCGCACGTTATTACGGATCACGTCGTTGTCCGCAGAGAAAACAACATTTGTGAAGGATGGACGTCAAGTTTCAGTCGCCGAGCATTTTCAGAATGGTATTGTCGTCATTTAGTTGCTAGCCTCTGTTCATCAAGCTGATCCTGAAGCATTAGTGCACAGTATATCACTGAAACGTCCAGATCTCCCAGTCGCTGACCTTGGGACAGCGGGAAGGTCGAATTATGTTCCACTGGAGCTGTGTGTGATTGAATCACAGCCATTCAGAGGTCTTCTTAACGATAGAGAGACCACGAACATGCTGAATCATGCATGCAAGCCGCCGGCCGCCAACTTTGAAGAGATAATCAACAAAGGACTGCCCTCGCTTGCTTTGACTGAACCTAAGGCGAGCATTCTAGATGAGTTTGGCATATCGATCAGCAATACGATGACCGACGTTCCTGGACGAGAGCTCCCTCCGCCCAAACGTCTGCAATACCATTTTGGTTCTCCTTCCGTGCAGCCGGCAAGAGGCAGTTGGAACCTCACGAATGTGAAATTCCACACTGGAGCTTCCGTTACCAAATGGGCAGTTGTAGTCTTGTCAGATGGGTATCCCATTCCCAGTGATGAAGACGTGTCCAAAGTGTGGACAGGGTTCAGAGAAGGTTGTAAGAGGTCAGGAATGATGTTCGCAAACCAAGCCCCGACTGTTGCCAGAACGCCCCAATTGCCCCGACAATTTCAGGACAATGATCGGTCGAAGGGTATATTGGAAATCAAGCGCACGATCCAGAACCTCGTCGGGGGTAACCCAATGTTTTTACTGGTCCTCCTACCTTTCCGTGACACGAAGTTATACCCCGGTGTCAAACGCATATGTGATGTCGAGCTCGGGATACATTCTGTCACGATTGTACTGAACAAAGTCCTGAAAAACAAGGGTCCACAGCAGTACTATGCTAACGTTGCCCTGAAGCTCAACCAGAAACTCGGGGGCATCAATCATACGCTCGACGTCGAAAGCACGCGCTGGCTCACTACGAAGAGCACGATGCTCGTGGGCATGGATGTTACCCACCCTGGACCTGGCAGCAAGCCAGGCACTCCATCCATCGCTGCAGTAATCGCCACTATTGATAAGTCTCTCGCGCAATGCCCTGCGAGTTTGAGGTGCCAGAAGTCGAAGAGAGAGGTATATTGCTCTAACAAATTATTTTCTTACCTTCGCATAGCTGATTGACGCCTACAGATGATAGATGACTTGATGGAGATGATGCTAGAGCGACTGAGAGCGTACAAGAAGAGGAGTGGTTCCCTCCCAGAGAGGATAATCGTCTACAGAGATGGCGTCTCAGAGGTAAGTCAATAATCCTTCCGCCTTATACTTTCGAGTATGATTCTCACCCACAACCTAGGGTCAATTCGACACAGTGCTCGAGCGAGGCTCTGAGAAGGACAAGATTCTGGATGCCTTCAAGGCCATCCACAAAGAAACCAAGGATCTTGTCGAGTACCGGCCCCACCTCAGTATTATCATCTGTGGGAAACGGCACCACGCTCGCTTCAGGCCGAAAGACCAGAAGAATCAGAGCCGAAACGGAAACACACGCCCTGGAACAGTCGTCGATAGACGCATCACTGCCGTGTAAGTCTTCATAGACCTGTGAAATGGAAGTCAGCTCATATTCTTGTCTCTACCAGTTATGATTTCGACTTTTATCTGCAAGCCCATGATGGGATCAAGGGCCACGCGCGACCTACTCACTACACAGTTATCTACGACGAGAGTGGTTTTAGTGCCGATGTGATACAGCAGGGCACACACACCGCGAGTTACTTATATGCCCGCGCCACCAAGGCGGTGAGCCTTGTACCCCTCGCGTATTATGCTGACCTGGCATGCGAGCGGGCGCGTTGTTACCTCGATGGATTTCTAAACTCGGAGCAGCTTTCTGCGCCTGGTTCCTCGAGTCGGAAGGGAGAGGGAAAGGGTAAGGGTAAAGGAAAGGCCATGGCGGCAGACGAAAGGGAGGCGGCCGAGCAGCGTGTTTATGATGCTGCTCTTCAAGCATGGGGTCAAGGCGTCCATATCAATTTGAAGGAGACGATGTTTTATATCTGAAGAGATAGCACAAGACAATTTGTATCTGCATGGCGTTGTAGAATGTATTTGATCTTCAAGATCGTGAGAAATGAAACAAAGTGTCGCCTGATATGGGCAACATTACTAAATTTCGCTGTTCAAACGTTCACCTTGATCAAGGCTCACTAGGATGGATTCAATGACTACTGAAAGAATCGATGACTTCTTTCGTCCATATACACATCCTACGTATATATATGGAGGCCTTGGAACACTGTTCGAGACCTTTGAAACTCAGCCACCTCGCTTTTACTCTACTGCAGGGCTCACGAGTCACCATCGCATAACATAGGCATGTCCGAGTCCCACCTTACTCCTCATCCAAGCTCTGTCATGTCAGATGATATGCATGCACCTGCATTCCTTCCCCCCATAGTCCATCATCTGTCACAATATGTGGACGATGCGAAAAGAAGATTCAAGCCCTACGACAGGGATGGTCCCACCATGTGGGCCCTCCGCTTCGCTGAAAGTTACACTACCCCAGGGAACACCGATACGAGTCTCATGGATATTCAGAGTGTATGTTATCACATATGTATCCCGACGTTGCTTATTGATGGCAAGCATGTCAGGGCAAGCATCAATTACGCTCTGGCTTGAAACACCTGTCCAATGAGGCCATGGCTCAAGCCGTCCTCACGAAGGAAGCTGATCGTGAGTGGAGACGCCTGAGTGCCATGGCAACGGCTTGGCGAATCGAGGCGTCTGAGCGACACACAAAGTTCCTTCATATGGTTCTTGAGTGTGAGGCTGATACATATGCTAGCGCCACTTCAGAACCTCTCGACACATCAGTTCAAGCTCTTGTAAAGAGGAGCTTCAAGACTGTATAGACTTTGGTGCCGTCGCGTATCAACATGACACGATGTCATTCGGTGTTGCGGACGAACAGTTCACTGACATGGAGGCTTATGCTCGAGAGCATTACCGGTCCAACGATGTTCGTGCAGAAGGTAGCAAGCAAGCACTTGCCGCCGACTCTGGCGGTAGCTCAGATGAAGTGACTCAAGGCAGTCCGGAGTCTGTGCATGAATCCACAGAGAACTCCTGAGTCTGACAACTGATGTGATTACCGAATTGATCTTCTCCCATTATGCTCGTACTGACTTTGTGTAATAGACAGTACGTGAGCAGAAAAGCTGTACTTCTAAGTCCAAATCATTAGGACATTTCCTTTGTAGAAACACTGCCATTACGAAGATAATTGTATTTTCTTGGTCCCCATTTTGAGTGACTCAATATCCGCTGCGAAGATCAACAACTATAGAAGGTGTGTGCTACATTTCTCGGTAGCAAATTTAATAAGTGCTGCCGAAGAAGCGCTAGTATCTCCAGTGGCTGCAAAACGATCTCGAATGTGTGATACGGTCAGCATACTATTTACACACTGAAACTTGAGGTTAACGTTGAACTGCGAGTCAACATGATGAAATATTGGGCCCGGGGAGTGGTGGGACTCTACACAATTATGATATATCGCATATGAAACAACCAACGAGAGTCATGACTCTGTTATTCGCTGTGGTGTATCAATCAATGGTCTACACGATGAATCATTTTCTATCTTATTTCGTGCCTTGAGTGGTCTCAGTGCTACTGTGACACCCACAGTAGCCAAATAAATCCATGTATGTTTCGTATCATTGTCCTTCAAGTTGTCTGAGTCTGCAAGGAGTGCTCTAAAAGGAGCATGTTCAGGACACTTAGCCTCGACGAACGTATCACTAGCATGGATAATTAAGTCGGATGATGCATCTCGATATATCCTTCCAGAGGGGATATCATTTCCTCATAGATACAAACACGCATTCTCCCCTCAAGCCGACTGCAGCGAATGGTTTCCCAAGATCCATGAGTTGATAGCTCAGCGTTCTGACAGCACTGTGGCCTGATGCATATTCAACATACGGGGACATCAATGCATAAAACTGTACAACAGGTACAAATGGAAGTGACCTATAACTCTAGCAATCCCAGGCCTCCCTTCTCCATGCACCAATCCACGCCATGACAAAATACAAACACCCTGCAGGTAACATGCAGACCTTTGCAACGACACACCAATCCCACCGGCGTCCAGCCAATTTGCGTGTCTCCTCTCCCTTAAGCTTTACATGAGGCCGTAGACGATCAGGGACGGCCGACACGCGAGTACCTGTATCTGACGGGAGAAGGTTGCTCGTCACCCATATTTGGATGCTGCGAGAAATGCACGTCGTCGTCCCTATGACAGCCCAGCACACATCCGGACGTATTGTGGTCCAACGAAGCAGTGTGCTGTCCAAGATATTTAATGTAGAGAATGCGACATCGACATTAAAACCTAATCCGCCAAGGATCTCGAGCGTGAAGTGGGTTGCAGGCCAACAAATGGCCTGCAAAGCGAGAAGACGTATGAGCGTGGATAAAGGGGGGTAGTAGGCACGCCACCGGTGAAGGAGTCCGGTTGTTAACTGGAGGCATTGATGCGCCGTCAGTAGCGCCTGTGAATGATAAAAACATTAACCTGGAGATTAACCACCCCGAAAAGATAAAACCTTACCCAAAGCACTGCCAGAAAATAATCAGCTCTGTCCGGCAGAGCGATGCGACCCCAACTATCATGCCCTCGATTAATTCGAGAGCACGAACCGGGAGCGAATTGTCCTGAATATAGACCTGGAGGTTTCCACACACACCAGGCATTTATGAGCGCGCCTAATAAAGCAGGGACAACAGACAGGAGCCGTGATGCATCAAAAAGTAGAGTTGTCAGAGTGCTTGGTGGAACTAATGGATTTGAGGCAGGTAGGATACGCGTCGTCGGAAGATGTCGTGGCTGCAAATACGTATCCAAGTAAGAAAGATATGATGTATATGCCGATAAATCCTCACAGGTTCGTCAGCCTCGGTCTCTGTTTCACCAGCACCTAATTGTCCTGGAGCAGTTGTTATCTGCTCCGACTTGGGCCTCCGCCAGCCAATGCCCACATTTAGGACTGCACGAAACCCGCTCGCTCGTGAATCCTTTACTGATCGTGTATTAGTGTGACGGTGTATGTCTTGATTACTTCGAGTGCGTCTAGCAGTGTATATAACATTAGTCGGGTCTTCTTCGTCATCTGCACTCAATTCCTGGTCACGGTTCTCGGAGAGCAAGTCACGTTCCCGTGGACGGTGGTGATTGCGCATGGGATGTATTGGCGCAGTAGAAACGACAAAATCTTGCGAAGATTTTCGTGGTGACGACGGCAGTGTAGACACTGCGGAAGGACGTGTCTGAGAGGAGTGTGCACCAGTGTCTGCAGGGGTAAGCAAGTCGCACAAAGGTATGTATGGTGGTTTGCAGCACGATGTAGTCCGCGATGAAGATAAGGACGAAGAAGATGAAGATGAACACGAAGATGAAGAAGATGAGCTTAGGCCAGGTTTGCCGGAAGCCGGGGTTAGCCTCAAGGTATGCGACCGTCGTCTTGAGCGAGCCTTGCTTGTCGCAAGACTCGGCGTGGTCGATGCTGGCATCATCACATTCAATAGTGAACTCAAATGCTGCTGATAAGAAGTGAAACTCACAGCAAGATCCTTATATCACGCTTCCACTGTTTGTCTGACGTCGACGTTAACTTGAGACAATTTTTGTTCCTGAAATTGCTGTATTAGGTATTTCTTCGGCAGATGCCACTGTCAAAACACTTTTTTACTGTTTCAGTTACTCTCTCGCTATCATGCTGCGGTCTCCTACTCTTCTGCAGCTTTCGGTCAGACTTTAATTCTGTCGGGCGTTCGCATGTGAGTTCTAATATTAAACTAGATGGCTGATACATAACCGAAATAGACGTACTGAAGAACAGCAACAAGCAACTATGCAATATAAATATACAGATGCGAGAGTCAACGCTTCTACATGGCCAACCGCTGCACTCCCAATGAGTCAGGCTTCATACCGAACTCAGCTGCGACCTTGCTTCAAAGCTCATAGCCAAGGCCGCGTATATGACAATCCCTCTAGTATGGTATGGGATGAGACTGACTCAGATTAAATCCGTCTGCGTGCTGGGCTGAATCTTGAGGGAAAGGTACGTCTAGCATGAGGGTTAACGCCCATTCGATCACTTACTAGCCCTTGGACAGCACAATCACTCACAACCGAAGATGCGAATCATGCAAGCCCAATAGATAATGCGAACGTCAGACCCTACACAACGATTACACCTCCGCGGCACCGCTATTGCGGCGGAAATTTTACCTAGAAGTGATTCACATGCTGAGTGCAAGCCAATGTCGAGAACAGATTCTACTGGCTATTCGCACTATAACTTTTTCCCTTTTCTCGTATGCTATCCCCCAGGACAGCCCACAGAGCACTGACGCGTCTTAACAGCTTCCGTGGTATATAGATATAGAAATTCCCTGTCTCTTTCTTGATCCGATATCGTGCGTATTCCAAGGTATCGTGTGTAGTGCGAATGAGAGCTAGCTACAATGTTTGTTGTTGGTGCTACAGATATGTCATGCAAGCTCATCATGAATACCAGCACAAATATCTGTAGCATAGAAAACGAGTTGGTATCTAGGCATTGTTGCCAATGATCATTCACTGAGTGTACGTTCTTAAAGGCCTGACTCTTCCTCTGAGTCACTGGAATCCGGATTATTCTGTTCAAGGAATTGTCAAGTACTGAAATTGACTAATAAGATATGATACTCACGTCGATGAACACCGGCGGCTCTTGACCATCCTCGTCAAGAGACGCCCACGGGAGGTTTGAGGTAACCCATCTGATGCGCTGTTCAGTTAACCAACAAGTCGGCTCAATAATTGCACTCACAATTCTTCGCCCGTGCGTTCGGGGGATATTGATGACCGCCTACTAGCGCGGGAATACCTGGGATGCTTAAGTTCATACAAAGGAGTGAAGCAATGGTCCGGCATACTCCCGCTGCGTGTCAATCCAGCTTGTGCGTCACTCCACCGTTTCACCTCGACCGTCGCACCAACAGTGGCCAGGGGCACTAAAACGGGGGCGGAAGATAACAGAGCAATGTTGATATTTTCTCCGCCTGCACCTACATGAGTATATTAGTTTCAGACAACATGGCACACTTACTTTTATCTGAGAGGTACAAGGTGTAGGCAGGACAATGAAAAACCTTGATAACGAGATGAACCGACTTGAGGAACTCAATGTTGGAGAGCTTCCCAAGAACGTCTTGAGTGATGGTTTTTATCCGAGGTTTATTCATGATCAAGATAGAGCCAGTGGTTCCCCTTCTGAACTGCCATGTTCCTTTGATAGTAGCTGTAGCAATCCCAGGCACACCTCTGGTGGATTCAAAGCCGATCGGAATGCGATATCAGGACGGATGATATGTTAACTCACGCGTGAGATTCGACGTTCAATTCTAATCTTCTGACGTTTTTCGACCAAGCAGTGAATTCAGACTCCTCCGGACAGTCCTTGGGTCAATGTTCGTCAGACTCGGGGTCGATGCCTACACGGCGGAGAAGCGACTGGAAATCGTTGGAGTAGATGGAACCTTGGGGAATAAAATTGCCCGTGGCTTTATCGATCTTTCCGTATGACCCAACCTGCTCGACGTCAACATACAACTAAAGACGACGTGAGCCACAGATCAGACGTACTGGAATCTCTGCGGGTGGGTCCCAGTTCGGATACTTCGTGGTTCTCTCGAATATGAGATCCATGAACTTGTGTTCTCTTCAAGTTGGAGCATAATTTAGCTCACTGGCCCGGGAGGGCTCGGCGGTCAGAGTGCAGTGAAATTTGAGACTGGTTGGTTCAGACTGCATGACCTTGGGACAACCCTAAAATTAGTTTGAGCCTCGTGTTAAGTACTGGGATATGCCAGGACCTCGCCGGAGGAACGACTGTGGTTGCTCAGTACTTGCTGTTGATCTTTCAAATTGCGAAAATCAAGTTGTCCGGGAAATGGCCAACTCTGGATTGAGCGCATCAATATTACAACTCCGCTCGAACACAGCCGCCGAAGCCCCAGGTTAGCCCTATAGACCTTTGCCCCAGAATGGCCAGATCCCTGACTTTTACCAGATTGCTTTCAGAGTCAAATTCATAACTGGTTGCAACCGTACAGTTTCGATCAACCGTTCAAGTGAGTTGTCCGCATCGACTCCGTGATGACATACTCGGGAGGGAGACGGAATCTTAGCGATCACTGCTAGTACATGTCGGGCTCATAAAAAAAAAAATTCTAATGTCGGTCTATCTCGATTTTATATATATATCCATGATTTCATTGACGTACGTACATAGTAGATCCGGTGATCACCTAACCATTATGTGACCAACCCAGTGCTGATGGGCCTTTGTATTCAATGGCGCATTTAAGGTTAGTACCCACATGTAATACGTTTCTACGATGGGCCCGATAAGTAGTACCGCCGCCCATCCTCATTGCGGCAAGGTGGAGTTGTACTACAGTCCAGTGGCATCACGTCCAACTGTCTCAGAAGTAGGATAGGCTGCACACATGACGACGGCACGTTCCGCCCCCAATCTCACCATCTTCCGCAATTATGCATCCAAACCTAATCCAAACACTCTACCACCGTCAATTCTACTCTCTCACTCAGAAACATGTCTGACGGTCTTTGATGCATTCCCCAAATCCATCTTTCACTTTCTGGTCATACCCCGGATCCAGCCGCCGTTGAGCGCACGCCATCTCACAGACTTGCGTTCTCTGCTTCGATGCGAGAAAAGAGCCGCAAAGGAGGTGCTTATGAACTTAAACGAAGAAGCGAATAACGTGAAGAAGATGATCGAGGAAGAGATGATGAAGTTGTACAAGTTCAAGTGGGAAATTTGGATGGGGTTTCACCCGATTTCGAGCATGGAGTAAGTGTTTGTCTATCATACTATGTTATTGTTCCATTGAGTTCATTCCCATCATTATGGCATCGATTCAGACACCTCCATTTGCATGTGCTTTCTGCAGACTTGTATTCTCCGAAGATGAAGTCGAAGAAGCACTACAACTCGTTTCATCCTAGCTTGGGATTCTTTCTGCATTTGAAAGATGTTCTTTCGTGGTTCGATGCCGTGCCTTCGTATTATCAAAGAGTACGTTGCGCAGCAAAGAACACCTCGTTCCTCATTAATGACAGAATCTTGTAGATGATTAAGCTCGATGCCAGCCAGTATCAGTCGCTATTAAAGGACGGCGACCTTAGTTGCTGGCAGTGCGACCGTGCCCTGGAGAGCATGCCTAAGCTGAAGGCGCATTTACAAGATGAGTTCGGTAAGCTGACGACGAGGGAGAAGGCGAAGTCAGAAAGGAAAAGGAAACGTACCGATGTACCCGTTTCATCCGTGCAGGCAGCGGTGACCGATGATGAGCGACCTGAGAAGGTCGCTCGTTTAACACCTAGCCGAGGTGATGATTCCAGCGATCCAACTGTAGGTGTCGACCTACTGTCGTAAACAGGTCACCGGTGCTGTCTTTCCCAGTTACATCATAATGTCATTCTTAGTTCGATGGTGCATTCGCTGAAGCTAAATAAAGATGGTCGACCAACTATATCATCGCAAACAGTGCGTCGGACGCCAGTAATCCAAGTTGATCATGCGAATCGACAACAAGTTACAACCATTTAAAACTTCCTTCGCAATGCAGATTGGACTGCACACGCGCCGCGATGGCATTGCAGAGGGCTGTGAAGAGATTGCGGGGCAATAATATCCCACTGGAGCAGCAGATTGTATTTGTTCACATAGGTGTCTAGTTTAAGGATCGATTCGCGATTTTATTGCATTGTCTGTGATCCATTCCCTTCCAATCCAGCTATCGTCGCTCGGTGTACGGCGTCAAGGTACTCCCAAGTTTTTGGCCATCGAAATCATCATGCAGCTTGTACCTCGAATCTGCAATGATGCTGAAAAGCTCCAATGCGTGCTGCGGTCTGCTTCTCCTGACGTAGGATACTTATCTGCGCCCATATATGATCTTCCCATGTTCGACACGCAGACTTGAGGACCCTAAAGTTTCCACTAGGCAGGGCGCGAGAGCTGCATAGAGAATGCGATCTGGATCGGGGAGATTGTCGAAGGACATATTAGCAAGATGGTGCACAGATGGTTAATGCACATTCAGAACTTCAGTGCATCGACAGGCTATTATTTGGCTTACAGTGTTATCACTGTTGCTGATTTTGGAAATAAAAACGACGTTGAAATGGTCGAACGTCGAGAGTTCCGCGAACCCTGGGAAACGGTGATTATGTCATCCAGGAATCACACTTGGTTCAACACGCCTCTTGCAAGCTTGAGTCTTTGGCCATGAGTGCAATGAGTCGAGTCTCAAGAAATTCGACGCATCAAAGCTTTCCCGCCTATACATCAATATTTGCTTTTATTCAACCGTCCCAATAAGAAAGTCACCCTTGCCAGTCCATACAGCCTTACTTGCCCTTGCCAAGATCTACATCGTATTCATCTGCCGGCCGCTTCCGCGCTTGTTCAATATATGCTCCATCATAGCCCGCTTCCCTTCATCTGGAGACCATCGTGGTTGATGAAATTATAGTTCATTTTCGTGCTCCTGCCCCTATAAGTGATTTGGTGATGGGCTTGAATCGATGACCCTCTCCCTCCCCTCCGAGCTTGCCGGGTGGCCTTCGGCAAGACATGTTTGTACTTCATTTTCCTATGTTGCGGAAATTGACTCTGGTGGAGCTGCCAGAAAAACCACAAGTTGATTGTCTCTTGGCAATAGTTGCATCTTTCCAGGTGCCAATGGTGGACTTTGACGCACCGCTGAGCAACATTTATATTAGCAATATCGCGCCATTGTGGGAGAGGTTACTTTTTGTGGGTAAGTGTTCTACTATCTCGCCCCATGCACTTTATCATGTGAACCTTACAGTACCCGAATTCGCGACAGACAAGGGAAACTGAAGCTACTATGTATACATAAACATGAAGTAATGAATTTTATCATACCGGATGCGAACACGTGAATCTCAGATTACACGCCTACGTTTAAAGAACTACTATTCCTCGCTACAGATTTCAGCCTTTCGTCTTGTTTACTTCTGTCAGGATCTTTGCGACGAAGTGATTACCTAGTATGTGGGCGTGATAAGCTTGCGATTTGTCCGTGGGCAGGGTGCAGCTAAAGTTGGAGCTTCATGTGCATGTGAGGTCATGATAACGGTGAGTCGTATATTCAATACCTTTTGGGGAGACGGATGGGTCGCTAACATTAGTGACTGACACCCATTTAGGTGATTGATCGAGCGGGCACGGCGTAGGTGGCATTGCACAGTTGCTGACGTATATGGTCGACTTCTCGGATGTGCTTTACAGTATCAGGGTTCGAATTAAATTAGAGGTGGAGCATGAATGACATCATGTGAGAGAAGTTCGGTCACTTACGTTACGTCTACCTCTTCCTCAAGTACTTAGTCCAGTAGATCAACCATGAAAACTGAAGTATTTCCCTTAGGTGACGACGTCGACAACGACAACGGTGACCGTAACCGACTCGCACAAGGGTGAAACGGATCATTTTGCAATTCTGTGGAGTCTCATTTGAATAATAACTAAATAATCATCATTAACGGGTGCGTATCTTCTTCCATGTCTTCACCGTCGCCTCACACGATGCCGGTCAGCATCATGTCACCAATCCCTGGTGCGCGTACTCCCCGTCGCGTGCAATGGGCAAGTGCAGATCACATCCACGAACCGGAACCAGTCGATCCACACACACTAGACGAGATGGCTCAGGACGTGAGTAGTGCCCTCTTATTTATTTTCAACCTCGCTTACATCAAATTTTCGCCCAGCCGAACGCATTCGAAACACTCAAAGACGCACTGGAGCGCCACCGTTCCTCTCGTACACACTCCCCATCTGCTCATGGCATGTCCCCTACGGCAGACGTACATACCTATCCCCCAAGCACACCTTCAACCCTGCCTGCATCCCCTACCTCTTCTGAACCGTTTCTCCCACGCCGCACACACGCCCTCCCAGGCGAAGTCTTCATCGACCCCCTAGAAAGCGCTGGTCTCCCCCTCTCTTCAAGGCAACGAAGCGGAGACTCTGAAATCCCGGCAGACGGCCGTGTCGAACACCTCGCCACGCGCGAAGCAGCAGGCGTTGTCAGAGCGCATACCAAACGATGGGATATCCTCGGTCGTCGTCACCGCTCGAAATCACGATCACGAGTCCCAGTTGTAGAACAAGACTCTGAAAAAGAAAATCGTGATACAAACGGCGAAGTCAAAGAGGAGAAACATCATCCAACTCCGCAACAACCACCCAAGAAGTCATGGTGGCATTTCCACACTCCCCCCTCAATTGCTCCTACCCCTCACCACCCCCCACGTTACGAACAATCACGCGGTCCTTATGATCCTGAATCTCATCCTCCGGCACATGCTTCTCAGCCGAAACTAGGCTCTGGCGTGCTGAGTGCGTTGTTGGCGCTCTACAGCAACGAACACGACGAGCACGATCCCTCACATAGCGAAGACGAATCAGACCTCTCTAATCCCGATCGCCCATGGCTCTCTCACTCCTCCCACCCCAAGTCTAAACACAAACAATCGCCCTACAAGACTTTAAACCAAACACTCCACTCCGCCTCAAGCAGCACGGCTTCCCTCCTTTCCTCCCTCAAGCCAGGCCCCTCGGGTTCGAGTATGGCTGCGCTCATTGCGGGTGCGGGGACGTTGAGCGGTGCTGCTGCGCCTATGCAATTGGAGTTAGCGCCTGATTTGAAGATGAAGAGGGGGTATGGGCTTGTTAGGTATCGGGTCGAGGATGGAATCGAGGGCGAGGGGGCTAGGGAAGGGAATGCGGAGGTATGGGAAAGACAACGAACATCAACACCTCCCCGTCTCAGCCTCCATCTTCCCCGTCGTTCAAAGAGTACCGATACCGATTTTACGAGGGGGATCGGTGGGCGCGTCGAGGAGGACCACGAGGGTGAGGGGGAAGTTGCTTCTAAAGCTGCTATCCAATCCCGGGACGAGTCCACAATAGACCTCGAGGAAGAAGTGATAGATGTCGAGGAGGAGGAAGGTTCACCAGATACGCTCGCTCCTCCGACGACCGAGACTACTTCTACATCGACTCCCACTTCCACCCCCTCCGAATCAACTCCACCAACCCTCCCCCCTACCTCAACCTCCACCAAGAAACCAAGATCGAAACGCTGGAAAGGAGTCTTGAAGGATATCCCGCTTCCACACCACTTGCCTACTGCGCACTTAAAGGGGTTTTCGTTGAGTATACCCGGGACGCCTTTAAGGTATCCTGTCAGTACGAGTGGTGCTTCTACCCCTGGGACTGGAACGAGGGCGAGTAGTGTTGCTGGTTCGCCTGATGAAACGGGAAAAGATGATGATTATTTCGGTACAAAGTGGATCGAGGAGCAGAAGGAGAGGGATAGAAAGGAGAGAAAAGAGAGAGAGAGGAGGGAGAAGGAGAAGAGGCGGAAGAGGAAAAGGGCGGAAGTTTATGTGCGTTTCTTTTCTCCTTTTCTTCCTTTCCTTCGTTCACTTCTCTACCACACCTGACTCACTCTCACTACACAGATAACTCGCCACGTAGCAGCCATCCTCCAACGGCAAGAATTCATTCTCAAACTAGCCCGTGCAATGATGATGTTCGGGGGTCCCTCGCACAGACTCGTCGCGCAGATCCAAAGCACAGCGCGTGTCCTCGAGCTCGAGATGAGCTGTATGTACCTCCCTGACGTCATGTGGATCAGCTTCGAAGACAGTGCGACGGGGACGAGTAACGTCAAGTTTATCAGGCAGGGGAGTGCATTGGATGTGGGGAAGCTAGGGGAGGCACATGGGCTATATTGGGATGTATGTGTCTCTTTTCCATTCGAATGATAAATGAACTAAGCTCACTACAAACGCATAGGTCATCCACGACACCATCTCCGTATCCTCGGCCAGCACTGCCCTTGACACCCTAATGCGCAAAAAGCCCACCTATTCCTTCCCCCAACTCATATTCCTAGGCGGTATGTGCAGCAGCAGCATCTGCAGCGTCAGCTTCAACGGCAGCTTCATTGACTCCCTCGTTTCCTTCCCGCTCGGTGCGCTCCTTGTCACCATCCAGCTCCTCAGCGTCCGTAATGAGTTGTATGGGAACGTGTTTGAGATAACGGTTGCTACGCTTCTGAGCTTTGTGAGCGCTGCGCTCGCTAGTACGAAGAGGATTTGTTATGAGGCTGTTGCTAGTAGTAGCGTGGTCTTGATTTTGCCTGTGAGTCCTGACTTCTTTGATTTCCTTTTCCTTACCTCGCTTCTTTCCTTTTCATCCTTCCTCTTTGGATCGCATCCCACCGCTAACAAACCCCCAGGGCTTCATAGTTTTAAACGGCTCCCTCGAACTCTCCTCCCGTTCCCTGGTAGCAGGGTCCGTGCGTCTCTGCTACGCCCTTGTGTACAGCCTGTTCCTTGGCTTTGGGCTCGCTATAGGAGCTGAGCTCTATCAAACAATGCTCAGCAAACCCCTATTGGGGGGCAAAGATTACATGTGTTCTGCGAGCCATGATCCCGAAGGCGGGTGGTGGCAGCGCACCCCGAGTTTGTGGTGGGCGTTTCTGAGTGTGCCATGTTATAGTCTGTTTTTGAGTTTGAGGTTTGGGGCTGTTGTTGGGAGGAGGGAGTTGGTGAGTTTTGGTTTTGGGGGGTGTTTGGGTTTGGTCCCGTCGAACATCTCATATCCGTCAAACTCCTTTCTAGCTGATGCTGATTCCGACACCTAGCTCCTCCTAGTCGTTATCTCATGCATTGGATGGGTGACGAACCACTTTGTGGGCACTAAGTTCCCAAACCAGAGCGATATATCAGCCGCTGTTGGGGCGTTTGCTGTGGGATTGGTGTCGAATCTCTATGGGAGGTTTTTCGCGGGGAATGCATTTGTTGTCATGGTGCGTTTCCTTTTTCTCGTGTTCCTTGCATCAAGGAATTGATATCAACCTTCACCACTCGCACCAAACTGGCACGTACACAGATCACAGGCATACTCTTCCAACTCCCTTCAGGCCTAGGCAACGGCGGACTATTCAACTTTGTTGTCGATCAAACCACAGGGTCGAGCTCCTCCTACCAAAGCGGGTTCAACACAGCACTTCAGTTGATCAGCACGAGTATCGGGTTGACCGTGGGGCTCGGAATCAGTTTGGTGCTCGTTCATCCTGTCCAAAGCAGGAGGAGGGCTGCGGGGATGTTTAGTTTGTAGGTGTGCGGGCGACGTTGATTTTGGTGTTGGTATGCGTTCCCGCTCCCCGCATTGCTACTTTCGTACGTTTGCTTGCATCGTTCTCGTCCATCCTGAACTTGCATCTTGCATTCAATGTCAATATAGATCTGATAGTCATGTAGATCTTCACGCTCATCCATGCTTCCTAAATTTATCGCCTAATTTTTTTAGATCCAAACACTCGTTCATGTTCATTTTTTTCTACACGGACATCGTCTTCATTTTCATTGTTTTCATACATCGTTTATTTGTCTGCGCATGTTCATTTTCATTCTCATTTTGGTCGTCAATCCATGACACAATGTATATATATATATCAAACGCAATAAACATCGACTTTCGTTTTCATGTCTTCGCTCGTTTGTCTGAGCACGTTCATTTCCGTTTTCATCAATAATATATGCATCGTAATTCATTTGGAAGCTATGTTTATGTGGGTACACTCGTGACCAGTCGGTCTACGCGAGTTCTCGATATTACGGGGGCTAGTTGGGTAGCTGCCGAAAACGATTTGAATCGCTCGAGCAAGTGACTGAAAGACGTAAACTTGACAGTGGCACGATATTTCTCGTCCTGCATCAGGAGCCGATTAAACACAATCCTGGCGATGAATAACTGGCGGGGACTTGAATGCCGAAGATGTAAAACATGAAAGTGTCAAGTGTACGTAGCCTGCAAAACGCGGGTTTTTACGTCGCGAAGTAACTCCGAGTCGGTTCGGTTTGACATGAGATATCATTGCCCCGAAAGTTCCATGACATCCATAATGTCGGGGCCAGTGTGTGACCCGAGTGAGCTATACATAAGTGCGAGTGGAGTCCAGTGGGCTGCACCACCGAGCTTAGAGCAAATGAAGACGTACAGATCACGATCACTTGACCGGCCGACGTTTGGCGTTGTATGGATTCCCGAATTTGAAGCTTCATGTTCTTCAGGAGAAAAACATATGAGGAGTCTCGTGTCTTCTGGGAGCAGCCTGAAATACCGCTCCCCTTCTGGAAGAACTCAGTTTAAGCTACTTCCTTTTCCATCGATAGCACTGGTGCGCTTTGTATTGACATATGCTCACACGGCAAAGGCGAAAAGTGCCGGGAGTGACAGAGATTTTCTGCTTGGGGGTAGATTGATTGGATAAGAATTGACGAAGTGCATAAGCGAGGACTTGAGCCCTGCACCCCAAACGTAGTCGGTTCACAACTGATAGATCCTTAGAAGCGAGATGTAAGTCGGCATAAGCACGGGAAGAAAACCACTACTATGTCTATTGTGCGACCATCAGCAGCAGACACGGTGGAATCGTGAATCCAAGTCATGCATGGCATGGTAAAGTTGACGACGTTCAAGCATCAAACCTGAAAGACCCGTTATCAAATATCAAAAAGTTACTAGTGGAAGTTTAGCAGCCAAAGACTCACGCGGCACAAGTCATCACCACTGACAGTACTTGGAACCATTCTAGAGACTACAGAATTGGGGGATAACCGTAAGTTGAGGAAATGTTGGGGTGACGGGCAAGTGATTGTTCATCCTGTTACGATGCGTCGGCTTGAAAGGACTGGGCCAGAGAATAGGATATATCTGCCAGGCTGGCAGCTGGTTCAGATTAATATTCTGGCCAGCCATGCTCTGCAACGTACCGTGCGAAGCGACCACGGACCGGTTGCTATAAATGGCGTGTCTGAACTTGAAGTTGACTCAAAGACGCTTGACAACTCTTAATGGATCCTGCATCGTGCACACACCATCAATTAGAATCTTCCTGAGATAGAGCCCTTGGAGCTCCAAACATATTCAAACCACTAAGTATCACTGGCATGCCTGCCACACGGAATACACGCAAGAAAAATAAATTCGAATCATCTTCAATTGGTCAAGACTCCAGGAATTCGAAACGGCTTCGCAAGCGCGTCAACTCGAAGGTACAACCTGGAGAGAATGTCCATAATAAACAAGTTGCTACATCCACAGATGATGCCTACCAGCTATCGAAACTAGCTGATGCACAGGCCCCTATCATATCAGGGCCGGTACCGGTGGCACAGTCATCGACTTCGGAGGTGCTTCCTTTCACTCCTTTCACATCTTCTTCATATCCTTCTGTTGCACCTGCACCAATGCTCTTGAAAGGTCGTAAGAGATTCAGTGCTGATCTTCACGACCTGCACACGACCTGCCCATCTGACCTTGATAGGGGAACGTGGTCTGCGCAAAGTAAGCGTGGTTTAGCATCTCCGATACCCAGCCCCACCAACATCGATCTTCTTAGGTTTCAGAGCAGGGGATGACGATGGTTCAGTAGAGTTCGACCTGATAGAATCTAGAGATCGGACAAGGATAGTGATGCATCTTCTGTGTTCTGGTCAGTCGTCATCAAGAGGGGAAGTGTCATCGGTACTAATTGTTATCCATGTAGACACCTCAGAGTACCCCAACACTCACTCATTCTTCTGCCATTCCCCAGAATCTGGGAGTTATGGGGAGCAGGTGAAGGAGATGTGTGACGGAGTTCTCAATGACAGTCCACGTACGATCCACGACGTGGCGAGGCATTTCTTGATTAGTATTTCTGGTGACGATGACAGCGAAGATGACCAAAATTACGATGTGATCGAGGATGAGGATATGAGCACGTTCACCAGACCACAGATATCTCGCTCGGTCTTGCGCAGGTGCGCCAATTTCTACGCAGATGTCTATTCTCTTACACGCATCACAGAGACTTCGAAGGCACTCATGCAGCAGGTTATACACCAGGAGCCATTTGGAGTGGCAGCAGCGAGTTCTTCTTGACAATCTCTGTCCCTGTGGTGGAATTAACTGATAAAATTCCCGCCCACGTCCTGATGTCTTGGGATAGCCAATTCCTACTTCCTCGCCAGCATCTCGTGTTGCTCATCTCTGGATTCCGGGGCATCTATCCGCCTGTTCAGAGCGATGGGACACTCTCCCCTGCTGCAATCCGTTCTTGCACCTCATTGAAATTTTACGTCGGCCTTTCTCGAAATTACAAGCCGTCGAAAGGGCACGTTATCGCTTTACTCCGCCGATACGGTCTCCATTCCGACCAGCAGAATGGTGTTGAAGATGGCACGATCGAAGAACACATCGACATTGAGATGGAGTCTGAAACAGAGGATGACGGCACCTTTGACAAGTTTAGTTTGACCAGCTCGCTTGAATCATTATTTAATGAGCACTTTCTTCAACTGCTCCGAGTTCGACGACAATTCAAACTCGGATGGGCTGCAGCTGAAGAACTCCACTGGAGATCGCAGGAACTTCAGAGAACGCCTGCAGTTCTTGTGAAGGAAATGCAGGAGGTGCGTTTTAGATTCACATAAGTAACTGTCATCTATTTCATCTTTGTTCCGTTTATAGGAACTTCGTCAAGCTGAGCAGGAAGAGCAACGTCTAGGTGGCTCCCGCTACTTACCGCATGATCCCTTGGAAAATCAAGATGGTCAGATCAACTTACTCGAGACTGCTTTTGCGTACCTTCTCCGTCGATTCACAGTCAGTACCATGGAGATGGTCACTTCGACTCGTGCTGATTTAACAACAGCTATGCAATCGTTATTGTGTCGTCTGTCACAAGAAACTCGATACCCTGTTCGAGGCGCTAAAGCCTTATGTTTGCGACTCTGGTTTGTGTGCATATCAATATTATAGCCTCAACTTTGGGCCCTCCCTAGAGGTTAGCGACTTTCAGCTTGAATTATCAAACCTCTACTTATTGATTCGTTCAGTATGATATCTGCAAGAATACTGAGATGGTAGATCTCCTGGTTTCCCTCACTTATGTTGCTGCCGCAGAACAGGTTCTTGACGAGCCCCTTCCGCGTGGCTTATCGTTGAAGGTTCCAGACCCCAACGATAAAAATTCAACGCGTGATTTCGATAGCTTGGCAGTCAGCGAAATGCGTATTGCAATCGTGCAACTCATCGACACACTACCTCCGGTTCGAATGTCTCTCTTCATTGCCGACGCTAAATGCTCAAGTAAATGCAGATTCAGGACATGAAGAAACACCTTGGGAAGAAAGTCGTTGCAGGGAGTAACAAGCCGAAGTTGAAGGACATGAATCCCAGTATTTTGCCCGCTGCATGGTCCATCTTGCGTTGGTACGTTTTATGCCTCTGAGTCATTGACCGGAGTCCAAACCCCACTAGGTGTATTGCCTCTTGCACGGCACATCTACAAGAGTTAACTGAAGAGGAAGATCAAGTGCAGAACATAGGTATGTGTGATTTACTCGTTTCCAGTTCATTTACTTATTCGGTGATGACATAGGCTCGCAGTGGAAACAATTCCGCTTCATTGTCGGAGCCCCTGACAAAGAAGCGAAGTTCAAATATGCCTTGGAGCAGGAAACACGCGGAGATTCTAATGCGAAGAATCACCCCACGCTCTATGTATGTTTCTTGGTACTTTTGTCAGTGGCAATCTTTTTAATCCAGTATATCAGGCTTTCCATGGCTCACCTTTGAAGAACTGGCATTCCGTAAGTCATCCAAGATGTCTGTGAAAGATACCACTGATATATTTGATAGATCATACGGCACGGACTATGGTATAAGACGGTGACACATGGCCGGGCACACGGAGATGGCAAGTAGACGATCTCATAATCGTTAATAACCTATCTTATTCTGTTCAGGTGTCTACTTTGCCAGAGACGGCGTAATTTCGATGGGAACCTATGCTGCGGGTGGCGCACAATCCTGGAAGAATAGCACGATTGCTCCTACAGCTTGCGTAGCTCTCGCGGAGATAATCAATCTCCCGAAAAGATTTACCTCGTGTAACCCGTATTATGTGGTCAAGCAAACGGAATGGATTATGTGGTAAGAGCCATGCTTCAGTTCGGTCATCAAGAGCTGACGGTCCACTTGTAGTCGATATTTGCTAGTCAATACAATCGACAGATCACACACTGAGAATGGATTTCCTGGTATTGACACCACCATCCCTGCCACTCCTACCAAATCGAAGGTCCGAAATGTTCCTTTTATCCAACACGAGCCAGATCGTCGTCCCCTACTTATGAATAGCTATGTCGAGATCCCACAGCCTTCTTACAAACTTGAGAAACTTCTCAGGCTTTGCCAGGACACATACGTCCCTCCTAACCTTGATGAGGATGACAGCGCTGTATTTAACGCGCCAGATGAAGAGGAGGAGAGCATTGCACCACACGTCAACGGAAAACCAAAGCAAGATTGGATACATGATGCGAGTTGGGTGGAGAAGAATATTGGCCTCTTGCTGCCTCCGCCTGTCGATTCAACTCCAGGAGCGACGATGGCACTCCAGAAAGAGTTCAGGGCGATGATGAAAGAACAGGGGAGCGCGGAGTCACTTGCTACTTTGGGATGGTACATGCCTCCAGAGTGCAATGAGAACTTATTCCAGTGGGTAGTGGAGATGCATTCATTTGATCCTGATCTGCCTATTGCGAAAGATTTGAAGTCAAAGTGAGTTTGAGCTGCGTGTTGTGGATCTGACTATGCTGATAGATCGTTCCTCCTTCTAAAAGGGGCGTCAATTCGCTTGTTTTTGAGATACGTTTCCCGCCGACGTTCCCTCATTCTCCTCCGTTCTTTCGACTTGTGATGCCTCGGTTCCTTCCTTTCATGCAGGTATGAGGTGAATGATTCAAATGCTTGGTGTAGCTGACTTTCGATATGTAGGGTGGAGGTGGACATGTTACTGTTGGTCAGTATCACTGAAAAGTTAGTCATTGGTACACACTGACTTACCTGTATTTATGTAGGGGGCTCTATTTGCATGGATCTTCTAACTTCAGCTGGTGAGTCGTGACCATCAATTTTATTCTTGATATCATGTACTGACATGTATCTAGGATGGCTTCCAAGTTACAAGTGCGTATCTCGCGAGGTATCATTCACGCTGATCTGACGCCCCTCATAGCATCGCATCCGTGCTCTTACAGATCAAGCTCGCCATCTCGAGCACTGACCCCAAACCCGCGCGGCTAGCCCAAGATTGGGAACAGTACGTCTCATCACCCGTTAGATAGAGAAACCGGGTTCTGACTGTTGTAAAGACCGTATCATCCACAGGAGGCGTTGTCGGGGTATACGAGAGCGGCAGCTATGCATGGTTGGAAGGTACTTTCATACATTGTTTTCCATCATGCCTTCTAAAGTAATGATGGTGTTTTCAGGTCGCAGATCCGAGGGAAATGGAAAGGCTTGTCACCTGGGGTTGAAGCGAACTTGGATGTAGTTGCACGTGATCTTCAAACATTGTATTGGAAATTGGAAATGTATGGAACGGACCAGTCCTAGGCCTGACTCCCCAGTTTCATTGTCCATTTGCGGTGCACCTTCCTGCACACTCGCCACTATGAATAATAGAGACAGAAAATGTGAATTTGGTCGCAACGAATAATAGCTAACTAATCCTTACTGGATGATCGATCATGACGTGGGTCAGTGCCACTGTAATTGTCTCACACCTAGAGCTACCCTGAAACCTGAACCTGACCTAAACCTAGAACGGCCAACAGCTGCATAATAATCGGGATCTGGGATGCATGAGCATGTTTCTGCTGGTAACCTAACCTAACCTAACCTATGTTAGGATAGGATGGATCGCAAGCACGTAGCAGTATTCTGGACGGCAGCCTCTGATTGCGAATTATCCCATGCTCTCATCATCGCCATCCACTTCTCAAACCACTCCCAGAATGGACCTGACAACTTCCCTCTGTTCCCGTACAGTTCCTTCCAAAGATCGTCCAAAAAATCCTGCAGTCTAGAGACGATCATCAGAAAAGCAGCGCGCGGTGCTCGTTGTTTCCGTCTCTCGTCAAATAACAATTGTTCGACTGTTGAACGGAGAGTACCCAAGGACCTTTCTACCGCACTGCTAGGCATTAGAACAGACCATCAGCAGTTCGCAAGAATGAGCACACACTTCGGGTTGGTTGTTTGCAACACTCGTAATGCATCGCTGATCATCTTGATATCTTCGACGAGAACATTATACGCGTGACTAATTACAGCGTGTTCTGTTTCCTTGGAATCCCACTGAGGTACGACATGACTTGTGTCGAAAATGTCGTTTAAAATGACAGATACAGCAGCCTAAGCGTGTGAATGAGATATGGCAGCATGTGTTACTTTTCGCGTACCTCAGCAGCTTTCGCAGGATTTCGCGAGCGACGTAAACCGACCGCTAAACTCGCCTGTATATCTGAAAAAAAAAGTTAACCTCAACCATAACGATAGTAGGTGAGCATACTAGCCTGGAGGTAACATATCGCCCGGGGAGAAGTCTCTGCGACTCAAAACTAACCGAGGCTTTGTGGCGTCTGTCTTGCTCGACCTCGAGTGCATTTCTGCTGTAGTCAAGGATATAGCCCTGAAAGGAACGTAGAGAGCGAGATTGACATCTACAAACTCGAGAGCTTCGCTTGTCGTCCTGCGATTTTGGGGCATTTCTGACCAACACCCTTGGATGAACTGCCACTGCTCCCGAGTGATGGATTTGTCCAAATCAGAAGGTGACGCTGGGGCGACTCCCAGAAGCAACTCGACGAGCACATCACTGTCCTTCAAGGTGGAATATGGTAGCGAGCCCGAAAGGACCTGCATAATTTATTGATAAAACGCGTAGTTTCCGTAAAGACGGACTTACGAGGTAAATGATACTGCCCAATGAATACCTATCACCGGATATACTTGGCAGGGGCACTTCTCCGCGACTGGATTTTTTGAAGAGTTCAGGGGCAGCAAATCGTATGGCGCCAGATGTTGACAGGCGAAAGTATGACATGCCTAAGACCTCTGGAACTAGCACACTGAGACCGGGGTCCGCTAGACTGGCTCTACCAAGAGCATCTACCAGCACGTTGTTCTTCAGACATATGTTAGATTGATTTGTGAATTGGATGGAAATTATCCTTACGCCAGAAAGATTTCCATGTATAATGCCATGAGAGTGCACTGTGGAGAGGGAAGCACAGCTCAAGCTCAGGTCAAATATTGAACAGAAATGACTGAACGCACAATAGTGAAGTCCCGAGACAATGTTTTCGAGCTATTGTTCGGCAGGTGCAAGTAGGAGGTCTCAGTTAAGGTGGTAATGCAGCGAAAAACCGACACAAACAAGTTTGAATTTATCTTGAACAGTCAACGTTGCATGTTTGCATGATAAATAACTGGAGAGGGTTCCGTTTTCTTTCCAAGGATGGACTACTGATACTATTGGGCCGAAGTCCATGATAACGCCATATAAAGGAAGTATATTTTCGTGTTCAAGCTTCGCCCAGGCATGAATTTGCTGTGACCATATCTATCATATCATGGTTTATATCGAGGCTTCTGAAAAGGTAAACATTAGTACGTACTTTGTGCGTTTCAGCGAGTTCACCCTGGCTTGTATTCTCGATCCGAAACGTCTTCACTGCAACCTGTACCAGCTAGATTAGTCTCAAAACAGCTCCGCATGGGCTAAAACGAACCTTGATGGAGCCGGTGTCCTTGAACCACGTACATTTCCAAACATCTGTGATACCTCCTGATGTTGTTGGAACGCTTGTGTCTGCGACGACATCGCCTGACAAGTCCGTCACAACATGTCTCTCGCTTCTAACTGAAATAGAATATCTATGGCGCCGTACGTCGCTGGAAGACGACGAAGCAAGTAGAGGAGCTACTGGTGGAGCATAAAATACGAGGCCGCTCATGCTGTCAGTGCGGAGCGGAACTATCGTGCGTCCAGTACTTTAAAGGAGATGTACAAGCCCCCAGCCCTTATTTATGGGGCGATGCGTGAGCGCCAATACATGGACATGTGAGATTGCACAACATGGTTGGACATGGGTTGGCAGGCATTTGAACTAATGCCTTGTCAGCCAACAACCATACATGCTTGAGCCTCGAGCCTTGGTGCTGAATGAAGAAAATTATATGAAACTTTCCGAACACGAGTTCTGCACTCACCTACTTATTTGCGCCAAGCTATGATGCTATGTACAAGTTATCTGGAAAAGTTGAAGACAACGTGAAGTTCTGTCAATTGTTGCCATGACAGATTATGGAGTGTTTGGGGTCTTGTCTGAGTTTAAATTTCAAACGCGACAGATGTTGGCCAGCCTCCATCACAACCAATACCAGTGAGTCTACTACAAGTACCTCCCGCCATTCCTTTCATCAGACCGCGCGACACAGCGGATACGCTCTTTTTTTCAGAAGGGTTTTTATACCCAAACTGAGGCCAACCTAATAAGAAAAATCCATATTTTACCGACATGAACAAACGAGGATTAGCGCACGTTCGCATTGGGCATGCTGGTGCACCACAAACGCACCAAAAGCGTTCTTGTAAGTTTACAAATGAATGAAATGTGCATTGCGCTAGATCCTGATCTTTGCAGCATGCGCAACAGGCGGTTTTTATATCAGCCCCTCTCAGGGTCAGACTGTTTCTAGCAGTAGTCCCTTCAATATCACCTGGGACACATCCTGCTTGCCCAACGCACAAGCTGTCGATATCTATCTTATTGCCCCCAGCTTGAGCAGCAGCCGTATTCACGAGTGGCAAAATGTTAATAACGCCTTGGGAACTTATCAGACCAGCCTTGAGACCAAGTGGTGGAATGACACGTCCACGGTCAATCTACAGCTTTCCATCGTCACCACCAACACACAACCATTCCTTAGCCCGTTTCCCGCGGGCCCTGTATTTACTGCTACATATACTGCACCATCCGACGGTTCTACCCCAGCCAGCGCCGATCTCAGTTCTCCTGGCGGTGTCACTTATGTTGGAAATTTCTCTTCCAACAGCTCTTCCTCTAGCGGCAAGATCGCTGCCGGCGTCCTGGTGCCGCTGATTTTCATCGGACTGGGACTAGCCGTCTACTTCAAATTAAATCGTGCCAAATCCAAGGAAAAGAGCAGACGCTTCAGCGAGGCCATCGACAAGCGTATGTCGACGATCTCCGTGGACTGGAAGTCCATGTCTGCTGCTGGCGCTTCGGCAGCCATTCGTCACAGTATGGCAGTTTCAGTCGGAGGAAATCGCAACTCGTCGTTTTCCTCTGGTCCACTTCGTCCTGTCAGCACTGCTGCTGTTGAGGGCGATCCTTCTATATCAGACAAAGACAGCTTTGACGTGCCAAGGATGTCTCAACTACGCTCCGGTTTGCGTTCTCAGACTAACTTAGGCGAGCGGGTATCACGAGTATCATTCGCTACAGACATTCGTCCATCAATAGAGTCTCGTCGCACGGTCGGAACCAGTCGTGCCTTCCATACTGGCTTTGTGCCCCCTCTTCCTTCCAACGATGACAAGGAAGAGACGGGAGACCTTTCTCCCACACAAACCAAGGGACCCTTTGCTCTCACTCCGGATGATATTCGTGCCCGCATGTCCCTTAGTGGAGCATCGGAGGCGCGTCCTAGCATGGATGAAGTTTGGCCGTCCTTGAGCAGTAGGTTTTTTATGGTTGTTTTCTATGTACTTGAAAGTTGACCTTTAAAATAGTGATGCGCACAGGAAACGAAGCTGGTGGAGATGATTATTTGCTACCCCAAGAACAGCAGAGCGTTGACATGCCTCTTCCTCCCGTCCCAGCACATCCTGCCCCGGAATCAGGTCTTTCTATGATGCCCATGCCTGCCAGCGTCATGTCTCCCGACGAGATGCTCCGCGCCTATGCCGAACGGAGAATGAAGTCCCCTCCCCCTACTGGCTCCTTGGCATTCCCTATCCCAGCTGCGAGCTACAACGGTAATGGTATGCGGACGCTGTACACTCCCAGCCTCTCTACCCAGGAGGGGGGCGAGCAAAACAACCGTTACACTCAAGCGTATGATGATCCTTACGCTGGCACCGCAACTTGATCCTGCAGATCTGTGGTGTAATGGTGTAACTTTACGTTAAGATAACGATATCGCTCTTTCGGTCAATCGCGTTTCGGTTCCGTAGCCTCGGTTTCACGACAATTTTGTACTTTTTGCAGTGTTACGTTGCCTTCTGATTCCACCTTTCCTCTTTCAGATTCGTTATCGATACGTGCGTCCCGTCAGTGGTTCTTATTGCGTATCTATTCCCTGCGTACCCCTTCATACCCACGTCATCGCCTCTTCCCATTGTTTCTAACGTTACCTGTTCTGGTCCCCGGCGATAGTGATCAGGACCTTGTACCCACTTTATCACGGGACGCCGCTGGACTGGCAGCCCTCGACTATGATTGCCCACTTGTGATTGTCGGTTTGGAGTCCAATTTGATTCTCTCTTATCGTGATATTTGACTGGTGAGTATATATTGAAGTCACATCTGAATGTCTGCATTACGCTGTCGTGTGCTGTTGAATCGTCAATCTACAGGCTTGCCTCCGTTCTTGAGGGTCCTGAGTTCATTTTGCCATGGCTCCCACACTTGTCCATATTTCTCGAGCAGTGCCATCAACTCCTCCCGCTGTTCCTTCTGTAGCCAAAATGAGCACGCGTCACTGACTAATCGATTGACTCACTATATTCCAGGGCTCTTCCGCGTATACATCAGTGAACATGTCCTTCAGGTCAGGCTTTTTGACAGTCTCCGCGCGCTTGAATGCCTTTATCACATCACGTCTCAAACGGAACGCGAGCTCATCCTCATTTGTCTCGTTCCACCACCCCCGGGATTCCATGAATAGGCGGAATCGCGCGATGGGGTTGTCATTCTTTGTTCTGTCTTCAACTTCCTGGCGCTCCCTATAGACATACGAGTCGTCCGATGTCGAATGATGACCAACCCTGTAAGTCATCATCTCCACTAGAACTGCCCGACCACTTTCCAAGCACCGCCTTCGCGCCTCCTTGACAGCGTTCATTACTGCAAGTACATCATTTCCGTCTACACGAACCGTATCCACACCATAACCTACAAGTGATGTTCGATTACTATTCACACAAATGGATACACGACGTGTGATCAAGTTACCTGGGCCTCTTGCACTGATACCATCGCCGTAAAATTGTTGCGAGTTCGGGGTACTGATAGCAAAACCGTTGTTTCTTGCCAGAAACAATGTTGGCGAAGGCAGCGTCGCAGCAAGGAGCAGTCCAGCATGGAAATCTCCCTCTGATGCTGCGCCTTCCCCGAAAAACGCACATGCCACATTTTTGGAGCGTCTCGCTGGATCACGTTTAAGTGCAAATCCAACTCCGGCAGCTTGTGATATTTGAGTTGCGAGCGGAGAAGATATGGTGTGGAAATGGTGCTGCTTGGAGCCGTAGTGCTAAGGGAGCATCAGTAAATGCTGAGCAAAGCTACGAAAGGGAAGATGCAAAGTAACGTACCACAGCTATCTGGCGGCCTTTGCCAGAATCTTCGTGATTTCCGAAAACTTGCGCCATGATACCATCAAGAGTGAAGCCACGCCACAAGAGCACCCCTGTTTCGCGGTACTGTGCTGTGGCAGAATCAGAAAAAACACATAAATAACGCAGAAATTTGTCCGACATAATACTCTGGAAACAAGAGTGTTTCATTGTAACTCAAACGAGACTACAGATCCAGAGAAACTCACTCGTCATCGTCAGCAAGTGCAGCAGCAGAGCCAATTACAGTAGCCTCTTCTCCATACTTGAGATAGGAGGTCAGCGACTAGCATTTATACCTGCACAATCAAATGTCTTACAGAAGCCGCCTAGATTTAAGCTATGTAAAAGAATGCCTAAGGGGTGCTCTTATCCACGTACGTAGAAGGGTATCCTGCCTTGGCGTTGACCACTGCAAAGTATATCATCCAGCGTGGGAAGCAACTGCATATGTTCATATCTTCAAGACTGTGTAAGATACAATCTCGAGCTCTGCGAAACCAACCCACAATCGCCAAGCGAACTGTTTACTGATCTAAATGAACTTTAACGTCAGAGCTTGTTTGGATATGGAAGGGCGCAATAGATACCTCAGGCACTTTAGCGCCTTCTATCGGAACGCCAAACACATCGAGAACTTGATAACTTGGTATCTTGCTGCTATCACCAGTTACAGAATTGAAGAACGCGAGCTTTGACACGGTTGGTGAGTGCGTCGTGGGTAGGCAGCCTAACGATGTAGAGGCAGGTAAAGTGGAGAGTGTCCGACCATTCAAGCAAGCCCTTGTCAGCAGAGAGGAATGTCTGAATGACAAGGGATGCATCATATCTAGAGGCTAGCTGATGCTGAGTGGATCCGGGTCAAGAGCGTCACGGTTTGGTCCGAGTGTTGTTGATTGTGGGACAAGGCCACTGATCCGACGATTATCAATCTCGTAAACCTCGACCCTGGCCAGCCCACCTGCCTGATAATTGTTGTTTACATCAGAACTTCCTCGGTTTCCTGAGCGCCACTTCGTCAATTTGAATTTGGTGCCTGAGCCCAAAATGTAGTTTAGATGATGCCCTATTAGACCTGAGATCTGACCCACGGGTGTATATCATTGGGGCAGACTGGTTGAAATCCCTTGATCGCAAGATGTTGATCGTACCACTAGGGGCGGCGTTGTGGCCATGCAAGGCAGTCTGAGCCTCATCCATGATCTTGGTCTGATCCAGGTCCAGGAAGGCCTAGCGCAGCCTCGAGAAAGGTTCGTGCAGCTGAAAAGGCTATAGCCATCAACACTAGTGCCGATTCGGCCGAAACAGAAGAAGTAGAAGGTCTCACACATTGAATTTCGAAGTTAACTTTGACTACTAGTCGTAGGTCCAAGTTACTACACCTGAGCAAGTTCAAAATACGTACAATTAAGTTTGGTGATGGCCTGTTGTGCAACATTCTGCATGCTCATATTGAAACCCGGGCCTCCGAGATTGATCGAAGATGTAGTAAAACATATGTTTGATCGTCGTCGACGCTTTTGCCAAGAAGGCCTGGGAAAACGAGGCGATGAAACAGAATTATTCCTTCTGACTGGTGGTGTTGAAGACCACCTGCATCAACCTCCCACCAGTATATAACCGATACGATGACGACCAGGCTACCAAAACTGGTCGCTTTCGATCTAGAGTAAAGAAAACCTCCCATCGAGACTTGATTATGACTGATCGCAGACCATGTAGCTATACGCTTTGGGATTTCTGGATCGATACTCACGTACATCCTCCATTAAAGCGACACCACGTCACTGGCAAAGTCATCGATAGCCAGCGGAAACCCAAGACAATAGACTTCTACGGGGATGTACCACAGATCATGCATCGCCTACAAGCAGCGGGCGTAACGATCGCTGCGTGCTCACGGACGGATGCGCCGTCATTGTGAGTGATCTGAACGATTCCATTATTGGTAGTACCACGTTCTGCACTGACATGTTGTACCCGAAGAGCTCGCGAAGCCTTAGATCTCATACTTATACCCCCGAGGACTGGTAGCGACAGCAGCGCTAAACCAATTCCCGCAATCAAGTTTTTTGACCAGCTGGAGATATACCCTTCTTCCAAGATCAGACATTTCAAGAAACTTCATGAGAAGACTGAGATACCCTATGACGAGATGGTAAGTGGGTGAGCGTTATGTATCAAGGTTATTTTACATGTTTGGCTAGCTATTCTTCGACGACGAATGGAGGAATCAGGAAGTAGAAGAACTTGGTACGTAAACTTACGAACTAATGAAACCCCCTTAGATTGACGTCAAGTATGTATACTAGGCGTGACATTCACACTCGTCCCAAATGGTCTCAATGACCGAATTCTAGAAAAAGGGCTAGAGGAATGGAGAAAGAGGCACCCTGTTCAAGTCACCGAAGACGTGGTGGAAGCAGATGAAACGCTTATCTCATAGTGTTTCGTCGGCGTGATATCTCAATTGAATTCATGGTCTCGGTAAGAGAAGTAGTTACACTGCCTATCTGAGTTGATCGTATCGATAAGTACGATGGACAATCCAGATCCTATGAGAGGGGTTTCCCTTGCGATGAACTTATAACTTGAAAGTTGATATCTATTCCCCATATATCAAGCCTAGAATGTTCTCGACTGAACACATCGAATACTTACACCGAGTCATTGTGTTCGTGCTAGGGACCTGGCGTGGTGGTTTTTCAGGGTGGTGTAGGGAGCAACGAGGATAACGTGCTGGCGTCGTGAGGAAATTATGTCCTGTAAGGGCTTCAACCATCATTGTGGAGATTCCATCGATGTGACTATGTCTCGGGTCTTTTCCGTCAACAGCGATGCAGACTGGAAGCCAAAATCGCGCAAGCTTCCACATAGATAAGCTTGGGCAAGAAGCGAGGTCACAGGGAACAACACTTCCACCGAAATGAATGCGCAAAGGGTGGAGTCGCACATCAAAACGCCCGTGCTACGATGTGATTGGTAGGGATGTAGAGGAGTGATTAAGAATGGTGTTTGGCACAGGTGTAGTCTGTCACAAGGTTAACTATCCGTTTCAGGATGCAGATCAACAGCTAAACTGAGAGCTCGTGATGAAATAGAGTAAGTTTCAACGTACAATGGCTCCCAGATAAGGGGAAAGGAGTTGGTTGGGAGGATAAGCTCTGCTGGCTTCATTTCCGCAGTATCTTTTCTCCAGTAGAGATCATTGAAACTGCTGCAAACAGACTATGAGCGTAAATGGCGCGAAAGTATCCTGAACTGACACAGCCCAAACTCATCTTAGACATCAATAGTTCCGGAACTGAATACAGCTGTGCAATTTGTGATCCACAGGGAGAAACGGTACGAACTCTGCCGAAGGTGAGGGCAGGGCTGGGCGAGAGCTATAAAAGATTGTCTGCCTGTATTCCCTTCAACTACCACAACTACACCCTCGCTCATACTCCATCTCTTGTGCAAATAATAAACGATGGCTGCTGCAAAGAAAGCTGTTAAAACAGGTATGCCCGACCATCATTTCTATCGGGGCGGTGTCTGATGGGCGTTTGATATTTTTACCACCTTCGATTACTTCGCTGGCATCACTGCTGATGCACAGGCGCTCCCACCACTGGCGGTGCTGCTACCGGAGCACCCGTACCAAGCCCGCCCGCCAAGGGTGCCTCTGCACCAGTGTGTAACCTGTCCAATGATTATCGACAAAAATGTAATTTGTTGATCTTGCAGAGTAAAGGCGCCAAACCTCCTGCCGCAGAGGCTCCTGCCGCCAAGGCAAAAGCCAAGGTTCCGAAGAAGAAGTAAACCTCGCGCGCTTGATGGTCTGTGTTTAGAAGCAGGACGATGGCTGTGAGGATGATAGACCAAGCGCTCCGAGAATGCAGATGTACACTTACCGCGACGTATGAGATAACATAGGAAATTGAAGCTATACCACGCGCTCTCCGATTCCTATGCTCAGCACGTTAATATTTCGACTCAGTGGGTTCTGACTTGAAGCCTAGCCTAAAATTTGAAGCAAATAGTGGCGCTTATGCCAGTGCACCATTAAAAACCGAAGAGAAGTGCATGAGCGCCAGTTGAAGTCTTGGCTTCTAGCACTGTTGGAAGCAGCCTAAAAATAGATGTTATAATCAGCTGAAACCCTATACCGAACAAGTCGTAGTGTTCATGGCGCGCGGTAGTATATCAGAAGGGTCCAACGTTACAGCAGAGGGTCCAGACAAGAGATAAAACAAGAATAACTTAAACCTGTGTCATAATCATTACGTAAACACACACTGCTTCCTAAACGAACGACGAACGATTCAGACGCTCTTCAGCTACTGGTTTAGCCTTCCCCTCTTATACCTGCCGTTGTAATATCCGCTCAGTGGAATACCGACACAAGTTTTTAGTATCCACCACAATCTGTTATGAATCATACTTGCCCGTCCGACAACACCGCAGACGTGGACCAATCCAGTTTCTGGAGCTCCGGGAATCTGAACTGGGACCAACACCGAATAGGATGGGCGATTGCAGGAGGATGTGCTGTGCTAGTATGTTCATCTTCAGTTAATATTTGTCCTGAGTGGTTTACCATTAACAGACAGTTATTATTTCAATGATTTCAGTCTTGCGGCATTGTCGGTAAGGCGCAATAAATTTTGAAAGTATTTTTCGGTTCCAATTCGTCACATCAGACATTATACCAAACCTAACGAGCAGCGTCAAATGTGCGTGCATCACTTGTTCCTTGGGTGCATTCCTTCATGCCTTACTTTTTAGTCTCCGAATTCTTTATATGCCACCAGTATATGCTGTTATTTCATTCTTTTCCTACCGATATTTCCGGAGTTACACATACTACTCGCTCATCGAAGTCTGTAAGTTGTCGTGCCAACACTATCGTATGCTGAGTTGACAGTGTCCCAATCCTTTCAGCATACGAGGTAATTGGTTACCGTGTATATCATCTTTGTCCATTGTCTCATCATTTGACCAGGCTGTCACCTTGAGTGCATTCCTGTTCGTGGTTTACTTTTGATCACATAGACGTTTTGCTTACTTGTTATCCCTACGACAGACTCCTTCTGATCGAATTCGTGGCAGCCACGGCCACAGATGGCGACGCCACAAAAGCAATCGAACGGAAGGATAAAAGACCTTTACCGATTCCTGTACGTATTTTACTTGTCAATTTTTACAACTACATGTTAATCTCGCCTATAGTTTTGCTGTTGGAGATACCGACCAACAAAGGTATGCTGTTGCTGATACCATGGGAGTCTTTTCCTCACACACTTCTTCAGCCTTACTTTATGTATACCGTCAAGGTAAGCAAGCTACTAGGTGCTTGGCCAAATGCCCATTTTTAGTGTAGTGGTCAGTTTTGCAATACGTTATCATCCGACCAGGTGAGGTGGAACCAGTCTACTCACAGATATATATCTCACGTTACCGCAGCCGTATCTATCGCTGGGATTATCTGTCAAATATACAACGTGCTTTGCGAGTCTGGCCCTTACAGCATATATTTTGCCAATGTCTATCTCGAGGTTGTTGATTTCGTCAGCATTAGGTATGTCCAACTTATGATGAGATAGAGATCTGACTATAACATATTGTCCCGCGAATAGTGTGGCACTTTACGGTCTTTTACTGTTTTACGGACTCACCAAGGAGGAACTGGTTGGGCGACGACCACTAGCTAAATTTCTTTGTATCAAGCTCATCGTGGTGTTCACTTTTTATCAGTCCTTTATCGTAAGTCCTTCCCGCCTTTGTAGTCGTTACCCACTTCACGCCCGAGTCGTTTGCAGTTTAGCGCACTAGAAGGCCGCGTTATTCAAGGTGTGTCCCTTCAGAACTCTAATTTACTCTAAGCTGAGATAAGCGCCAAAGCCACCGAATACTGGACTGCCGGCAATATCGCAGATGGTCTTAATGCGCTGGCCATTTGCGTCGAGGTCAGTCATCACCTCCTGAATACAACGTGGGAGTCTCGTGTCGACTTATCACGCAATAGATGGTTTTCTTCTCATTATTGATGATGTGGGCGTACACAGTCGATGAATACAAGATGGTAGCAAACAAAAAGACAGGCATTTGGCGTCCATTATGGGACAGGTGCGTCTATGTTCCATGATTGATAAATATTTCAATTGCTGATGTTTTCATAGCATCAACTATTGTAAGTACTATGATATCTTCCTAGATTATTGGCTAACACACTACCAGGGGATTTTTTCACAGAGATATGGGACTCATTCAAGTTCTTCTTTCACCGTTCCCCTGGCTCCTCGTCAGGTAAGAAGGCAGATTTTGCTCAGGCATTCGGGGTCGGTGGCAGGTCAGTGGAAGATGGTGATAGATCAACCGAGGAATCAATGAGGTTAGCTCCATATCCCTACAGTAATACCCACAACGCCGACAGCGCCAGTCCCGTGTTGTCATGAATCAGATCAAACTAGCGTCACACATCAAGGACACCTTCGTTATCTACATCTGCTATAGTCTCAGTTTACTTGCTTGCTTTTATATATTCACACTCTTTTACCTGTGTCTGACTGTGCTATTAACCTTTAATATGTCTGACTACGTGACACCACAGAACTTCGGCACTGCGGAACACGTTTGTATGTATAATATTGTACGATACCAAGTACTTTGTACAGTAAGTTGGGTCCAAACATGTATCTGGTAGAACGAGGGTTCCCAATGTTCATGCTGTATTTCGTGGTTTCGAACTATATAGAGAAGACCAGCATTTCCAGCGTCGCGAATCGATTAAACTTGGTCAAACAAGCTTAACGCACGAATAACGCCGGCATTGGGTGCTATTATGTCAGCAACTTCATGCTGTGTTGCTGATCCAGGTTACTAGCGAGTCATCTTATCTTCGATGACAAGTACACGTCTGAAACGGCTGCTGGGAACGGCGGACTGGTGGAAACATGTTTCGTACTACGCATTCGCAACTTCTGGACATGAATCTACAATTGTTGAGGTCCAAGTATCATAAATAGTGTTGGATTATCAAACCTTCGTCATGGACACTCGGTACCGGTAGTTTACCTCGTACCTATATATTCTCGTTCATTCCCGCGCCTCGTACTATCCTCAGTTGACTTCGTACGTCGCTGAGGTTAGTACCATCATAGTATTCAGTATCTACCTAGCTAACAACACATGTAGCTATCTGCTACAGGTATACCAATATAACAAGTTGACTTCGTACATCGCTGAGCTATCTGCTACAAATAGCTCTGCTGCCATTTCAAATGAAGCCAAGATGCCCAAAACCTCTCCGTGTACAGATGACCATCAAGGGTTGAGGGGAGCCAAATTCGGGATTCAAATAATTAAAGTGATACCTTGCAAGAGCCAGGCTGCGGCGTACTCACATACTGTTGCAGTCCATGCAGCTTCTAAGTGCTGCTTGGTAAGTGGAACAACTTAGTGCTGCCGGGGTCCGGTTCAGAGGGTCATAGAGGAGAACCAAGGACCGGACCATTGGTTCGGTTCTACGAAATGTCTGAACCCAGAACTGGTGTAACGAGACAACAATTGCTGGATACTACACAAAGTAAGTAATCAGCAATATAATAATGTTGTGGTCTTGCGCGGCCTAGTCTGCTATACTTGTAGACAAGTGCATTCGACCCGAGGGGTTAGCTATCTGGTATTAGTCTGTAAATAGTGGAATGTCAAATGATCAAAAGTCCGAGCGCAGGAAACAAAGTCTGAAGGTATAATCATGAGTCCGACACCAAAGTGTCGGGTCCGATGTTTTCGGGTTAGCGGACTAGCGGGGCTTCAGGTGTGGATTCAGCGGATTACGGATAATGGCGATAGCGAGTGTCAGGAAAGCAAGCAGTATGCAGAATATCGATAATGACTGGTGTTTTGGGATAGAAAGAGCGCATCAGGAAAATGCACATTTCCTGTAGGCAGGTGTTGCCTACATAGGCCTATGTAGACAGTGCCATCCTATGTAGGCAACTCTTAGGTCACGTAGGCCTTGTAGACACCAATGAACAATAAACAATTCAACAAATGTAAATGACCGCACCTTGCCAACAAATTCCACCTGTTCACCAGTGATGGAGCGTTCAAACTCGAATAAGCAGTAAGAACTATCTGACACAAATAAAAAAAACTCACGTGTCTGACCTGTCATGTACTAGTCTTCGCTCGCAGTCCTTGAAGATTGGTGAAAGTAGAATGACAGAGGCCACAGATGTGCCAGTGAAAAGGTCACGGCCTGGGTGTGTCGTTCGAAATTTGTTCTTGCTGTCCCCATTAACGGATGTTTTGCAGGCCACTTGTCCGAAGGTTCCCATTGGAAAGCGCTAGCGGCTATATAGCCGCAACCTCTGCTACATACTACTACAGTAATCCTGAACCGTGTGATAATTGACTTGATGGAATTTTCGCAGTATTGTCATATTGCATTGGTATATGTTGCTATTATTGCAGAAATGTACATGTAGTCTTGTAGCCTAGTTGTAATGATGCTGCAGTTATAATTGTTCAAGGTGGTGGGTTCAATTCCTACCAATTGTACATATATAATATGTGAAATTCAATTAGTCATCTGATGATGGCCTATCTGAATTATCTAGCCAGCTTTGTTTTTGCTGATGTATACAGTACTAACCTAAGCATACACCTAAGCCTACGGTGCCTACGAGGAACCTACTGTATACAGGGCCTGCCTACATAGGCGGGACTTACCTAATGGCCTAACCAGCCTACATAGGCTACATAGGCTTGCGTAGGTACTGTGCTTTTTCCTGATGCGGTAATATTTGCAATGTCAACTAAGAACTACGAAATATCGGGTTTGACCACAAAGCGTCGGGGAACGGCTCCCACTACTTGGATGATGAATAATGCTCGAGGTCAGTCCAATATATATGTAAGTACGTAGAAATGCGGAACCCATAGGCGAAAGTAGTGGTGGAGTATTTCGGATCCGAAGTACATGTAAATAAACACGAGGTGCTGTGGACTATGGGAAAACATGTAATAGCACTGGCTATGACATGAGTAATGTGCGAAAAAATGAACTACGCACCTAGTGGGGCTAGCAAGACAGGACGGGACACAGATAGGACAAGTGCGCGGGAAAATATCGGGTCCGATGCGTGGGAAACGTCGGGTCCGCCAGTCAAAGTGTCGGGTCCGATGTCAAAGTGTCGGATTGAATGGGAAGTGATTATCGTGCAACAGGCATTATACATGAGTCGTGAATCAGCTGAATATGAGCCTAGCGCGAGCTCGAGTGCTACACCGCACTCATCCGGAAGTTTCTCACACTCGTCCGGAAAGTCCTTCCGAAGTTTCCCACGCTCCTCTGGAAGTCCTTCGGACTTCACTGGACTTTCTCCGGACTTCATTCTGAAGTTAAGGGCACATACTTGGGTAAGGGGCACAGCGCACAAGCTGAAGCCAAGCCCCTTGGAATCAGTCCTACCCTTTGTGCATGGTCTTAACAATCATAGTGAACGCATTACTCGCCAAGTTGCAGACTGGGCTTCTCAATATGATGACCTAACAGACGCGCTCCTGAGGTACAAGGCAGATTCTGAACACCCTCCTCTCTCGGATGATGCATCCGAGAACTTTTCGATTGAGGTTGTGGATATATTCGGTACATTGCATTCTATAATACAATGTTTGGATTCTCAACCTATTCATAGACCGCCGTGTGCGCACTTTCAGAAGTCTCTCGCCATTTTTGAACGTGTCCCTACTCCACTACGGCTGCATAGGTAGTTCACCTATTCGCCCAACAATTGCTATAACCATCTGCACCCTTGATGTATACCGGCAAAGTCACCGAGTCTGCCCGTGATTCAGCATTCAAGCTCAAGCGAAAATGCTGTGTGCCCTCCATAATGTATGTGTGTCTTGCATCATTCATTTCTAGTACTTACATACAATTAGGTTTACTTTCACCGCCACCTAGCAGAGCAGCTGCGTGTCGCGTACAACATTTATCTTGAACTCAATCGCCGCATAAATTCCCACCTGGACAAGTTCCTGGGTCGTGATATGGACAATTGGCGCATTCTTAACTCATGCCCAGCATGTCAATACAGCCTTGTAGATGAACCGCCTCTGGACTTTTCTTTTCTCTGTGCATTTGATGGGAATAATTCCGCTAAACTTGTTGATCCTGCAATACGCAGGGGTGAGGAACGTCTGGACCCTCGCTCAGGAATGTCGTCGATCTGGCTGACCAAGTCCTATGTTGACCAATTCAAAGATGAAGTTCGATCAGCTCGTGCTTGTCAAGGACAACAACACCCTGGTTCCAGTGACCCTGATGATCCATGGGTTGAGGAGCCTGACTCAAATGACTCTGCAGAGCCACCCAGTGTCTGTGTGGACCGTTGGCGTAATGCGGCACCCGAGTCATGGAAAAAAATGTTTGCTATATTCAAGAAGTCTGGCATTTTCGTCACTGTCTGCCGGCACGGGTTTTTGCTTACCATATGTGACATGGTCCGAAGTGGTGAACTGTAGTTATTTTTATTTACGCTCTTTCTGACATATGTTACTGACTAACACTTACTTGTTGACAGGATGAAATACCCGATTGCTAGCATGAAGAAGCTGATGGATGTTTTCGGCAGCAACATTCTCTATGGTTACGATATCAAATGTGCATTCGAGAAGATTCTCCTTCGCAGCTCGCTTGCAAATGATGTAAAGAGACTCAACCTGCAGGGTGTTGTGCCAGCTTTTCATGGCCACGCACACAATCGTCTTTGCCAACTCAACCATTATTCAAAGCACAGAGTCGGTGCTGGGAAAGAAGACTTTGAGACATGCGAACATGTTTTCTCTGAGTCCAATGCACTTGCTTGTGGGATACGAAACACCACTGACTTCCACCGTCACCAAGCCTTGGATGAACATTTCTCTTTCGCTGATATAGACAGGTATGCTGCACTATGTAAGTCACCCTTCGTTCCTTCAACTCTAGGTTAACAATAAATGTAGCTGACTTCACCTATAACAACTACGTCCAAGCACTGACATCGATATCAACTACAAGTATTTTTCTCATGAACTTCGCTGCATCAAACCCCACCATTGACATTAACTTTCAAGCTGATCTTGAAGACGAGCAACTTTTTCTGCAACAGCTCGCACGCAGGAAGGATGAATCTACCATCGAAGTTGATTACGTCAAGGCATTGAATGAACATGACGAGGCACAGTTAGTATTTGTCTTTTGGCTACACTGTTACTGACATTACACTATATCAGGCTTGCATATGAATCAGCACGAGTGGAGTTTGCGAAGCTCAATTTACGGCTGAATTATTCTACTCGAGATGCTGGGAATATTTGGTGCCATCATACCCATGCTACAATCAAACACGATCAGAAGCTGGAGGTCGTGGCCGATTATGAACGCCAAATGGCACTAGACTCGCGATGGGATGTGAACCATCCTGAATGCATTAAGGCACAGTCACACATTACTCATCGTCTTTTCCACAAGGCGGTGGATGATGTCGAACGTCTTGTTGTCATGCGCCTGCTGGAGTTGACGAAGTTACAAATGGGTAGTCTAGGTAAAGCTTGAATGATTCAATTTCTGAACTGTAATTCTTAACACTCATGTTTATAGGGTAGGGTATAAACTTCGCACCCAGATCTCAAATGCACTCAAAAGTTGTGCCCATGCGATTTGAAACGCACTTAATCGGTACAATAAATATGCAGCTCAGCTTAACCCTCCCCGCCCTGCATTGCAATGGGAACAAATAGTGGAGTACTCATTTCTTGCTGAGTTCGACTTACTTCATGAAACCAATGGTGAGATGCAGTCCAAGCACTGGGCGAACCCATCTTACCGTCACGCCTCCACTCAATTTTTTGAGCAGCAGCGTGCTCATGAAGAAATTCGCAGGCTCAATGTGGAAGTTGGACAACTGCTCACGAAAATTCGAGATGATGGTATCGATTACCCACAAGCAATCACACAACTGTGGTCCGATAACCCACCCCTTGCAGCCGAACTGCAGTGGCACTGGATGCATCTGCGGTCAGTAAATGCATGTTACCTGTGGCGCATCCAGCAGATCCTGGAGTTGCCAGGGTATAATGGGCCAATGGGTCCCGGTACTCGAAAAGGTCAAACTGAGGTAATGTTGCCATCTCCTCCACATGGACTCACACAAGATCAAGATGATGAGGGTGACAAAGATGAGGATATGTTCAGGCAGTTGGAAGATGTGCATACTTACATCGAGGGACTTGATCACCACTGCATAGACTTAGAATTGGTAGTGTAGTCATATCTTGTTGCAACATATGTCCAATGTATAAGTTGTCATATCCTCAATTCAATTTTTTGGGCTGCAAAAATATAGTGATTTGTGTGTTGCGTGCACAGTCTGAATTTACTGATGTGGTCAACACTTGCCGGCAAGTGTTGACCACATCAGTAAATTCAGACTGTGCACGCAACACACAAATCACTATATTTTTGCACAGGTATCTAGCAAGGTAGACTGATGAATATCATTGGAGTGTCAAGTGCACAATCAGATCAATCATTGATGGCTTGAAGTTGCATGTAATTGTACATTTGTATCTTAGCTCACTGGCACGTGCTACATTTGCACCTGGCCGCAACCATTTCATTCACTTCACCATGGCGCAACCTACAGACTGGAAATCCTCTCAGTTTTACAGGCCTCCCACTGTAGATGGCATGAAAGAACTCAACGCTCTGATCGATTGCCCTCAAAAGCTCACTGGAATCGCTGGATTGGATCGTCATTGGCAATCTGCCCTATTATCTTTACAAGCACATGGATCCCACAATGACGGTGGACACCTGGAGACCTATGATGGCTTTCATGCTTTGACCGACATGCATTATAGTACTGGGTTTTCTAAAGTCCAGAAAGCCACTCAGGACGACAGACTTAATAATTGGTGTTCTCGTGCTACTCACACTGACAATATCTTAAACTGTATCTTTGATCTTGTAGGTTCCTCTATATTTGTATCATTCAATCTATTAACTACATGATTAGTGCACTGTTCTCGACAGGTTAACGGGTGGTTCGACTATTGTATTGCACCATCCGGGTGCAACATCACCAAACGCAGATGTTGTACCAGAATCCCTCAAAGCTGAGGTGTATGTCAACCCCAGGGTCCTCACTGAGCACCACGAGCTCCATCCAGTACTCACGCAGATTACACAGATCTTCATCGCCAACTATGCAACTCCATTGGCTCATGCCTTTGCTGTGATTCGCAGTCGCAAGTGGGGTAATTCGAACACTCCACAAACGCCTTCGAAAGGCAAAGGGACTCCTTCCAAGGGCAAGGGAAAGAACAATATCATCATGCCTTTAGCTCCCTCACCAGTATTTCCAAACTCTGCACACTTCACCTTTCACAGACATCCAGCCGGGTCTTTAGAAAGTATTCTCAACTCATCCTCTCATATCTTATCTTATGCACCTTCATATGATGGCCATATTACGTGGGACCTGACTCAGATACAAATTGAGCCCGCCCGCATTGTTCGCACCAGTGGTAGTGGCAGTGCGAGTACATATTCTGGTTCACATCAGGAACCAAGCAGGGCAGAACATGTGGGCACAGGTAACACACATAAAGTAAATTTTCTATTATCTCCAAGTGGAGCACCAATTTAACTTATCTTTTCACAGGACACCCGAGAATCTGTGGTCCATATCAATGAACCTAAGACATCACGTACCGAGCAGCAGTCCCTGTATTCCCCGATTACTATCTACAACAGCTCAGGCAGTGACGATGATTGTGACTCTCCGCAGAAATATCCTCCTGTAACCCCTATGTCAACTCGCTCAGTGAGGAGCCAGGCTGTATCGTTTGGACTTCCTGCCTTGCTCACCATTCCCACTCACTCTATATCGGAACCACAAGCCCAGGATATATTGATGCTTGTCCCATTTGGGAAGAGGACAGAGGCAGCTCTGGAGGAGCTAGGATATCCAGATACATTACATTCTATCTGCGCTTCAATCCAGAACCAGTACCTCGCCAAGCAGTGGGTTACCAAATTGCAGGAGCTTGCTAAGGTCCCCCAGGAGCATGTGAAAGCTATCAGTGAGGCTATGTTGAATGATGCCTCGCTTCCATAATTTTTTTAATCTGGCCTTGTACGATTGCTCAATTTGAAGATGTATCTCAGTCACTCTGTTGCTCAGTCCGTCCCACTCATACTACCATGATGTTTGGATTTCGCTCACACAATCCCCGTCGGCTGGTTCCCCGAACACGGGGACCATATGTCAAGGTATCAAAAGAAGTTCGTCTGCATCTGACAGAGCGGCGGCGTGCTAAACGCCTTGATGAGGACTATGAGATCCAACTTGTCCTCAATTATATCAATGCGAAGGCCACAGATTTAGCAGTGAAATTCAAACAGCCTTGTCGCCGATATTTAGAATGATTCTCACTTGGATCTGTGGTCCACCGCCGCAAACACAACAAGACCAGCGCATGGCATGCATACATGCACTTTAAAGGCATTGAGAGCAATGCTAGTAAGTGTACTTTTATGGTACACGAAATTCATTTCTAACTTAGCACTATTCTAGACAAAGGTACAATGGAGAAGTCGAACGTCAGTGACCTTGTCAAGGAAGCTAGTGACTATCATGAGCTCACTGACCAGCAGAAGAAGCAACTCATAAGCGAGTTTGACAAAGTCAAGAAAGGTGCTCAGGATCGTCCTCCCAACATTACTGCTCATACACGTGCTGCAGAGTGTGCCCACAGTTTTCAGTTTGTGAGAGAAGAGGTGAGAAATTTACCTTTAAATTTGCAACACATCTAAACTCATCTGCAGCTTGAAGCTCTCAATAAACGTGTCGGTGCTGAGGCTTTTGTCATCATGGTTCATGGTGTTTCGGATTTTGCTATGGCCCCAAAGGCATTTTTCACCAGCTCTGCAACAGAACAATTTGTCCATTTGTATTTGCGCAAAGATATTGCCAAGATGGCGACTGACTTCGAAAGCACTGTGCTGGCCAATGGCCTCGTCATAAGTGAGTATATCTTTGGATATTCTACAATTTGACTAACACTCATTTTTATCTAGATACAGCTGCTAACCATCGTGAACGTGTGGCAAAAGCAAAGACTGCCATCCGCATTGGCCTGTGTACATCACTCTGTAAGCACCATTTATTGACTTGTTCTAATTATATACTCATTCATAGCAGGCGATGTGACAGATGATCCCTCTGCAACAGTTGAGTTTACCTGGTACAACGATCTTGTGCGCGAATACCACGTCAAACTGGTGGGATGGAACCACCCCCAATGGGCCAACCCATCAGACTTAAAGGTGGGATTGAAAGCCTCGAGAAAGTTGCCAGCGCTATTGCAGAAGGGACTTGCAAGTTTGTGTCAATCACACACGAAGAAGTCGAAGAATAGATGGCGCATATCAAGAATGGGGAGAAGCTCACTCCTGAGCTCAAGCCTCCCACAACATGCGACTCCCTTCCTTCACAAACACAGGCCACAACGTGCGACTCCCTTCCTTCACAAACACCGGCCACAACACAGGACTCCCTTCCTTCACAAACACTGGCCACGATGCAGGACTCCCTTCCTTCACAAACACCGGCCATGATGCAGGACTCCCTTTCTTCACAAACCACTCGCACCTCCTTGATTACAGATGACATGGTGGATCCTGCACTTCGTGCGCTTAACAATCGTAAGTGTCGTATTAACTTTTGTCATTGTCATTGTGTTAATATTGTCTTTTCAGCTTCTACTACGCCTGTGGAGCATCTTCCGAGTCAGCCTGATAGTGGTAGGTGACATTAAATACTCTGTTTCATAGTGCCATTAACATCTCTGCTTCTCAGCTCTGGCTACTGTGCATCTTCCCTCCAGTCAGCCTCAAGCTCATGCTACTACCCCGCTCCCTTCGACCAATGAAGATGCCCTTGTCTCAAGGACAAATAGTGGCTGCAAGCGACCTGTTGACGATACTGCACCATCCGAAGGACAACGCCCAAAGCGTGCCCGCAAGCTCACTGAAAAGGCACAGCTGCTGGGCGGCCTGGGCTCTGACTCACGCGAGGAGAATAAAGTACAGCGCAAAGCAAAAGATGGATGGCAGACAAAAAAGGGCGAGGCTGTCATTGATTCCAACCAAGAGAATGACACGTAGAATAGATTTTGGGCAATATATCAACCGTTTTGTGTACATATCATCTCAATCTATCATTTGTTATCAATTACAAAAAAGCACTATCAAAAATATGTTATTTTGACTATGTACTCGAGCTCGCTGTTGCAGACGATGAGCGCAAGGGCGGCAGCATGTCGGAAATTTCTAATTTTGGTTGGCATGCCTTAAAATGGATTGGAAGGCCTCAATTTACCGGCGGCATTACAACTCGCTTGGAAGGGAACCCGAAAATTTTGGAAGCCGCTTAGAAGCAATATAGAGGGTCTTGCAAGTGGGTCCCAAGACTGTTCCAATGCAAGGGCAAGATTTTGACCGATGCTCTATATACCCTAATTGGAATATCATTGGAAGCGACAAGTATCCTTCCAAGGTCTTGAAATTATGCAGTCTTTTATTTAATATAATAATAGCACTATCAATAATAATATTGTAAAATTGCTCCCAATTGCGTTCCAAGCGTTCCTCAATCACTCCCGTTTCGTTTTGAAATAATAATTCTGGTGGGGACAATTTTTGAGTTGGAGACAATACAAATATGATATCAGTCTTACTAACCTTGGACAAACGGATGGATGAGACCCGGAGAGGCAGTTGATGACCAAATCCCATTCCTAGCAGCGTGTTCAAGGAGACAGGAGTGGTTGGAGGCAGGCATCAACGGCAGCACGGCAAGTTCAAGGAGATGGGAGTGGTTGGAGACGGGAGTGGTTGGAGGCAGGCGTCAACGGCAGCACGGCAAGTTCAAGGAGAAGGGAGTGGTTGGAGGCAGGCATCAACGGCAGCACGACAAGTTCAAGGAGACAGGAGTGGTTGGAGGCAGGCATCAACGGCAGCACGGCAAGTTCAAGGAGACGGGAGTGGTTGGAGACAGGAGTGGTTGGAGGCAGGCGTCAACGGCAGCACGGCAAGTTCAAGGAGACGGGAGTGGTTGGAGGCAGGCATCAACGGCAGCATGACAAGTTCAAGGAGACGGGAGTGGTTGGAGGCAGGCATCAATGGCAGCACGGCAAGTTCAAGGAGACGGGAGTGGTTGGAGGCAGGCGTGACGGCAGCACGACAAGTTCAAGGAGACGACGGGAGTGGTTGGAGGCTGCAGGCATCGGCGGCACGACAAGTTCAAGGAGACGACGGGAGTGGTTGGAGGCTGCAGGCATCGGCGGCACAACAAGTTCAAGGAGACGACGGGAGTGGTTGGAGGCTGCAGGCATCGGCGGCACAACAAGTTCAAGGAGACGACGGGAGTGGAGGTTGGCAGGACATGAGACAGTCGACGACGACAAGACTTAATTTTGTTTATAGTTGAAATGATATGACAAGTTGAACGAAAGACTTCCAAGTCTTTCACATCAAATGTTTGTTGTTGTTGATTGTATTACTAATCCAACGACATCAAGAACAATCTAAGTACATTGACGAGTGACATGAGACAAAGAAAATCTATTATATTACTTAGTGGTCTTTGATCGGCCCCTTCGCACACCACTGCCACTGACTACTAATGATGAAACCTCAGGTTCAACATTGGCAGGAGCTTGATCTTCTGAAATGTTACTGTCAGCAGCTGCAGCCTTACCCTTCCGCCTTGGCTTCGGCTTCGGCTTCGGCTTCTGAGCAGCAACAGGAGCTACAGGCTCTGCTTCAACGTCCTTGTCGACTGCTGCAGGTGGTAGGTGCTCGGCCAAAGCTAGACCTTGCATGGCAGCAGAGATTGACTGGGGTCCGGGTGCAGAAGAAGATGCTTCGATGACAGGACCAACCGACGACGTCTGAATCATATTCAGTTCTGGTAGTTCCACCCCAGTCTCCATTGCATGCTCAAACATTTCTTCCCAGCTGTCACACGGACCACTCGTCAAGTCGCCTAGTAACGTCGAGTCTGAATCAAGGAGAGTTGTGGCAGAAGAAGTGGAAAACAAGGAGTTGTTGAAAAAGGTGAAGACTCCGTCTGCCCAGGCACCTCCAGTCAACAGCGATTGTCGGTAGTAGTTATGGTAGTCTTTGTATGGTATGCGAGATTTGTCGCCAACTTCAACCAACTCTTTGTCACCGGAAAGGACAAATATAGCCTGAAACTCGTATTAAGTGTCAATATTGTGCAGCATAAGAGACAACACGTACGACAATGGCTGCTGCAGCAATGAGACCCGGTGTTACAGCACGTAGCTCCCATATTTTCGCCTTTGTTTTCGGAGTGGGAACTGTATTGGCAGCGAGCGACGACCGGCCAAAGAGTGACGCTTTCAGAATCTATAAATGCTATTTAGTTAGTTCTATTTAGAGAGGGGAGGCAAGAACCTACATAAACGAGTTTTGCTGTTTTCAAAAACTGATCTCTGAGGAGATGGTCCGGACGAGGGAAAAGAATCGGCGCAAACTTCGTGTACTGGCCTTGGGGGTTAAGGAGCAGAGATTTGCAAGAAGGCTCTGTGTCCCGTGCATAACCGCATATAAAAAACTTGGCATCTAAGCCAAAAATGGCTGCCGCGCATGACTTGACATCTGAGAGCATTTCGGCACGAACATTATTGACGCCTTTCACAAACTGGACAGACTAAGTTTATCATCGAGCGCAATCAAAGATGGGAGGGCTTACATGGGAGCCAAAGTTTTTATGAGCCATCATATTATGGTCAGCTGGCGGTATGAATTGGAAAAGTTCAGCTTTAATGCCATCCTGGATGGATAGCGGTGAGAGCCATCGCTCCTTGCTTGAGAGGTCGATTCTGGGAGGTGACTCACGCAAGGGGAAAATAGACGTTTCGACCCATAAGCAGTGGGTGATAGAGAACTTGCGTCCAAAATTTCTGATGCTGTCTTCCTTGGCGGCAAGGGCAAGATCTTTCTTTGTAAGCTTTGTCTTCCGACCTTTCGAAACGGTAGCCTCGAGTAAAGCAATCTTCTTCAATGATTCCCGGTACTTTCCATGCATGTCAAAAAGAAATTTTTGTGCGATTTCAAGCGCCTGTTAGTAGATACGATTATTAGTTATTACTACAAACATTGTCTGTGTGTAGCAAAATGACAGTTACCTTGCGAAGATCTTGAGTTGACATGTTAGTGGTTGGGGCAGCAATGGTGTCGCGAATCCGCATCAAGTCTGCATCATCGTCCAAATCTGAGTCGCTAAGGCTATCAGTTCCATCTGAGTTGCGGGTGGAGTCACTGTTGACGTCATTGATTGCTTGAGTGAAGTCTTCGCCTTGGTTGTGCTGAATTGGAGGCATAGTATTAGTATTAGTGAAACAGTCAAGCAAACGTCAAGAACAGAAAACTGGAGTGTTAGTCAATCGCACGAGCTTTAAATTGACCCTAGCATGTGCTATTGGGGCGGCGACGACATGTCATGACATTAACTAACAAATTGATACGCACCTTAGACTCGTTGAATATATGTAATGATGCGCATTGATGGTTCTGATAAAGGTTGCAGCGTTGTTCAGACGAATATCAGAATGAGACCCTGTGGATGTAATAAGGCGGCAGCATCACATCAATATCACACGCACAAATTAAACAGAGCATCATCACGACTTACTTAAATACATAATGCATTGACAATAATTGTGTCATGTCCCCATGCAGAAAGCGGAGATGAACAATTGATAGTCTATTAAGTACCCCGAAGATTCCCGAGCATCAACAGGAGGCAATGGGAAGAGATTATTAGTAGGAGGCAGTGTAATAATAATGGAGCGTACATACCCAAAAAGCTGGCTCTCGATTAATGGCTGTAAAGCGGTTCAGTGTGGGCAGATAGGTGAGCCGTCGAACATGAGAAAATAATGAGCCGAAGATCTGGACAAGCAAAAAGATGCGTAATGAGCTTAGCGCGTATGCGATGAAATGGGGAAGCTTTACTTGGGAGTTAGAAGAAGAAGGAGGGTACTCTGGACAAGTAAGGCTCAGTCTGGACAGCGAATAAACAAATTCAAATTGAACTGAGTTGGTCATGGAGAACCTGGATCACACATTCCCACAGTGCCACCTCGCTTACTCACCGTGACCGCCATGCCATCTGTTACGTCGAGCAATAGTACTAGTGATAAATCCACTCACTCCCTTCGTTCTCGTGGTACGATTAATCCAGTGGAACTGCCCAAGAAGAAGAAAAGAAAGCCTGCCGCTATCTGGACATCAGAAGAAGAAGGTGCCCTCGTAGAGTTTCTGTTGTCTGAGTTCTCTGCAAGTGGCGATGGAAATCCTAAGGAAGCAACATTCAAGGCAGCTGCAAGCTTGTTGACGGAGAGGTTTCCAAATGCATCTGGTGCAGAGAAGACATCTGATGCTTGTAGGAACAAGTGGCAATCAGTACGTCATGATTATAATTTATGATTATATTTCTATACTCAAAGGATCCATGCTTTGTAGCTCAAATCAGCCTATAACGCCGTCTTAGATATAAAGAATACGTCAGGATTTATGTGGAGTGATGAGTTTGGGGCTGGAATAGTTAGAAAGAATGATGATGTCTGGGATCGGTATGTCAAGGTATGAGTACTCCGCTGCTGCACTTTCTGATGCCCTACTAATGACATGATTACTCTCAGCGGCGCCCTGCAGCTAGATCGTTCAAATCCAAGGGATTTGAACACTTCTCTGCCATCGAGCAGATGATGCCCAAGATTTCGAAAGGAACGCACGTCTATCGCATTCCAAATGTCCCTACAACATCCAGCTCATCAGCACCAGTGCCCATCAGTGGTCAATCTGAGGCCGCTCCTCCCGCTGGTACTCTTACTTTTGGTCAGCTTACCTCTGTGACCCAAGATATCATCACCGCACAAGCGGGTGGCAGTGGTGGCCCTAGGGCGCCGGCATCAGCAGCTGATCCTTCCACCATAGCACCATCTACACCATCCAGCTTCCTCGTTGCTTCCAATAGCTCGGCCCCCTCATCTGTGTTGACGAGCGTTAGCCGCAGCGGAAAGCGTGGAGTTGAATCAGACTCGGGCGGCAGTTCTCGAAAACGTACTCGGCCGCTGTCTGTAAATGCTCAGGCACAGAAGGACGGGTCTGATATGATGAAGGAGCTTACTGGCTACATCAAGACATTCCTCACAACGTCTCCTCAAGCTTCTGCTTCATCCTCATCGTCTCAGGATGGGGCCCTTGGTCGTGCTATCGTCTTATTATCAGAACATACAAACCTTACGCTTGATGACACTCTTGAAATTGCGGACTACTTTGCGAGAGACAAGGCACAGGCGGTGATTTTTTCCAACTTTTCAGAGACAATGCGAGCTGCGTGGTTGGAGAAAACCCTTCGCAAACTAAAGTCTAGTAACATGTAGTATTACATTGGGCCTGGCAATGGAAGTCCTCGCTGTCTATGCTCCTCGAGATAATCTACCCACATCATCCTTGCAATTCTATCCCGCCGCTGATCTGCTCTTCTTCGTTCGGCCACATCAGCCGGTCCATCACCAAATTCACCTAACGCAACGTCCTGAGTGATTTCAAGAAGGTTACCATCAGATTGAAGGTCAAAAATATCAGGGTGATATTTCTGAATGAAGTTGTGTAGGGCGCATAGCGCTACAGGGATCCGGGCTTGAATATCCATACTATACTCAGGGACATGTCGCAGGATGCCCCATTGACGCTTCAGAACACCGAAAATGTGTTCAATCACGTTGCGAAGTGCTGAATGACGGTGATTGAATAGCTCCTCCGCGTTCCGTGGCCTATGTAGCAATCTAGTTAGCCCACATTAATGCCAGCTTGAACTAATAGATACTGACTTCACATTGGCCTGTCGCCACTCTTTCAAATGATAACGGACGCCTCGATATGGGACGAGGAGAGTGTCTGAGGTCCCAAAGCCAGCATCTGCGAGAAAATATCGGCCTTCAGGGATTCGTAGGTCGTTAACGTGAGCATCTGTCCACAGAGCGGCATCGGACATAGATCCATCCCATCCGCAAAGCGAATACAGGAAGTTGAAGTTGAAGTCGCAGATGAAGAGGCAGTTTTGTGACAAGAAACCCTTGCGGTTGCGCATATGGAAGTGTTCTTCCGGTGGTACGAAAGCCTGAATGTGGGTACCGTCTACCGCGCCAATACACTGATCAAAGTGCCGAAATCGAGGATCGTTGAGTATTTTGTCGGAAATTGGGGTCTCATGAGTTGGAAATACGACCTGGGAGCTGTAAAATGGATTGGACGAGAAGAAGACAAGCAGCCATTTGAAGTATCTTGTAAAATAGATGAGTCACTTGAAAAATTATATTGAAACCACGTACTTTGTGATTGTGTCAGGGGAGCGTTGAAATCTCTCCCCGACGAGGCGGGACGATAATCCTGTGACACACGTATAAAGAAATATCCCCAGCTGCTCCTCGACTGATACACCATTGCGGGATAGCGTGAATCTGTTACGGTGGAGAATGTGAAGCAGCATGTTGAAAACGTCACAGTCAATGCCGAAGTTGTGCCGGATTCTGTCAGGGTGTCCGTTGATGAGCTCATACACCCAAGCTTCACCAGAAAGGATGGATGTGTGATAAGGGACGCAGACAGTTGGGGATAGGAATAACAGCTGGTATGTATTCAAAATTTGCATTAGCATTGCTATGAGGATAACAGCCCAGCGACGTTGACGTTGGTCAATCAGTCGCTGGGCCTCGAGGTCAATGTCTTCATCCATGTCGTACAGTAACGAAGGGAGTAGATCTATCAGATAATCACTAGTACTATTGCTTGACGTAACAGATGGCACAGTGTGAGTAAGCGAGGTGGCAGTGGGAACGTGTGATCCGGGTTCTTTATGACCAACTCAGTTCAATTTAAATTTGTAATTCGCTGTCCAGACACGACCTAAAGAGATGCATGATGAGCTGAGCACATAATGGTGAAATATGTGTGCCTTGAGTTGCTAGAATAGGACGAGAGTAGCGAAAGTCATGGATTGGAGTTTGGTGCAGTAGGTGATGGATACCAATGGCCATATGAAGGCATGGGGGCCAATGCAGCTGGAGGAGGCGGGAAGGGATTTGTGGTAGGTGGAGGGGTTGTCTTGGACGAGGAGGGAAGGATATAAGTCAGGTAAGGTCCTTGACCTGCGAAATCTTTCTTGACCATGTCTTCGAACTCCCTAAGCGTTACCGGATCCACATTGAGTTCCCACTCCAGATACTGATACATCTTGCGCTCCATCTGATTGATTTCTCGCAATTGGAACATACCCTGGGCTACAATACTCCAGGATTTGTTGGAGTAAGTGTTGTCACAGATGACCTTGGATGCGAGCATGAAAGCAGATACGAAAAGACGGTGACCCGAAGATCCCCAAGCAGTGGGGAAGCGTGCTTTGAGAAGCTGGAAAGGTCATGGATTAAAGTTTGTCAGTGTGGTGAGACGCATATGCGATGAAATGGGGGAGCCTTACTTGAGAGTTAGAAGAGGAAGGAGGGTACTCTGGACAAGTTTAAAAGAGATAGGTAATGTCAATGAACCGTTATTACTAATGTAACTGTAGTGAATGTACAGTACGAAGAAACATGTCAGTATCCACAGTATCCACAAGAAAATAATCTCCATCATGAGCAAAATCTGGAACGAGAAGAGCACCACGAATGATGGAATGAAGCGTAATAAGCTCAGATGAAGAAGCGGGCCGTGCGCGAAGTCGAGTTAGTCGCAGTTCTCGATCCATACGCCGACGTGGGCCAATTAAGGCATCCATAGGTAGAACGAGCGCGAGATCTAAGGTACAGCTGCCAACAGTGTGCTTAAACATGCATAATATCTTCACAAATATATTTTTGTCGCGGCCGTCCTTGTCCAGTGTGCGTATTAGAGCGCAGTCACGCCGTTCTTTGCCATGGAAGCTTGGGTTGCATCGCAGGTAGTCAGTAGCTAGCTTCCAGTCAGTGGTAAACTCATAATGCACTTTCAAGTATCGATATTCATGGATCTTTCGACATACAAATTCAGATTCGAGTAAAAGCGAGGAAAGTCAATTTACCTGGTCTTGTGTTGAAAGTTTCAACCACGTTGTTCCTTCCGGCAGTGGTATGTTGTGAGAGGGAAGGAAATGGTTGAGAAATGTTGCGAGTTTCTTCTGGAACTGGTGAAACGCACGAATGGACTTGTTTTCTTCCTCCACTTGCGAAAGGGTTGTTTGATTCTTGAGGGGTGAACCGATATGAAAATGTTCTTCAAATTTCTCATCATCCAAGTCCGTGTCCTCCAGTTCTTCCTGCGAAAGCATGAGTTTGTGTCGTTCCTCATCAAGGCACTCGATACGACTGCGAATAAATTCAGAGACGACACTCTTATGGTCGAGCTCAAGGATCTATGTTACACGAAATGAGTGGTATGGAGCGACTCATTGAGAGTTAGAATTAAAAAGCATGAACATACCTGATCAGCAATATCCTTACGATTGGTCTGCCGTAGATACCACCGTTTGATCGGTCCATGTTGCTTCTCATTTGGTCGAGTGCTGAAGTTCCGAGCGGCACCTTTCGCCATGATGTCATCGAATATATGCTTTCCAGAGTGAATCTTTGGAAAGTTCCAGTTCTTGATCGTGTCCGGATCAGTCTCCTCGACGATTTTGATGTAGTCCTGAGATATCAATGATAAGTGAATTGATACTAACGACAATTTGCAGAACTGCTATGACGTACCTCTAAGCGCTTCTGAAACTCTAACACCTCTGCCCTTCCCGCAGCAATCGTGCTTTCAGTCTGCACGTCAAGTGAAATATACATGTTGATATGTAGGTAGCTCGCTATACACTGTAGTAGTGCATAGCCAGCTTCATCCGCTGCGCGTGTGAGTATGTTCTGTGCGGCATACAAAACTTGCTATGAGAAGAGTAATTTGTTAACATGAGAACTGGTAGCCACGAAGTCATATCATACCCTGGAGATATCCCGAAGTTTGTTACCATCGCTGTAAGTAATATTAGTAACCCGATCAAAGTGATTAAGATTGCGCCATCGCGGGAAGGTATCGAACCTGCAAGCAATTAAATAGGGTTGCTAACATGTAGTCTGAACAATTACAACTCACTGATCATCCAGTTTCTTCTCGTTGCTGCGTCCAAGGGCTGCAATGCGTTGTTTGAGCTCGCCGAAGAGATGTTTCCACTGACCCATATGATATACATGCAAATGGTCCTGCGAAATTGTGTCATGAGGATCAGAATTTGGGACTTTCCAGAAGACGTTCTGTAAGACATGATTAATGGGGGACAATAATTGGTACATTTGATTGCAAGTGCTGACCTTAATAGGCCGTAGGCCCTGTTTTTCGAGTGCGCTTTCTCCAGCTACACGGTCCCTAGTCCATAGCTCCACCAAAGCTTTCGTGTCATCAGATGATCGAGTCGGATAAGTGGAAGTGTTATCGTAGAGCTTGTCTGAAGGGACGAGGCAGATAGGACAGGGACAGTGACAATTGGTTCCCTGTATCAGTGCCATCACGCACCTAAGATTAGATTAGAAAACCATCAGAAAAAAGTATGAAACGATGTTACTGCTCCTCATAATCAGCCGATAAGAGCAAGATGAATGCATACAACCATCTCATGACGCCGTCATAGCATGTATATGCATACCCTGCCTTGGCATAGATGATGATGGTTTCGAGCAGCTTGAAGAATGCCTTGTGCCATACGACACGTTTGAGATTGACATATGAGAGCTTTCCGTCTTCCTCAGAATCGTCAGGAACCTGCGCAAAAGAACTGTTTCGCGCGAAACTCAGAACTAACACTAATTTCACTTACTATTGGTAGCCAGCCAACCATTCGCCCACCGCCAAGTCCATCCATATTCCTGATATTGACAGGCAAGTTTCCGCATCGCACGAAGACAGGGTAGGCTTTGACTGTACCGGCAGAAGATAGATGAGTTTTGTCCGCATACAATATAAATGCGAATGGGACGCCATTTTCAGGTAAAGACGACTGTGAATTCAATATATAAAGGGTATCACTTAGTAGAATCACAAATGAACAATAATACAAAAAATATAGCATACTTGAACGTTCCACCAACGGTCTCCAGTCCAAGGTTCATGTACAAAGTGCTCGTAACGCATCCCATTGTGCTTGTACAATCGCTGTGCATCCCAAACAAAATGGGGTGCCAGTAGCGGGTCCTGTAGCAAGTCCAAGGCCCAGTCCCACAATGGCCGTGTGTATACGTTGTACTTGAGGTCCTCCCGCTTGTGCTCAACAGTAATGGTATGCTTCTCGAACTATCAAAGGAATGTCTAATACGACTGTAAAAAAAGAAAATCGTGTTCTTCTCTCACAGGTGACATTTGACTGGCAGCCCTGTCCCAGGCTTTTGAAACATCACCATGGGACTTGAACGTGAATTTCACTTGGCCGTCAGCAATTCTCCAGATGAGCCGCAACAGCTCGTCTGTTTGATTCTTGTTCAAGGCAGCCTGGTGTGCGAGTTCGGCGAACTCAAAGTCCGCACGACAAGCAAAAGGCTGCCAGGGTTCGTTGTCGACGATAGGCGGCAGCTGATGCTCCTTGCGTCCAAAAGTGGAGAACGACTCTACAGAAGTCGCACGGCCGCTGTGTGGGTGGTATTCCATCTTGAAAGTATCGAGATTAGGAGGAGCTGAAGGCATGATTGGGAGCGATGATAGGGTGGTACACGCGGGGATGCCCATGCTTGTATCTGATTCTGAACCTGTAATTAAGATTTCAGAAAGGGAACGCATCACGAGTCAAAATAATACATACGTTGACGTGCATCTGAATCTCTACTGATGCTCATTGCATCGGCAACATCTGAATTCCCTTCAAACAATGGACCTGCAGTGAAGTCGTCAGGCTGTTGATCTTGCTCAGGCAACGAGTTCTTTGTGCCATCCGGGACCATTCTCAAAGGGACCGACGGCGCTGCAGCAGCGACAACAGCAGAAGCCATTGTTTGCTCCTTACGATGCCGTCTTTTCTCTCGACGTGCTTCTAAAAATGATGCGAAAAGTATTATTAATTAGTACACTGATATCAACAAGACGATATGTCAATGAAGACAGAATTTAATCGACGCTTACCTTTCCTTTGCAGCTCCTCCTCTACTGCACGCGCTGCAAGTGCCGCGAAATCCTTGTCATCATCCTTCTTATCCCGTCTTCTCAGACACCCTTGTTCATGAGATTTGATCCCGCGCGCCGAGTATGACTTGTTACAGTACTGACAATCCACTTGGTTGTTGGATGATGTTGAAGGAATATATTTACGTCCCCAGTTCGTCGTGTTTCGGTTGGGGGCCATGCCACAAGAGTAGTACAAATTAAAGATATACAGCCTAAGAGACGCAGCTAAAGATTCAAACACGATGATGGGAGGAGTCGGATCAATGAGAAGCAACGACATCAACGAAAGATTATCATAATAATCTGACATAATGAATTGCGGTTGCAATTATCAATAATCACCCGGCACCATTAGAATTGCTTGTAAGTACTAAGAGTCTGCTTGCAAGTGAGTAAAATAAGTCACGCTCCCTGGGAATTTAGTTCCAATGTGGTCCAAATAGTGTCCCAATATGGAACACTTGCAAGGCACCCCTGGAAATTTCCGACACATTGTGCTGCTTATGTGAGGTGACAACTTACCCAATTAAGCGACTGGACTGAGTAAACAAACCCGCGGTGTGCCACCGCCGGTGCTCTGCTACTAGAGCACAATATACAAGGTAGAAAGCTTATGGAACCTGCCGGTGTGCACCGCCGGTGCTCGATAGGAATGCCTAAAGGCTTAATTAAGTGGTTCTTCGACAACCGTGAGGCCACTTTACTAACTAGGATATGTGGGAATAATAGGTGGGGGACTGCCTGATTCGGCCACTTTACTCCGTATTTACTTCTATTTACTTCTATTTATTCTAGGTAATTTCGTTGGGCGCTGGGCGGCGTCTTAATTTTGAGCACTCCTGATATTAATCTAACATCATGGTTGCGGAAATTGCGAGCCGGATAGCTGGAAATTCCACACCTCGTTGCAACCTCATTGCACATTTGATATCAGAGGGTTCATGCTGGGAGATCTGAGGAATCAGAATCGATCAGCTTGGTTCGAGGGACTTTCATCGATAAGATATAAACTTTCGACTCCAACCCTCCCGGCCAAGCTTCAACATTTACTGTGTCAAGTGATCACTGGCTCACGGCGGTCCATGGAGGGACAAGTTGAAGTGTGCGGTTCGGAAGTTGAGGATCGCGGAATATACATGTCATTACCACATGACGCTCAGTCATGTTACAATCTCATCTGGCGCATGAATAAAAACTTGGAACGAGAGGTCGAGAAAGTCGGTTCAAGTGGACGCCGGGGTTACGACAAGGACCTGCAGGGATGGAAGGCGGAAGCACACGATCTCGGCAACTGCAAACCTCGAAGGAGGAAACTAGCCTTTATCGGTAGGACAGGAGCTGGAAAAAGCACGGCTATCAATGCCATATTGGGAGCCCCAGTATTATCAACGCGAGCAGACGTGAGTGATGATTGTCACCTACTATTACTACGTTAAGCTTAAGCGCTCACTGATCGGAACTATAACTGAACTACATCTCGCAGGGGTCAGCTTATTCACTGATACTTCACCCTTATTTATTCTGACGCTTTCGGCACGTTGCGTGAGTAGCGCGTGTACATCTGTCCAGACTGAAATAATCTACGAAGATTTGCCCCCTTCAACTTGGAGAGCAAGCGTCAAGTTTATAGAAAAAGACGAGTGGAAAAAAGTAAGTTTTCATGACCTTCTCTTGCACCAGACATACGGGCTGATGTTCCATAGACTCTGCATAATCTTCTAGATGATATCAGGTAGGTGTTCACTAAAAAGCTTTGTTTCCGCATCACATCCATCACGTACAGCGCTGTTTGTGAAGGTGGTGGTTTGAATATTGGACGTGATGATCTCAGACCTGCGTTGGATGCGTGGAAGGCTTTAAAAGAGGAATGTATTAATTCTCTATTTCGATGCTACTACGTAGTCTATGCTGATGCCGCTGTTGGTACAGGTTTATCCTCAGTAAGGCATGGCTTCAAAATCTGAATTTTCATTGACTATTGCTTGCTGTAGTCTTCGTACACTATCATTCCCCCCGCCTCATCAGGACGTACATACACTCCTGGACCATGAAACTGTGGTGTCCATAGTTGGTACCGACATTCAGACGACGGGCACTGGCTTTGATCGTCTGGAGCTGCAGGAAAGTTGACAATGAACATTTCATACTCCATTGATATCTCTAAACCACGCACAGCTCCGGCCGTATCTGACTTCGTTGGAGGAACAGCTGGTACGTCACCTAAATCTTAAAACCGTGGATGACCCTGTGATCATTCAATGTCCTCCAGTCGGAGCCGTCCCTATGGCATCTGGTAGACAGGTAAACATCTCAGCGACACTGATCGTGTGGTGCCCTCATTTTCAATTTTAGTGTTCGTATTTACGGAGCGTTCGAAGTGCTCGCATCTGGTGCAGTCACACTTGTGGACGTTCCTGGTTTCGGGGATGCCAACAAAACAAGGTTTGTAACGCTGTAGATATTTATTTATTTGCACTGATAGCATCTTCGCAGAACTAAGCGTACTAAGGAGTACTTGAAAAATGTTGAAGTAGTAATACTAGGTTCGAAAAGCGAGATGAATAGTTTCATCTTAACACTAATATTTGTATCAGTGGCAGACATCAAGCGTGCAGCTGATGACCAGGTAAGACAGACGAATATACTGATATAATTTGACTTGTCAATTCCATCGCTAGGCCATGCACATCTACTTTGAGAAATTGTAAGTGCTCACAACTTCCAGGAACTGTATGCCCATGTGTCACAGCTTGCATCAAATGATCGCAATAGATGGCCGCGTAGAATCGCTGTTGATCTTGCTTACCGGAGCGGACGTATGTCGCCGTCGTTCCCTCCGTCCATGTACCTCACACATTTATACTAGATACGAATCAATGAGGATCAGTTGCATCATCTTGGTTCAAACCAACGCCAGATAATTCAGAACATGTGCCAGGTACATATGCTAGGTTAAGTCAACATCAACTTTACGGCACTTATGCATGCAGTAGGAGATTGACCGTCTCAGCGAAAGCCTGGATGAGCAAGAAAAACAATTAAACATGTTCTTTCTCGAGTTCTACATGGCTCCGAAAGATGGTCCTGAGTTTGTGGGACTGTCGGAGCGTCTATACTCGACCAGAGAAATGGTTTGACATTCATTTAGTTCGAGTACATGAATGGGTCTGACCTAATTTTCGATCCAGAAAGACCAGACAACCAGACAGCTTCAACTGGCAAAAGCTACCAAAGACACATACATTGCAGTGCGTATACCTATTCGGTGTCTTGATATTACTCATGAGCATTTGGTCAGCACCAACGATCTGCTCGGGCACGAAATGTCTTTCTGGAGCTCTATCGTCAAGTGTACTGTAGTATTAAGCAGGTATGTAGATCAACTTTCTGCGATGTAACACAGTCAATTCTTCTTTTATCAGGACTCTACCTGTCAACCTCCTTCGCTACCTATTTTCTGCATTGGAAGCATGGACTACACCCAACTTTTGGTGACGAATAAACGACACCGAGCTCCGGTGGTTTTTACTGATCTCGAAGATGTTTGTCTCACCTCTGGCTAATCGAAATATTATTGCTGATAATCTTCCGAGTCTAGACTGGTATTCCGCAGTTGTGTCGTTACATTCACGATTTTGGTTGCAAGAAAGCGATCTCAGATATCAATGCTCACGCGCACAGGTCCACTTTGCTGTGGGAATCAATTGAGAGCTACTTTCTTTCTTCACGGCGAGATTCGAGGCTCGCAGCCTATGAGGATGCAGCAAGAGGTCTGATGGAAACTCTCAAAGATGTAAGTCATGAGCTCATTTTATAGTACGAACTTACTAATTCAAGCAAAAGACTGTCGACGAGATATGCAAAACTTCAGGAGCCAAGATGGACAACAGCATAAATGAACTGGAACAATCTCTCCGAAACGAAGCCGAAAAGGTAGGCATCAGTCGCATCACACTGTCTGCAATGACTGGTTAGTGTTCACGGAATATTGACCATACGCTAGGTAGCTGAGCGCAGTCTCGACACCATTAAGGTGCTCGGAGAGCATCATCAATGGCGCAGCTACCGTACTCTCATGCGCCGAGAGGGTGAATGGCGATCGACAGATCTCAACGAGGACCTTACCCTTGGCATATTAGAGGGTAATGCATCAAGGTTTGTCGCTTAGTGACAGTGAAGCTGCTCATCTGAATTGTCGGGAAAGTGTGTGGCACAGGTTATTTAACGATTTTCTGAAAACAGAAATCTATTCACTTGTTGTGGTAAGCACCATGGCGCACCGCGCACGATTTACGACCTATTGACTTGATTGAAGGATATCTCGGATCGTTCCAATGAGACAATCAGAGCTATCAGTAAGTATTCTACTCCACGGATGAAGCAACCCAAATGTCAACCTCATTTCTGTGCAGAGAATCGAGCCCAACGAACAACAGTAATCGCACCACACATCGACAATGCATGTAACTTTATACACCCATTTGATATCGTCAATCATGCACGAGACCAGTACATGTCAGCCATTTTGACAATGCAACGGTAAGGTCTTCCGCTGTCGTCACGATCTGTTTACATATCGACCGTGTCATCGCAGGGACTTTTGTGGGTCCTTGAAGGGACTTATGCGCGCCGCACTGGAGGACCATTATCGTTTTGTTGGAAGGGAATCTGGTGTGGGAATGTTTCAACGGATGAAGGTGGGTAAAACCCCGACTCTTTGTAAAGATCCGAAATGTTGTCTTACAATAGGCCCAGGATCTAAATGAGGAACAATTCAGTCCAAAGAAGGCTCAAGAGTTATATACTAGGCTCATTGACCAAGTCATGACAGCTGTCCGAATGGCAAGGAATAAGGGGGAAACAGCACTCGACGAAGCACTCGCCCGTCTGTATGCAATCATTGAACGTTCTCTTGTCTGTAGGTTACGCCGCCTTCAATCTGAACAGGCATCAATTGATTTTGATGCCAGGTGTGCAGGGAGATGATCAAATATGCAAGACCACACGGAGGAATATGCAGAAATTTCTCGACGAAGAGTACAGCGCACCGCTGGCAGAGGTGACGATCATTACGGATAGGTACAAAGAGCACGGCGACACAGCGCTAAGATGGTGATAATAGTAACCATATATCAATATACACATATGTAGCAGTGAGGTTGGAATCGTACATTATGATATGGTTTGGATTCAGCGCCGAGATTCACCTTTGCAAATACCCAAGATCTTAGGTACGGGCGAATAGTTACCAGTACAGATATATCAAAGTATGGGCAGCAACATGAAAAAAGCGAAATGCAGAACAAGAAAGCAGCCAGAACTCTGATGGATGACGTGTACAACACGCGCAGAGGACTCTGGGAGCGTGAGCGCGGGTGAGAGGAATGGTATGAAGTGAATGATAAAAGCATGGACAGTGAGAAAGTTTGATGTTATGATAGGTTCGTCGATCTCTGGCGCATGCGCTCCCGCGAGCATGGGACGACATATAAAGAGAATGCAGGGAGCAATCCGACGGCAATTGTGTGAACGGCTGTGGAACTAGTCCCGAACATCTGCGAAAAATCCTCAGGTGATGATCGTAGCCGGTGCTTTGCATCGTGTTGCCGAAGCTGGGAATCGGCTGGCTGTAGATTGAACATCTCGATACAAAGATGGACTGCTTACCTATATCGAAAACAACTGAAGCAATGATTATCGGTAGTCCGGGAGCAAGCTACGGAACCCACCACGAAGGTTACTAATGTGACGGCGTTCCCACCAAATCCATCTTATGACGAAGTCAGCGATGACGGTCAGAGGTCTTAAAATGATTGTATGGCCAGTGATAGCCTTGCGCAGAACTAATCCTCGGCTTGTCAGTGAGCTGTACCCGTACTACTTACATGGCAACACTGGAGCCTGCGTCGATGCATTACTATGATTCATGCGAGTGAAGGGATTTGTCGAGCATACGATTTGTCCGACATAGAAGATTCTCGGTGATTGGCATTAGCCTGACCTATGTCACGGCGAACAGATATGAAAGAAGCAAACAAACAACGTCGTCAGACGAGGAGGAGTGGAAGCTTGGATCACTGTTCGTTAGCTCGTGCGCGAGTCTATCATTCATCTAGTGACGAACCATCATGCAAAATCCGCAAACGAGCCACTGACTGGACTGGATCAACTGTGGTTGCGATGAGAAGACTGTGCAGATCCAAATCCGTCGAAGAAGTCTAATCTCAGCGTTTGTTCAGCGTTATTACTTGTACAACCATGCCTACACATAAAGTATAATCTAATGCAGTCCAATCCTAAGGTTGTCTGTCGCAAATAAAATAAAAAAAGCGTCCTAAATAGTCGGTACAATCTTCCGAATATGCGCTGGAACGAGTGCAGCAGGTAAAGGCGCAATCTTGTCAAGTGGGGCGCGTTTTGCAAGTGCCAACAACGTCAACCTCAGCTTCTTGGCTACAGGGTCCTCCTCTGCCCCATCCATATCCATCGCATCGTCCTCAACCTTCACCCCATCATTTTGCTGTACCTTCCGGTCAAGCTCCTCTAGCGCTTGAACGGCACACTCCAATGCCTGCTCTAAGACTGCAGGACCCTCGGGAATTCCGAGGTCACCTAAACCAGCTTTCTCCAACTCATCCGGAGTTCGGATAAGCGCTGCCATATCCAACTGCTCGTGTTGTAATGCCTGTATCAGACGGAACACCGTTGGCCGGAATGTGAGGCTGGCTGCCATTTGTGCTTCCATCGCTGGTGACAGAGGCTCTTTCAAGACTGAGTGCAGATATGCCGCTGTGGTGCAAAGTAGCTCGTGCCGGCCACGAGTGACGACATCAACTAGATGTTGCTCCACGTATCGGGCCACGGACGTGCCAAGGGGGTGGGTATGTTCCGTCTGGTGCTGTGTCACGTAAGCGGTCGAACAACTTCGGGAAAGTAATGAAGGATGACTCACAGAAATCTCTTCTGGCGGGCGAACAAATTCGGCTATGCTTCTAACGTAGGCGAAGCCATTAACTCCACCGTATACCACGTCTCGTACGTAGTCCCATGCCTCCTCGGCTTTCTCATCCGTCCAGTACTCGCTGTCAACCCCGGCTTTCAAACTTCTTGTAATGGGGCGGTTCTCAATACTGGCTCGTATAGACGTAGCCAGTCTCTCTTCGGAACATGCCGACGCACCTAACTCTGCCCCCAACACCGCAAAAGAACCAAAATCAGATGGAAATGGATCGCGTTGGGACTCTGTTGACTGAGGCTCTTCATCTTCTTTCTCTTTTAGTTTTGCCCGTGTTGAAGCATTGCGGACAATCGTCCAATGCCTGCGTCGTGGTGTGGATTGCGAAGTTGAGGCCGCAAGAGTGGCTAGCGTTGGAGACGGACGTGTGGAAGGCACATTAACTGGCCCTGGAAAGAGGGGTTGCGCTGTATCATCTGTTCGAAGAGAAGGGTAAAGTGGATTAAGTTGAGGTTTAGATAGCGATTCAGGCACCAAGACGTTGAGGAGGGAAAACGGATCTTCCACTAATATATCGTTAGAAATGTGCAGCACGTATGAGTAGAAAGTTTCGCACTCTCTGTGTAGTCGAGACTACCGTCATGAAGATGGGGCAGGCCCTCCTTCTCAATTCTCAGGCGTTCTTTTTTAGTTCTATAACGCTTGCCTTGACACGAAGGTAACATTAGAAACTTTGACTCAAAATGCTGCTCCGAAAATAATACCTTTGATTTTCAGCGCAACCATCATTTTTGCCCAGTCAGAACCAGGGGGAAATGCCCCAACACCTTCCTTGGAGCCAGGAAGTCTCCCTTCTGCATCAATGCCCTCTGAGATACCCGCCGATGCACCCTTCTTGTAAGGTCCTCGAGGCCCACGCCTGATATAGTGTTGGGGAACAGAAGACGGGGCGGGCGACGCGGCAACTTGACTCCCTTCAATCTCTCTCGGAGTGGATGTCGTGATATGATCGTCGTCCTCATCAACATTCAAAGCAGCATCCTCATCCTGCTCCACATCAATGTTCCAATCCGTCTCGTATTCAATCACATGCGCAGATGCCTTGGCGATATGGTCGAGTCCCCATGCTTCAAGGCGTTCCGCTTCCGTGTGATAGATCGTTCCGGGAGGATTGAATATTTTGGCATTGTTGACAACTAGGCGGAAGTCTGTCTGAAGAAAGGGAAAAAATGTAGAGTTCAGCTCGTGTCGCGTGATGCCCCCTCTGCAAGTGTTCCATCCAACCATGCAGTCTAGCCACCTTGTTTCTTTAAAATTGTTTGTGTGAACACTGAATTATCTGAATCGCAAGACCGTATGGAAGGCGTGGAGACGACCCACTGCAGCAGGGTTGAGGTGGAGTATTACTCACAGTAAACTCTTCCAATGAACGGTACTTTCCCCTGGCGACCTTCGTAGACATCGTCCCAAGATCCATAGGATGTTTAATCAGTTCGGCGTATCCTTGAACTCGTGACGGATCCACAGGGGAAATAAAAAATGCATAATCATCCTTCCTGTAATGTCACACATCCATCAGTATGCGCATGTAACAAAACACCCCTCTCACAAACAGCGACTCACTTCTTCAACTGCCCAATCAGCTTCGCCAATACCTCCTTCAATGGCTTGAGCTTCATAGGCCTTGGCGCTTTCTTCATCTCTGCATCCTGCATGGAACTAAGGTTTTTCAGTTTTGACTTCTTTCCCATCTTTGCGGCCTTGATGGCTTTGAGCGAGGGCAAGACAAGCGTAATTCCAGATGGAACATGACCGTTCTGCCTAGTTCCGACAGCTGATTGTGACGTGGAGGCACCATCTTCATCTGCTGCAAAAGAGTCGAAATCGTCCATGCTCGAACAGTGGGTGTGTTGATTATGTAATGGTGCCCGAGATAAGCAGGGACGATGATCTAAATCTTAGCGCGGTTGGCGAGTATCGTCCATATGGCTTGTCATCGATACGTCGATGCATTTCTGGTTTCATACACGAGTCGACTCATTCGTGTTTCAGGGTGGGTTTCTATTTATGCCGTATCGTTTTTTACCGAATCGTCCGTGTCCATCGCCAGGTAACGACTTCTTCTTGCATGCAAATTCTACTTATTCCCGCACTAGTGAATTATTTCAAAGAGGTCGTTTATGGCTGGGGGATTCAAACGAACCTCCTGCTAAATTAGCGGAGGTTTGCGGTTTATATAGGTGGTATTACACCTCTGGGTCTAGGCGAGGTGACCGTCAAACACTGAATAATCCCACTTCATTATGCGGTTACCGCGGAACCTATGGGATCTTCGTCCGTGTCGATTTGGCTTTTCTCACCCCAGCTCCACAGCAGTACTGGCACGAGGCTGCGGATGCCGTGTGTTGTTCTGCTATAGGTGCGATGTGAATTTCAAAACCATAACGCTCGACCTCAATTAATATTTTACTATGACAGTTCATTTTATAATCAGCGCGGAAACCTATTGAAATGGCCGCGGAGTACCCCGAGCGAAACCTCAGGTCGTTACTTTCAAACGGAATATAATTAACGCGCCACCGCAATCGGTTTCAAATTCCAACGTTGTGGTGGAGGCGCTCCTCAGGGTTGATGATACTTAAATTTTCCACAGGTTGATCTTTGCATCGTGGCGCAGTAATTTTACGGGGAGATTGCCGTTGATTAACTATCAACATTGTCCCTGCATAAGCCTCATGCTTGACTATTTTTTGGGCGTCAGGCTGTATCTGGGTTCGAGTTGGATCCGTTCTCATCGTCTTCGGACTTGGCATCGTGACGCACGTTGCAACGCTTCACACCGGAGCGGTGAATTCGCGGCTATCGAGGTTTGGGTAACTACGTATGAGTGCGCAAAGGAACGAGATTACCTTGGTTAGGCATACGGCGGCGATTGTTTACATAGAAGGTGAGGCGATGAGCTGTGCATGACTCACATGTCATGATGAAGTGTATACGACTGCGTCACGACGAGTGAGACATATATGAGAAAGTAGATGAGGGTGCCGACGGGTGCCTTTGGAGGTGTAGACTATGTATTTTAATGTTATGAATGTCATGGTGATTAGTTGTATCGTGGCATCGCGGACTGGAGTGGATTAAAGTTAATCGCGTGGGGTATCGGACGATTACGGGATAGAATTCCCATGGACTAGAGTGAAATGAATACTTCTCGATATCATTTTCACAGCCACGGAGTTTAAATGAGGAATTAATGGACCTTTAATATGAGCCGAAATAGGATTGTTCCTGAAGAAAAAGCATGTAACTTTTTTTTATTGGTAAGAAAACGTTGCCGGGTGGAGGCGTTCGGGAATGACACGTAAGGAAATCGGGGATATATACATAAACTACCTTTACAATTGTCAAATTCTCAAGTTGACCGTAACCCGACCCATTCATTATCTCTCTCATTTCAGCTTCCAAGGTTGTCCATGTGTTCTTAATTTCACAACTAACCAACACCTTTTTTCATTCATTTATTTCGTTTTATTCAATGTCTACTCCGACGACGGCTAATATTCCATCAAACTGTCATACGCCCTCTCCGATTCCTTCACGACGCATTCAACACGAGCATCGACTTCCTCATCACGATACCAACAAACGTACACGAAGGAGCAACTCAGAAAATATGACTGTCGAACAACCTTCTTCCGCCTCTGACTCTTCATCACAAAGTGGTATGGCAGACAACGAAACAGAGCCAGAACAACAGTCAGAACTATCTTCTCAAACCGCTCCAGCTCCTAAGAAGAAACGCACACGCACTCTCACGACTCCGCACCAATCTGCTGTCTTACACGCACTCCTCGCACAGGTATATTTCTTCGCTCACAAACCAACCTTATCAAGGCGTCTAATCGTTTCCTTTAGTCTCGCTTCCCGACAACAACAATGCGTGAGGAGGTAGGCCGCCAAATTGGTCTCAGTGCTCGCAAAGTCCAAGTATGTAACATGCTCATGTGAATATCATACCTTGCTCACAAATCTTCATGACAGATCTGGTTCCAAGTCAGTTCTTCCAGCTTTTTTCCGTACTCTTTTGTTAAAACTCATATCGATTCGTGATAGAATCAGCGCCAGAAAGCCAGGCGTCCCCAGAGTGATTCTGCACCGTTATCTCGTCCAGCTCATTTTGGGCCCTTCCCAGGCGCTCCGCAATCAACTTCTTCCTCCCATACAGCTCTTGATGTTGGTATGGCGGAATCATTCCCCGACATCTCAGGAGCTTGTGCTCCGCGGAACCCCGTGCCTAGATCAGGTCCGCCACTTGATCCTGGGCTTTCAGGTCCTGGTATACCCGGACGGTGCACGTCACCCTACCCCACCTCTTCAGAAGAGTATCCCCGCATTGCAGCGAGTCCCGACTCCACCTCATCAATGCAAAACCGCAGCTCTCGCGGCCTTGAGGACTTTCCCAGCCTCACGCTACGCGAACCTGTTCCCCGCATCCTTGCGTCACGCTCATTTTTAATGCACGAGGGCGCACAGTCCCCTCCCTCCTCGCGAGTGCTCCCACCCATTCACTTTAGTGCCTTGGAATCACGCATCAGTACTGACCCTTACGTGTCACCAACGTCCTCACTACCTCCCTCTCACCCATCTTCTACCAGCATTATGCACCAACACGAGCCCACACGCCACACAGAGCGCACCTCCACAGTGACAGGCATCCCGCCTCCTTTCGCACTGCAACCCCAGCCACAGTGGGATCCGAATAGCTTTGCGCCATTCACCCGCCCGGAGTTCGCTTCATTTTCGAGTCCATCAAGGTCTGGGAGATTCCTCTCCTCTGAATCTCGTGATCGCTTTGCTCCCCACGTCTCCCCAGAATTGCACAACACAAGGGAATATCATCCATTCTCAGGCGAGCGCCAGCTCACCTCACCCTCGGTTCTGCGTCCGTTCAACACTTTCCGTGATATAATCGATCCCAGAGGGTACCCTGCACGCGAGTCCTCATCTAAAGACGCCAGCTCCAAGCGCTTAGACGATGACGAACCCCGCCGGAACCGTTGATAATCTCTTTCCCCACCTGTGCATAATGCTGACGCTGACGCTTTTGCGCTCATTTCGATTCACGATTGAAATATTCACGCATTCCATGAAGAAAAAAATGATGAGTTTCCCTAGCCAGCCCCGATATACCATGCTCGTTCCTTACCGCAACCACCGTACAAAAGTACAACTTTTAATCACTCGTTTTTTTCTCCGCGCTCTCGTTCGTTTGCGTTATTGTTGTCTGTTCGATCGTTGCCGCACACCCTTTTTATCCATATCATCTCTCCTGTCTTAATCGTCTATCCCTACGGAATTCCGTCATACTAATCTCAGTACAGCCTTTATAACCACTGTTCTTTTACCACTTATATGTCATTTTTTCGAGCGCTTCCCCATCTTCACAGAACTATCTCTATTACCACTATCTTCAGCATCTTGCCAAACAATACATTTAACTTTGGCATACCGAACTCCATAGTTCAACCAACGCTACCGATTTGATACCTTGCAGATGCCAGCTACCGATGCTCAATTTAAACCATTAATGCTAATTCATTACCCGGTGCGACTCTGAGAAAGTACTATAGATCTAGGCGTACGCGGTATAGTACTACTACTTCCAGGAAAAGTTAAACACGGCTGTGAACGGGAGAATTCCGTTACGCGCGACATCGTGCTGCGATCCATGCACCAAGATATCTTGTGAAAAAATATATGCAATCATATCAGGTCCAAGATCAATGGAACCATCCACTAGCTGGGTGAGGATGTACCCCACGGTCTTGCGACTAATGCCCCCGTCACCCTCTTCTCCCAATCTATGCAAAATAAATGAATTACAATTCAATCACAGTGCCATTGGAACTGCTTTTGATCGCCGCAAGACGGACGCGTAATAAGGCCCGGGTTCGCAGCCTCGTCTCCAGCGCAGAAGCTTCCTCACCCCCGGGAGGACGTCTCAACGGGGGATCTACAGTCAACGACGCAGAGTTTGAGATCGGGGTTGCAACATCCCTCTGAGCCAGCTGTTGCTCCCCTTCAAGTCTCTGCAACAACACTGCCCGCATATCTGTGGAAGTGCGTGCTGATGGTGCGGTTGTTCTGTTCCTATATTCATATGTCGCGACTTCCCGATTGCTACGCCGGATATGCTCCGCTACATCCAAAAGGATATCGACGCGATTAGAGTTGTGCGGCACTGAAATAGGGTTTAGATTTTGGGGTAGTCCCGATGAAGGGGCGGGATGCGCGTCGACGCTTCTAGGGTTGATGACGAGGCACGGCGATGTCTTGGTGCGCTGTTCTTCTTTACCTTTGTTTCTGTATTTATCTGTGCATCCGCCCGGCGTACCGCACGGACAAGCGATGGTTTCCTCTCCAGCTAACGTGTTCTCTTCATCGGTGCATTTAGCGATAGAATCGGAAAACAAGCTCCGGATCCTTTCGCGTTGATGCCCTGCCACCGACGTACGTTCTTCCCCGAGAGGCATTGATACATCCGAGCGCCGCTCGAGAGAAGGATGAGAAGACAACGAAGCAGGCGGCGCATTGGCAGGAAGGTTCGACAGCTCCGAAAGAAGGACAGGCGTACCATCACCACTACCGCTCTCATCACGGGCATCTTGGTGTCCTGATGGATGAGGTAAAAATTCGGGAGCGACATCGTTCTTCCGTGCGGTTACGCCTGCGAGATGCTTGTTTCTCGATGGTGTGGGTTGGGAGAGATGAGCCTGGACTGATGCTAGTAAAGTGCGGTTTCGAGGAGGACGACCGGGCGTGCTTGGGCGTTTACGCGACGTAGGAGCTACAGGCTCTAGATCGATGTCCATCTTATCAGCAGCATCTACTGGAACATGAGCCGGTGCGGGGAGGACAAGGGAGGGTCTAAGATCGAACTCTACAGGCGTATTGAACTTCCGATTCCCGGGGCTATATGATTCCGCTGTCTCTTTGGAATCGATGACAGCGTTCGGCACAAATTCTCCTGAAATGCGTGGTAGCGTGCTACACGGGGTATGTTCACTCTTGGCAAGAGGTGTGTTAAGACCTTCTGGTTCTTTTCCTTTTGCCTTTGCAGAAGTCGTCGGCTGCTCCTGAGTGTTGTCAAGGTGACTCTGTCGATCATTGGGGGTATCAGGTATATCTCTACGCTCGCTGACGCTGTGAGTTCGTCGATAGTTCCTGCGATCTTGGGAGAGATAGTCTGGAGAGCTTTCTTGAAGGTGGGTTGCAGGAGGAGTTCTTCTGTGCTCAGGATGTCGGGTTGGGGAAAGAGGTTGAGATGACGGAGATTGAGATCGGAACCGGTGATGACGGTGATGGGGCGACCGTGATCGAGAACGGGAATTATAACACCACCGATTCTCTCTTTCCTGCTCGTGGGGCGGAGGATCTGGGGAGGTATCATACTGCCTAAATTCAGCGCGGATCCCCGAGTTCGTTCAGAGAAAGGTCACACCTGCACCAGATTGTCATAAATCGATAGATCACGGCCACTCCGCATATAACAGTATATCTCTAGGACCAAGTTAGAAATACAGAACAGAGTTACATATGGATGAGAAGAAACTACTGACCATGTGCAAAATGTTCGGCGTTCGGGTGCCTCTGGCCCTCGATATAAGAAGTGTCTAGATCTAGGAACTCGGAGAGAAGTTTGACGGCAGATTCAGCTCGCATGTCTATTGATTTCATGAGAGAAATGATAAACGTCGTGAGGAACTAGAACATATGTCAGTGATGCGAGTGAGACGCAGAGTAGCACACAAACGACTACAATAACACGTACCTCAACATCAAGATTTTGCCAGACGCGTAGTTCACGACGGAGAAAGATGGTGGCTCGACTTATCATGTCTGGAGATGCTGCAAACTGGGCTGGACTGGGATAAGGACGATACCGGGTGAATGAGTTAGACGCGACATGCTGGGCGAGATGAGACGCGTGTGTAAATGCAAGAAGAAGCACATACCTTTGCATAAAGATGACTTTGGTACACCCAACGTCTTCTGGCGATTGCTCGTTCAAGTTCATCAGCGTCGTGACGATCCCTGCGGCCCCAGTAGCGATTCCTACGTGCCCGTCGGGCAACTCGTACACGAGATTCCCCCGTGGGTAATAACTGTGGTGACGAGGAGCGTGGTGGGGGCAAATAATGTTTTTGATAATCGAACTGCGAGCGTATATGATGTATAAGATATTCACCGATCAACTGGGAGCACAATGGACACTTTTGAGATTGCTCTAGAAAACATGGTCACCAATTGCTGGAGTAGAAACGGAGCGCTGGGCTAACCTGCCCAAATCGAAATGCATTCAAAGCAGAACTCATGGGAGCAAGTTGGAATAACAGATCGGTCGACCAAGGGTTGCAGACAAATGACGCAGTGATCATGACCTAGGTCTTCATCATTCAAAGTCAAAGGGTCATTTGACAGCGGCGGAGAGGTCGGAGACGACTCGAGTTTAATGCGCTTAGAGCTAGGCCTGGTAGGGCTGGCGCTCATTCCAGGGAAAGTACTAAGTAGTACGAGTTGAGTACGATTCTACGAGCAATTATCAGACATTCACCGAGCAGGAAAAGCCCCGGGAATGAGTTGCTATCCTTACATAATCACGTACACAGATTCACACTAACTTACAGTTACGACACTGGCTGCTCTCAGAGTACATTCATCAAGGTCGGATTCAAGACTTAATTCAACATGTTGAATTCGATCATGGGACATGCACTGGATGGCAATAGTGACCTATAGAGCCCACAAGAGCCCGTAATACCCTTTCCCAAACACAATTGTGAGTTCATCACTCGACCGTCAGTTGTCAATTTCATTCAATCCTTGATCTTCTGCGCACTGGGCCGTGTTCCCCTGTAATTGACAAAACTTGTCAGGACTCGTCCAAATCTCGTTCAGAAGAACGCAAGGACAAGATGGTTCATCACTGATCAGCCCTCTTAGCAGTGACTGGATTGCGAGTGTGTTTGGTTTACAACCATAATCCGCCAGATCCACTTATACCTTCGTCTAAAGTCCCGCTGGCGAGTTTAGGAAAAAGCATCCAGAAATACGCGAGATACGACTGAAAGTGCTCATCCCAGATCTAGCTGAAAGGATCGGCAAAGTTGAAAAGGAGCTCAAGGAGCTCAAGCAGGAGGTTGATGAAGTGAGTGCATATTACTATCATAGGATCTCGGTTCAAATATTGACAACTTTGCTGTAGAACCGTGAAAGAATCCTGAAACTCGAACGGCGGACCCTAGTTAACAATGACTTCCATTTTCTATCTGTAGAGCATTGATCGTCCATTGTGCTCCCAATTGATTGGTGAATAATGATGTCATACACCATATATGCTTGCAATTTGACAACCAACAACATCATTTGTGCTCCTCGTCACCACAGTTATTTTCAACGGAGGAATCTTGGGTACGAGTTGCCTGATGGGCACATAGCAGGAATCATCGCTGGGGCCGTCGGTTACTGACTTTCCTCATCTCCGAGTTGTCTCCGAGTCTAATACCATTCTACTTTTATTTTTGTATGCGCACTAGTCTTCTCCCGTTGACCTCCTTGCAATGCACCAGAAGCAGTGAGCACAGAACAAAATTAGTTACTTACCATAGAGGGAATTCATCTAGCCGTATGGCGCGATCAATATTCAACGTTCCATACTGCTAGTGCATTAAGGCTACGGGCTTTTAGCCTGCGTACATAAACCCGCTTATTATGTAGTATCCACCTCGGAGTTCCTGCATCTCCTTCCACCCACCGAATACGCTCTAATTTCGCTCGGAGCCACCGACAATGTGTCAGCCCTCACGTGATGTGTCAACTATAATGAATTGAGCCGAGCGGCACCACGCTTCCCCTCGGACCCACCCCAGATTTTGTGACAGGCTTGTTCCCAGACTGTCCACATCATTGATGTACAGCTAGACTTTCTGGCGAGGTTGACATCCCGGCACTTTCCGAACAACCACTTGGGCGCTACAGATTCAGATACTGCCATGCTTGACTCGAGCATCTCTTCAGAGCACTGAACGCACTGGTTGAACCTAATCTATCGATGGTCAGTCACATTTACCTTCTTCCTACTATCAGATCTGAGGTGAACTGCTAGGCAACTGAATCATCCCCACAAGTGCCAGATCATGTCACACCTCCCACACAGTCCAATACCAACACTTTGCCAGCTGAGACCGTCGAATTTGCACACCGAATATTTGAAGCTGCGCGGGGGGGAAATACAGAGCTCATTCTTCAAGCAGTTGACAAGGGCTTGCCGGTCAACCTTACAAATGAGAAAGGTGCGTCCGAGTCATCGGCGACATATGTCCCATCCCCATGAATGACGTACGACACGTTCATATAGGAAACACATTATTGATGCTCGCAGCATACGCAGGCCACGTGGAATTGACAAAAGGACTTCTGCAACGGAAAGCAGATCCAAACAGGCTCAACGATCTTGGTCAATCTATGATCGCGGGTGCTGTATTCAAGTCGCACGATGAGGTTGTGCGTGTGCTGGTCGAAGCGGGCGCAGATCCGAGAATAGGCAAACCCACCGCAATAGAGGCAGCTCATATATTTGGTCGGAAGGAGTTGATGGAAGTACTGGGTGCAAAGCAGGGTGACATCGGCATTGATGTGCCCACCCCTCTTAGTGCACGTCCCGAGAAGTGATCACGCTTAAGTCAATCTGAACGTTGCGATAGATAACCTCTGCTACCCATTCAGATCGATCGTGGCAAGTTCATAGATATTAGGCATCAAAATAAAACAACTCTTGTAAAGTAGACGAAACCATCCATTGCTAAATCGTGCCCATCTTGCAGCGTGCGCGCGAAGGATGACTTGGATAACAAAATAACGCGAATGTGGTACTAGTAACAGCTAGCCTGCGGCATAACTTCAAGTACCTGGGAATAGGCACCGTGACCGTCTCGTCGATGTTGTTATGAAACAAGAGAGGGTCTAAGACCGGGCTCTACAGGCGTATTGAACTTGCGATTTCCGGGGGTATATGATTCCACTGTTTCTTTGGATTCGATAACAGCGTTCGGCACAAATTCTCCTGAAATGCGTGGTGGAGTGCTACTGGAGGGATGTTCACTCTGTTATGACCTTCTGGTTCTTTTCCTTTTGCCTTTGTAAGCTTCGTCAGCTGCTCCCGAGTGTTGTCAAGGTGACTATGTCGGTCATTCGAGGTAAGTATCAGGTATATCTCGACGCTCGCCGACTGCGCTGTGAGTTCGTCGATGGTTCCCGCGATCTTGGGAGAGATAGTCTAGAGAGCTTTATTTGCGGGAGGAGTTCTTCTGTGCTCAGAACGCAGGGTTGGGGAAGGAGGTCGAGACGACGGAGATGAGAAAGACAGAACAGAGTTACATATCGACGAGAAGAAACTACTGACGATGTGCAAAATGTTCGGCGTTCGGGTACCTCTGGCCCTCGATATAAGGAGTGTCTAGGTCTAGGAACTCGGAGAGAAGTTTGACGGCAGATTCAGCTCGTATGTCTATTGATTTCACGAGAGAAATGATGAACATCGTTAGGGACTAGAACATATGTCAGAGTAGCACACAAGCGACTACAATACACGTACCTCAACATCAAGGTTTTCCAGACGCGCAGTTCGACACGACGGAGAAAGATGGTGGCTCGACTTATCGTGTCTGGAGATGCTGCAAACTGGACTGGGGTAGTAAGGACGATACCGGGCGAATGAGTAAGACGCGACATCATGATGCTGGGCGAGATGAGACGCGTGTGTAAATGCAAGAAGAAACACACCTTTGCATAAAGATGACTTTGGTACACCCAACGTCTTCTGGCGATTGCTCGTTCGAGTTCATCAGCGTCGTGACAATCCCTGCGGTCCCGATAGCGATTCCTACGTGCCCGTCAGGCAACTCGTACACGAGACTCCCCCGTTGCCAGTTGGCAATAACTGTGGTGACGAGGAGCGTGGTGGGGGCAAATAATAATCGAACTGTGAGCATATATGGTGTATAAGATATTCACAGATCAACTAGGAGCACAATGGACACTTTTGCGATTACATGCATACAGGAGGAAAATAGAAGTTGGAGACTTGGTGCGCTTGCACTGCTTCTGATGACAGTAGGTACTCATACATGAATATTATGACTAAGGAGGCACGCTGCCCGTTTGGTAAGTCCTGGCTTCGACAGCCGTGATGGTTACACTAAGTATAATCGCATGGATCACGAGTGCAACTATCGCGGCTGTCGAAGACCATAAGGTAACTATCTGTCGAAGACCAGGACTTACCAAACGTGCGATTTTGTTGCCCAGGCGGCGGAAGCTATCCACCGATGTGTTTAGAATAGTTCGTCAAAACAATTCTCAACAAATTGGGGAATAGTATCAGGCTATAATATTATAGTGAGACAAGACAAGCGGGATGAACGAGACAGTACATACCTCAGCGTTAGGATGGCTTCAGATGACAAAGTGTCACCCCTCCCTGACGCAGCCACCGCAATAGCTCATAGATTCGGTCGGAAGGGGTTGATGAGAGTGCTGGGTGCAAAGCAGGGTGACATCGGCACTGATGTGCCCACTATACGCGCTAGTAAGAAGCTAGTGCTCAGTAGTGTTAGGAAAAAATAAGTACTGAGGTGTCAACGAGAGACGCGACGATATATATGTACCTGCGGAGATGCTTAGGTAATGTAACACCGGAGGATCGACGAGCGGAAGTGCCATAAGGCGCAGAAGTCAAGAAGCAACGGACAGTATGGTACCGGTGGTGTGATCAAGATAACGAGATAAAGGAAAAAGGGAACGAAGAGTCTCACCCACACCTCTTAACGCACGTCCCGAGAACTGATCACGGTTAAGCCAGTTTGAACGTTGCGATAGATAACCTGTGCTACCCATTCAAGTTCATAGATATTAGGCATCAAAATAAAATAACTCCTGCAAAGTAGACCAAACCATCCATTGCTAAATCGTGCCCATCTCCTTCCCGAGAATCTGCAACGCCTTCCTCGCAAGTGTTCTTGCATCTATCTCCATTGCATCCCCACCCTTCTCCAGAGCACCGATATGATGCCGTAGAACATTGCCTCTTCTCTCCTGGTTGGTCTCGGGTGGCGAGGAATTCATAATCACCCATGTCGATGGCGTCTTTCGAGGGATAGAAGCGATTTCACACAACACCGAATAGAAATAGAAGATATGAGCGACTGGCGACCGTTTCACCACATCTGCAATGAGTGCAGACGGTGAAAGACTGGCATCAACAGCTGAGCAGACGTTCAGCGCAAATCAAATTATAGAGAAGAGGAACAAGTACCGGGTTGAGAATCACTAAACTTCGATGGCGACTCTGACAGTGCGGCCCACAGGGTTCCTGACCAAAGCTGTAAATCCAGGACCTTGCGAAGTACATACAACAGTTCGTCTTCACGAGCCCTGTCAAAGTTGGTTCAGCGACAGAAAATAATGCGACATGATCACAATTTACCTCGGGAAAGGCATATTTCCGCGAAGAGCCTCATCAGCGACATAGCTCACCATAGTGGTTTTGCATCGATCAAGTAAGGTCGGTAGACAAAGTGCAGCAACTCGTTTCCTTGAAGACTCTTGATCTAGTAGAACAGTTAGCTCTGGAAATGCGCGCAGAGTGATTGGTTTACCGCTTGTAACATTAGAGCATATCAAGAACAGAAGATCAAAACACCAAAACGAAAATCGCTCCCTCGAAACTAGGACCCCGGGGGCAGTTGTTCCGATGTCGAGGTCCACTTTTTCAAAGTCGTGCGAGTCCCGAGAGTCGTCTGACACATTCGCAGTATCTGTTGAGGGCGAATCAGGGCGTGAGGGATCCATGCTTGACTTGTACAACTGGCTGCCCTTGTGCAAGATCTTGGCAAACTGTGCAATGAGGTGATCAGGGACTCTTGTGTCTCCCAAATGTGGCACGAGATCAATCTCCAATGAGCTGATGAGAGACAGGTCGAAGTTTTCCTCCGCTTCCTGATCTTCGAGTGAGAAACTCTCTGTCGCAGTGCTGCAAGCAAGTTAGTCGTGGGGTGCAAGAGAATGACAGAACGACAACGAGAGAAGGATAAAATGCGCACCAGTCAGCCAAGATGCCACCCCGAAAGACTTCAATAATCTGTCGCCATATGCCCTCAATTCGTGTATCGGATATACCTGTATTTCATGATTAGATGAAGTCAACCAGATCGTTGACTACGTACGATCGCCGAATGTTGCCATCCTTCTGACCGAGTCAGTGACTATACGGAGGAAACTTGTTGTAGCAGTCTTCCACAGAGGAGGATCTTTGCCAAACTTTGATGGAGCAGGACACTCGTACTTTAGCTTTATCGGTATTGAATAGGCCTGAGCACGAAACCAAATGAGCATTCGAAAATCAAGGAAATCATCAATGACACATACCGAGAAGATAGCTTCCAAAGTCCCATCTTCATAGATCTCGAGCTCATCCTTGAAGCGCATGTATAAGTCAACGATAAGCGGCATGACCTTCTTGGACAACGCAATGTACGTGACTTGTTTTTGAGACGATGCCGCAATAGGCGTTGCCGGGGAGACGGGAGACAAGATGGGCACATGAAAAGCAGCCAGAAACGGAAGTGTGCTGAATTCCGAGAGATCTCGTAAGATGAGAGATGGAATACCAGATCCCGTTAAGTTAATATCCGCGATGGCGTCCAAGACCACTACCTGTCATGTTAATGAGACGATGGTGTTCAGTGAATACTGAACATTCACCTACCTGAACGGGTGACAAACCATCAACATCTGGGCGGTAGTCCGTCGAGTCAGGATAAGTAAGAACACCTGTGCATGGTTCAGGGAAAGGGACGACAACAGAAATAGGGAGACATGCCCTTGAGGATTTCCATCAGACGATTGAGGCGCTGAAGCGGCCATTCCTTCTTCGTCTGGGTCAGACTAATGGAACGTGTGCTCCGTATGACGTCGACAAGAGCAACCAAACTCTCCTGAGTAAATGCCCGGTGGTGCTGTGTCGTATTCGTACTCGGAGAGAGCTGGGATCTCTCACCCTGGAGAACCATGCTCCCTATGTCACTGCACGTTATCCATACGCATTCCCAAGCTTCCGACACTTTGGCTTGCAGAGAGGCGTCTGCGCCAGAAAGCGCTTTCACCACTTTCCCCAAACAAAGTAATGCAGGCGGACTCAAGTTTCGACGGTCCAAGGATACGGTATCGTGAATGTGGGTAACAAACACGGACCATGCTTTTGAGAAGGATTCCAGATGCATGATCTTGACGACTAGGAAATCGCTGATAATAGATCCAATAGACTGCAATGCGAGACTCTTCGATTCGTCCCATGCATGTTCGGGAGACTGCGCCGCCAGACCAGAGTTCAGCAGGGCTCCGGGCTCAAAGGCACTGCGTCGGGTTTCGATAGATATTGTGTCGAGTAGCGGGAATGTGATCTTCCATATGCAGTCATTCCACGTATCCAAAGTAAGCGTGGCGCCGTAAAGTTGCATTGCACGGAAAAGGGTCTGAATGGCGCCTACACGAACATCGTGCCTGGTGTCAGTACAGAGACCTAGAACTTCCAGCAGCAGACACATCCACAGAGCGCTATATTCCGGTTCCATCTCTGCATCCTTCCGCTTTGCCTGGATCGAATCCGACACACTCCAGAGAAGGCTTTCTGCGGCAGTAAGCGCAATGTTCGTGTCGGCTTGTCGACCGAATTGTCCAAGGGTTTTGATGCAAAGCCGCAAGTCTTCGGGGGATAATACAGACACGGAGTCACAGACAAGTTTGAGGGACTGGAAGGCGATCTTCACCAGTGCTGTGTAACCGCGGTCGCTAACATACCCCAGAGGCAGTGGCTTTAGACGGGGCGTCTCTTGAAGCGATAGCGTGCTGATGGAATCAACCGACTGAGATCTGGAGAGAGCTGCGGGTTTACAGATGCTCCCTAGCATCTCAAAAATACTGCCCCACCCGACGATAAAAGTGTGTCCGGACGCTTGTAGAATTTGGTGCAGGGTCTCTAATCCCATTCGCCGGAGCTCAATATTCGTGCTCGTCGCTGGGACGTCGGATGATGCGGGTACTATCTGTTTAGATAGAACGTCGAGAACGCGACGCTGAACTTTAGCCTGCAGGTCTCCAGTGGATGACAAGTTACGGGGGACCACGGTAAGAATTTCGTCGAGGACGCGTGCCGCCTGCACTCGTATTGACTGCGGTGCTGAGGAGAGACCCATGACCCACAGAAGATGATTTGTAGTAGTGTTCCATGCGACCTCAGGTGCACGATAGATGAGGCGATGGAAGTTCAGCATCGCTACTGAACCCAGCCGCTCGACACCGAAATCACCCTGACGCTGAGAAGATGTTGAATTGTGACGCACAAGGATCAACTCTGACTTACCAGAGTGCGCGGCAGATGAATTCCGCTGACCCGCCTTCTATGAGGAGAAACCGGTACAGGACTCAAGGAATCCTCCGACTCAGTCAGCGTGCTCCCATCAGATTGCATCCCAACCATCTCTGAGCTAAGTTTGCAGAGCGCGGTGACAAAGTCCTGAAAAGCTGAATCCTCCAGGTTTTTGGACGCATCGAAGAGGCGCTGCACAGCAGCAAGCACGCTCTCTGAATCGATATCCATGAGGAGGGGATGACGAGCCACTTTCCCCTGTTCAGCGGAGCTCATCGCTGACACTGATCGACTGGGTGTCATGGGTGTGCTCATCCGCCGGTTGGTAGATGCTTGCGACGCTTTGACGTTCAAGACGTAGTCCGCGTTCTGTAAAGCTTCCAGAATACCATACCAGCTCTCTCCCAGGCTGCCAGCAAGGAAAAGGGCACTGGATACCAAGACTTTGAGACATGCTAGATTTCGCTCGGAAAGTCCCGGAGCCTGGATAGGTGCTGTCAACCCCAAGTTATCTGTGAAGGAAGTTGACGTTCGTGGTGTCGGAGGTTCAACGTAGGATTCCAAGCTGGACACTACTCGCGAAGGTATTGCAAATTTGGAAAGTGAGTTGAACAATGCATCGCGAGGAGTACTCAGGGCGAGCATCCCAGCAACGTTCGTCAAAGCTTGATAGCTGCTAAGAACGTCTATGAAGAGCTCGTCTGACAGATTTGTCGAGATAATAAATGAGAGGGCTGCGAGAAGTGCAGGCCAGCCGTTCTCAACCATAGAACGCACGATGATGAGGTGCTCAGTTGCATGATCGTCCTGCGGGAGTGTGGAGAGGTCAAGAGCAGCGGGTGCGCGAATGACAGGCTCGCCAGCCGCTCGAGGACGTTGAACCATGATAGACGTGTACAGTGGTCCAGTGAATGACGCAAAGCCTTCGCATAGGGAGACAATACACTGCACAGCGAGAAGGTAAATGTATGCTTCGGGGATTGGTGGCGAGTCCGCTTTATCTAATTGATCGATGCTGGTCAGGAAAGATGGTTCAGGGCAGTCCGTGAGATGTGAAATGAGGACTGTACCATTGGAGCTTCATGGCCGAGTTCTGCACGCTTAGACCAATGCCAGACCCAATTATCCCGACTACTCCTGACACGGTAGCACTTGCAGCCGTGGCGACCATTCCAGCAACCCCACCCACATCCAGACCATAATTGGATCCCGATGGTGCAGCACTATCACCCGTATGAGAAATTCCGACCCCCATCATCTGCGCGCTCACTCCGAGTAGAGCGGGTTTCTCAGTAACAAGGCGTTTCAACGCGACTATCATAGAGCTGAAGACCTTGGAGCCTGGCTGTTGCGCATCGTAGCGATCCCATATATTTCGGACAAGCTCAGCATCGCTGCATACTCTGAAAAGAAACTTGAGTGCAAACTTTGGGGGGTCAAGCTTAAGACATACCCTCTCATTATCTCCATCGCAAGGACCCTGGTCCATATTGGTCGTGAGCCAGAATGGTCCGAATTCGACGTGTCGGAATCTTCTGAGATCATTCTTATGAGAAGCATCAGGAATACTTCAGCTTCCGTCTCTAGCTCGAATGAGAACTGCTTCAAGATCAAGAACACAACTCGTGTGCATCTCAGTGTCAACGGAAAGACATGTCTGTCGGAGAGAGATTTCAGAATGAGTGGACAGAGATGGTGTTGCAGCAACATCAAAAGCTCCGCGTGCTACGAAGAGCATTAGTATGAATTAGCTAAACGGGACTGACAAACTTGCCTTCCTGAACAGCTCGTGGTAGTTCGTCAGTACACTCTCAATTAACTCCAAGGCGAAGGTCTTATGTAGGTAGTCGAGCTTCAAGAAATTGGGTCTCTCTGAATTTGCGAGGAGACAAAGATCTTCGAAGACAGAGAATGCATCCTTGGCACAGGGCCCTAACGCTTTGGTGCTACCGTCCGGAAGCGTCGCCTCAGACAGCTCCAGAGTGTCGTCGTTCTCTTGACGATCCTCGTTGACCATTTTTTCAAAGATAAACATGACCAGTTGGCGTAGGGTGGCTGCTGCTGTTGAAGAGACTACCGCGATCCTAGAATCCTGCAGCTTAAAACAAAGAAGCAATGCCTTTGACAGGTAATCAGATAGGTACCAGGTAGTATAGACAAAATGTACCTCTCCCAGGAGCTCTTCGTGTATGGAAGAAAAATTAGTGATCAAAGAGACTAAGGTTTGCAGGATCCGAAGTTGAATGTCCACGCCTTGGCTCATGGCATCATTCATCGTGCTTACGATGAGTGGAACAACAGACTGTGGTACAGCCTTGAGGGCTATCAAGCGCTGCAGCGACCCCAACGAGATGGCGACGACTTTCGCGTTTTTGGTCGCACACCCCATGAAGACTGGACGGAGAAGATCATCTGACTGTGCGCTGTCTGTGGGTGAACGATGAAGAAAGGGACGCGTGTTTGAATGGAATCACGTACCAGACGCCAAAGATGCTGTCGCTTGCTCCGGAGAGGACCTAAGTATCGCAAGCGACTTCTCTGCTGCCTTTGCGTGGACATAGTGAGACGCCAGTACATGGGATGAGCATTTTCCGTCATACCTCGCGTATTTCTGGATGCTTTCTCCTGGACTCGCTAGCAAGGGACTTTAGACGAAGGTATAAGTGGACCTGGCGGATTATCGTTGTGAACACAAACACACTTGCAATTCAGTCACTAGGAAGGCTAATGAACTCATATCGTCCTTGCGTTATTCTGAACGAGATTTAGACGAGTCCCGACAAACTCCAACAGTTTTTGTCAATCACAGGGAAACACAGCCCAGTGCGCAGAAGATCAAGGATTGAAAGAAAATGTCAATTGAAGGTCGAATAATGAATTACAATTGTGTTTGGGAAAGTATGTTATGGACGCTTGTTGACTGTATAGGTCACTGTCCACGTCTTGTGTCCTGTTGTTTACTCGAAGCATACTTGAGTGCCTTTAGCATCGGATGTACTCGTACGTTCAAACGTTCAAGTCTTGAGTCTTTTATGAATCAAACATTGACCATCACCGTAGTAGCACAAAATTCAATTCGATCGGACAACAGCTTTATATTGCTAATATCGGTAAAGGTAGATCATCATGATTTCCATCACGCCTTGCTTTACCGCAGCCCCATGTAGTTCTCAAACAGAGCCTCAGTCGGTCAAGCTCACTGTGGCCTCCTGCCTCCACTGTTTTCTGACCTCCAGACGGCCGTTGAAGATGGTCCAGTGATCATCCTCAATGCTAGTCAGCACAGCTGCGACGTCTTGATCATCCATGGAGTGGAAGATCATGTTCATGTTTCACTTGATATCACACAAGTCGAAGTGTCCGAAATCTCCTCCGAGTTCCAATCACTCGCAGAGCAGTTTGGGTCTTCTGATCATCAACTCAAGCTTGTCGGCATCCTTCGCAAACTTTGGAATGATATTGTTGACCCCGTGGTCCAAGCTCTCAAGGACTTAAACGCTCGCCCTGGTTCGCGTATCTGGTGGTGTCCCACTGCTGAATTCACGCTGCTTCCCCTCCATGCAGCAGGACCCTATGGGAAGAAGAGAGACAATTTGTCTGACATTGACATATTCTCTTATACCCCCACTTTGGCGACTCTCGTTCGTGCGAGACAGCAGGTTTCTCGAGATGCGTCCTCACAACATTTTGTTGCTATCGGTCAAGGCAACCCGGTAAAAGGGAAGGAGCTCAAATGTGTCGCTTTCGAGCTAGCCGCCGTCGCTCAGCACGTTGCCCCCATCGTCTCCTTCACACCCCTCGAGGATGGCAACGCAACAGTCGATGGCGCACTCGACGCACTTAATCATAATCAATGGCTCCATCTCGCCTGCCACGGAATGCCGAATCGGACACAGCCGTTCAAGTTCTCCTTCGCTATGCGCGACCGCCCATTCATGATCAAGGACATCATCCGGATCAACTGGCAGAACCCACAGTTTGCTTTTTTATCGGCCTACCACACTACCGTGGGCGATGAGAAGAGTCCCGATGAGTCGACTCGCTACAGCTATGCAATTCTGTGGATTTCGTAGGTGATTGGTTCCACGTGGTCTGTTGACGACGAGGTTGCACGCCAGGTCGTGTCTGCTTTTTACCGTAACCTCATTGATGATTCGAAAAAATTGGACTGCACACGCGCTGCGGTAGCACTGCACACGTCCGTGAAATCGTTGCGCAAGCAGGTCCCATTAGAACAGCAGATCGTATTTGTCCGTATAGGTGTGTAGTTAGAAGATTCGCTATATTATTACATGTGTTGTATTTCAAGTTTTCATTGCCTCGCTCTACTGTTGCTTACTCGTTTAATGACATTTCTGCATAATACTTTATTATTCTGTTCTGTACTAGTGCCACACACCCCGTCAGATTGAATGAATCTGCTTCACTCCTGCGTCGTCACAGCTCAATTTATTGAGCGCAGCCGTAGCATTTGATTTCAGTGAGTTACCCGTGAACTATCCTTGCTACCCCCGTGGCGTACGTATTTGTTCGTTTCTTCGGTTCTGATCGTAGATTGCTCCTACGGCTGCCACAGCAATGGTTGAGTTGCTCCACAGAGGTAAGGTCGCGTACTGAGTGCTGCAGACAGTACTGAAAGTCCTCGATAACTCGCCCTGGCACGGTTGCAGATGCCGTTTGGTCACTTCGTTCGAAACGTGCAACGGGCCGCACGGGTAGGTACATAATACAATTTTCATCAGTAAATAGAACACGAATGCCGGGAAAAAAATAGAGGTAATAGTGGTCATCAATAGGTATGAGAAGCCATGCTCCACTCGTTTCAACAACTTGGGTCGTTGATGAACCACTGCCCATAGACACCCCAGATCTAGAGCTATGTCAGATAAAATTTAGGAGGGATGGCTCAATTGCACGTACGCTATTGAAGCACGAGTCCGCACCAGAGAATTCTTGGTCTAAGAAACGAGCAGGCGTTGTCGCACAGAATTCCTTATAGTCTGCGTTGGCCGGTACGTTCATGAGATGTTGTTCAATGTGCTACAATGAAGATCAAATCAAGTCCCAGTGAACAGTGCATCTGCCTCTCACTCTCTTCCGCGAGCCTTTAGCGATACATCCCTGTGAGGTAGAGTGGTGAGTTTAGGTGCAAAGTAAAACTTTTATCTTACCCAATCCCTATATCCGCTCCAGTATGTGACGCAGTCTGGTTCGTTATATTTGACGGCGAAATGACCAATTACCGTACCTGAACGCTACACCAAGTCAAATACTGTTATCAGGACTAACGAAAAACGTCAACTAACATATTCACATCTGGAGGGAAAGTGAGGCTGGCCATGGACAACCACTGGAGTACTCATGCAGATATTCGTCCACTGGCGGCTCCAAGGTGAGACATTCATTTCTGCTACGTACTCCCTTGTTGCATAACTGGTGCAGGAATGAGATTCAAGATTGGTCCAGGCAATCTTATCGGGGGGCATAGACGGGAGGAAATAAAACACCCCCAAAATGAATATAGCTCCGATAGTTATGAAGAAGCAACATGCTAAGTCATGGTTTTGTCGATGTCTTTCTCTCGAAAGGAGAGGATCGGTTTCATTGGACCTAAAGATAAGTATCAACAACTGCCTATGCTTTTGTGCTATAGACATCGTGCCTGGAATGAATTCTAATCACCTCCATCAATACCAATTGTCGAAAGAGATGTGTGAAGAATGAAGGCTTACACGATCCGGGGAACGGGGCGCTTTGGTACCGCGATCGAGGGCTGGCGTCCATAACCATGTCCGTGATGCCCATAGTTCTGCGAATTACCGTTATGTGTATGTCCTTGTGTAGTAGAGTGAGAATGGCCAGGACGAAATGCTTGTGGCGTGGTTGAAGCATGTTGCTGGTATGGAGGAGGAGGACTAATAAACGACTCCATTAGACCTGATAATTGCAGCAGAAGCCTTGGAATCTTACCTGTTGTAATACGACATCTTATCTCTCAGTGTCTTGCAAGGTGGATTAGCACGAAACCAGAGTGCGCTAAGTTAGACGCGTGACTGGCACGCCGCACGGCCCCCAAGTTCATCACTGAAATTCACTTAGCTCGATATGACAATATTTAAATTATAATTTTAACCAATTCTGTTTGGTCATGGTAACGTAGTATAATGGAATATAACAGTATATCAAGCACGTGTAATATTATCACCCCTTGATAATTTTTGCCTTGATGCGACACTTGATATGCCATTCTAAAGGTGTATCAGATGATACACAGACGCTTAGATTTCTACCATTCTTACTCTAAATGGTTTCACGGTATCATTTCCTGCTCATCGGATAGTTTCATTAGAATGCAATATCAGGTAAGCATAAAACTGCACAAAGTTTATATCTTACTAGCGACGATGATCATGATTGTAGTGTCCGCACACAAACTATCGCGAGATATTTCCGTTATATGATCGATACAGATATGTTCTAGAATGTAGTGCCATCTGCCTAAGTCCATCATGGGGGTTAGGAGATATAATGTCATACAATGACTTACAGGTGGTCGTAGCCGAATGCAATCATTTCCATCACCATGACTGAGTACCGAGTTTGTTTGTTGGCAGTCAACTGAAATCTGTGTCATGGAATGCTGCCGCAGGAGAGATTGGTCGATTTCCGACTGAGATTAATAGTTAGTCTAGTATAAACAAAAATATTCATTACTTCCTCAATCACATTATAGTACTAGTGGCCGCACCCAAAGGTCGGGTGCCTATGTACTAGCAAATAAACAGAGAGTACGAGGAAGTATAATCACCATCAAAATTTGAATGCAGGTCCTTCATCCTCAGAGTCCGAGTGGCTGCTATAATCATCCAAGTCATCTACATCACTGTCGCAATCTTCGGGAATCACTTCATCTTCATCCTCGTCTGCGGAGTCGTCCTGGTTGACATCGTCATGTTCATCATCCAGGTCTCCATCACATTCATCTTCGTGCCAATCTCCGAAGTCAACGTTAGCGTTGTCGAGCCCCTCCATGTCAGCTTCAAGGTCATCATCATCCGAGACTTCTCCGCAACTAACACCAGTACTTCTGCTCCCTACTGCACGATCGGGCTGGATGATGTTCGATGAGTCGTATTGAACTTCATGACCGACGCCTATGCCTGCGAAACGACAAAACATGTCTCTGTCGGCGAAACTACACGGAGTTATGGTGAGGATATGAGTATGTAGCAAAACAAATCTCACATATTAACATAAAATGAAGCCCAGTCGTCGAACTCTCCAGGTAGTCTTGCCACAGAGGGACCATGTCTGAGAAGCTCATCCGTGCGATGGTCAGCGAAAGCAGGGATAAGGTGGCATGCCCTGATCACTAGCGATGGGTCAATAAACCCGAAGGCACCGGGTGAGTCAGGAATGAATCCAATTTTTGGGAGGCGGCCTTCTCGGAAGCCCCAACGGTACTGTGGTACGACACCTAACCATCGCACCCACAAGATCTCCACGGACTGAGGTGAGCGGTTACGAGCGTTCGGGCCAACATGAAGAACATTGATACAAAACGCGCCCAATACCCGTGCATACCAAAAAGGGTGAGCGCCCACACTGCTTTCTCTCGACAACATCATCACCGTAGAGCCATGTCCAGTTCTGAGCGTGTCTTGATCCCTACGGACATCGTACATTGTATAGTTAATTTGTAAGTGTTTAGGTTGGAAAACAGTGTTCAGATTGTTGATAAAGTGCACGTCATTTCGCTCGGCGTCCGTGAAGTCTCGTTCATCACCATCATATTCTAAACCCAGCAACCGGGAAAGGATGTGGTCTTTCATTTTCGGAATGAAGTCCTGTCAGGTAGTATTATTGAATGTGTCAGAACAGTCGTGCAAGAAAATATTTACCACAACAGCTGGGTCGCCTCGATGCTGCTCAAGATACGAAGCTAAATTGATGACAACGCCTGGATAACTTGATAAACAATGGTGAGCTTCCAGCGGTAGTGAGTTTCCAGCAGGTTGGTTGTTGCTGGTGTTGCCAGATTCTTGCATACGTCTGACACGAGTGCGTCTCCTTTCTTGCTTAGCTAGTTGCTTCGAAGGATCTTGTTTATTCGTACTCCGGTAGAACATTTTTAGGAGTTTGTGTGCGACCTCGCCCTAGAAATTCAAAAAATCAAGTTGTTTACTTGCCACTCCACAAAGAACGCACACATACTATTTGAGTAGTGTACGAGTCCATGGTTCCAAACATTTTGATAGAGCTTACATAATCACCAAGCGCGTGTAACTTGTAAGTTCGAATATTGAAGGCCTTTGGACGCGCCCCAGATGACCCTGTTCCTGCAGACGTCGAGTTGAGATTAGCACTCTTCCTCTGACGGGAAGCTATTTCCTCTGGGAGCTCCACAGTGTGAAACACCGAGCACGTGGAGTCCCGAAATTTTCGAAGCGACTGTCCTAGATGTCTAAGAGCTTGACTGAGTAGGTCAAGAGAATCGTCTGTATGCATTCGAAGCTTCGCAATGGCGTGCCATTCAGCCAGACGAAAGAGGAGTATACGGACAACTTCATCATGCGAGTCTGGGAATAGACCCTCAAATGCCGGAATCGCACACTGGACAATAATCAGATTATGATAATTCAAGAACAGTAGAGATCGAACTCACCTGTAAGACATCCTCGAAATGTTGCGCAGCTCTTTGCTTCATATCGGACACATTTGAAGGGAAACGTCGGATAGCACCTTTTCCAAATGACGGAATTAAGCGAAAGCTTAATATTGAGGGATTGTCAACGTCAAGTGAGGCTGCTATGCTAATGGAATGTACCGTTCATTCAGCAAAGCTATTGATTCGTGATTGATGGCATAAAGTAGCCTTATAAGATGCTTGAGGACGGATTTGAACACTCCGAGCTCAAATTCATGCAATAGATCGACGACGAGTATAGGAAAGAAGTCAAGGCCTAGAGGCCCAAGTCGCTCAGTGAAGGTATTCTAAGTGAAACGTACACTCAAATAATCCAAAAGGTCCTATAGATAAGTGCACTCACTAATGTTGGTACCAGTGAGAACGACTTCAGAAGACGCTCGGCCGCAGCACCTTTGATTGGAGCACCTAGCTTGTATATAGCTTCACGTGCCACAACAATCTTGTCTCTGAGGTATAAACGCACACTCTTGATGCGCGCCAACATATCAGCTTTGAGACCGAGCCGATCAAAGCACGATTTCGGCACAAAACACTGGGGACATGGGCAATCTCCTTTGTCGCGAATAGCAGCGAGAAGTACTCTATTTGAAGGTTGTCAGCTAATACGTGGAAGTTGAGGGGACAAATGAGCTCACTTCTCTGGGTAATCCGCAGAGTAAGTAAAGATCCTTGGAAAGACTCGTCGAAAGACTCCATCGTGACATTTGATCACGATCCCATTCCTATACGCATCTACAAATTCATCATCTAATAGAATGCGCCAAAGCGCATGGAACAATTCCCGTTTGCAATGGGCGAGGACGTCGTTGATGCTCTTGTTGTTGATAAATTTGCGGATGAAACCCACAATAGATTCCGGTAGCTAGAGACAAATTGTGTCAGGGTACTCACTGGTCTTCTGATGGGAAGGGTACTTACAGAAGGGATAAATGCGATGGGGTAACAAGCATTGGTGGTCGGACAGGCACGGGCATATTTCGATTGGTTTCCAAAAAAAAGATAGATTGGCCATGCAGAAGCATTCCCAAACTGAGTCAAGTGTGTCGCATCGGACCAGAACATAAGTCCAGCAATCACCCGTTCCAGTTTACACCCATCGTCCCTCTTTTGTTTTTGCAGCTCGTCGTGGGCCTTATTCCAGGCGTCCGATGTGTAGAGCTCATCGTATAGACGTTGTTCTCGGCCGGTCGACGGCGATTTCCAAAAGCGTTTGAAAGGAGTGAGGTGAAACCAGCGTGACGATGCCTCTGAGAAGGCTGCATGAATGACAGCCACAAGCGGCCGATGATGAAAACCTGGGACGGTAAATGGTTGCCCATTCCCATCTGCATTTCTCTCCCTGGTTGGCACTAGTATTTCTGCTGCCGATTCCCTCCAGCCATCCCTTCGAAAGATATCGTTGGGGTCCAGTGTTGCTTCAGAGGCATCGAAACACATCATTTCTGTATGGGTATTGAAATTATCAGGTACGTCATCGAGACTGAAATCCTTGGCCTTCAATACTTCGCGAACGAGGCGGGTTACTTGGGATTCAGGCGTCAGACCGCTATTACTAGACATCTTCCAAGACATCAAGCGCCATATACTCATATTTCTCCATGGCCAAGGGGGTGACTGCGATGGAGGTGGGCTCCCAGAATGATTAGCTGGCTCATTGAGGGGAGGGGGATCAGGCGTGATATTGGATAGCTGGTCAATGGAGACAAAGGCATCCGGGTCATATGATGGTCGGTGACGATACTCCCTTCCAATCCCAAATTTATTGAGGGATGTACGAAAAGAATCGAAAACATAAAGAACTACCCGGCGAATGGGTGCTGAAGGTGGTTCTGGAATGGCAGGTGGGGGTACCGGAAGTTCATCCCTGAATCGTAAAGGCCGCCGATGTGATCGAGAGGGACGGCCAGCTCCACTGTCTGGCTGCACCTCCAGGTTTGGAATGCAAGTTGATGCACGCTGCTCCTCTTGCGGGATGTCAAATGCGGAGGTATTAGATGAGGACGCTACTGGATCATGGATGTTGGAGGGAGATACAGGAATATCGGAAGAATCAGATGACATGGTGTTCACCGGTGGAGAGCTCGAGGCAGAAGTTGGCTAATATCCAAATGAGCAGAGATCGGGATATGATGTACAACGAATGCACTTACTTGGGCACTAAGTTTTGTTCTCTTCGCAGCAGGAGCTCCTGAGTCTTGCAGGGATGCAGATATCCGTTTGAAGTGTTGTGACTGCACACTCAGCTGCTTCTGCCAGTGCTTGCAGTCCTGACGATGACGGGTCAAAGTTCTTGGTGCTGAGAATGATCGGCCGCATTCGCCCCCGCATCTGAGGGACATACTGATAAAAGCAATGAGTAACAGAAAGGCCGTCAGATCCTTAAGAGTATAAACGAATTTCATTGCCTCTTCATATGCGCCAGAGGGCTCGGCGAACGTTAAGTGCAACGAACATCAACAAAACAACTCAAAATAACACCGGAAGAAAAACTAGTCACGTGATTCCTTCGCGTCATTAACGCGTCTAAGGCTAGTAGCAGTAAAAGAAATAAAACATGAGAGCTTGTTAGTTAATGCGTGTGCTAGAGTCAGTGCGCGAACTCTTAGGACACACGGACTGGTGGGACAATCTAGTATTGATTATAATACATATTGCCTCCCTCCAGATAAACCTGTCAGTTATTCTCTATTCACTGCGGAAACGAGAAAATGACCGTATCCAGATTGAGTATAGATAGAACAGTCAACCATACCCAAACTAGATACAGGCAAGGTCGTCTGTCTAAGTCCAAAACATGTATGAAAGGGCGCGCTATTCGGACCGTAACTGTACTGTAGTTATATGTAATAACTAATGTCTAGCTTGAGGTCTGTCACACAAACCATACTCGAGGCCATGTGTAGATAGGAATTGAATATATATTTCCTCAGGTATGGACAGAGTATAGATTGTGTATAGATTGTGTATAGATTGCATATAGATAGCAATAACAGAATACATCACGGATTGTCCTACGCAGCAGCACCTCAAGCAGAAAGCTAGCGAAAAGGATGTAGTACCGGTGAATGGATGAGCGGAAGGTCCATGTGGTCGAGAAGCAAGAAGTCGCGGGAGCAGGTTGTAAAGGTGCTTCTGGACGATCCTCACATCATCCCTAGGCCTGTCATCCCCGTCGTCCCTGTCGTCCCCATCCTCCTGCCAGTACTAGTGCTATGTTCCAGCACCAATTAAGCATGCAGCGCCGTCCAGAAGGAGCTGCCGCGACACCTGCAGAAAAATCTGTTAGCATGGCTCAAGGGGTTCAGAATATGAATCCGCACCCAGTTCCATCATCCCCGGCCATTCCCAGTGATCCTTTCATGGACACAGCGCCCGATAATCGCCACAGTGGTTTCAACCCATCAGGTCTAGGTTTGTATGGTGAAGGACTCGGTGGAGGGCATGGTGGAGGGCATGGTGGAGGGCATGGGATGTATGACTTTGGTGGATCTCAGCAGAACGGACTAGGATTAAATCAGATGCGTTCTCACCAGTTCGACCAGCCCTCTTCTGGTGGATACAATCCACATATGCAACCTTGTCTGCCACATCAGGAGCTCCTTGCTCTACTTCAGACTCGGGTTCCGTCACACTATCATCTGTATTTAGAGCGGGAAAGTCAGCTATGTGAGTTGTAGAGGGACGAGAGATTACTTCACCGACGGGATTCTTAGAGATAGATGGTTTCGCAGGAGAGTCATCTATTGCCGGGCCAATAAAAGTTCGTGAGTTTGAATGTTTTTCCTTGGGTGTCTCGGGAGACTTCGTGGTTGTGCAAGTGGACGGTACGATTTCGATTGTCTAGCAACATGAGACGCTAAGTTTTCGACAATAACAAAAAAAACATACGAGGGGCCCAGGTACGTCTGGAATAAATGTGACACGTATTGTTTCTGGGTACTTGAGAGGTAGTTCAAGGCGTATGGTGTTGTCTTCGAACATGAGCATGATTTGGATGCGAAATAAAAGGACTTAACGATTTTTTGTGGTGACTTGACCCTTTGGGCTATCCCAACGTCCGGATGCATCTTTTGAGGATACCTGTAGCCTGGTTAGTGTCTGGTTTAGAACGCTACTTGGACGTGTATGGTTTGGTGGTAAGAACATATGTCTGTGGTCTGGTTTGGGTGTGTTTACATCGTGTCGCCTCTAACCGTGGGTCCGTTTTTATCCAAAGTCAAAAAGCTGCGACCTCCGAATTACTCAAATCTGGTTTGTGTACAGATACATTACAAGGTATAGTTTGTGTCTGGATACACGACTCATCCACGTCCAGATAGAGTCTGGGCATTTTGTCGTTTCCGCAGTGATTGTTGGTATCCAACATGACATAGCGCGTCACGCGTCATTCTGGAAAATGCCGGCGACACACATTTGTCCAAATCGGGACGTGTCTACTATACGCGATAACTCAAACGACGAAGGTAAGCATTAATTCATTCTTAGTTCAATTTTATATCTACCAGTAGCTCTAGTACAATCATGAACAACTACGCTAATGCTAACGGAGTTGGAAATCGAGATGGGGACGGAGACGGAAACCAAGGTCACCAGGTACGTCGAGGATGTTCTAATTACTACTCACTAACGTTTTACAGATCCCTGAACACCTTCTGCGAGTCGCACCGAGGCCTCGCAACGTGACGTTCACATTGACTGGAAGGCAACTTGTAAGTAACAGTTCGTTCAGCAACTAAAATTCTAACATATTTGAAGGAAATACTGTACGTGAGATGGGATGCTGCGCGAATCCGCGTGCACCAACAAATCTACAACCCCAACCTACCTTTTCAACCCTACCCTCTGCCTCCGGCCTGGTCAGAAGAAGCGCGCGCGATGATGGTGCTCTGGATCGCTAGGGAGCGCCGGATGTTTGAGATGGAAATGCAGGAGTTGGAGTATTTGCTGGGACTTAGAGGTGCGCGTTAGCGCTTCCAGGTGAGCCGTTAACTATGAAATTCTGCATGGACTTACGAATTTTCGGCCATATGCATGAAGAGGGTTCGAAGTTCTAAGAGGCTGAGGCTGAGGTTTAGCGGCTGCATATATTGGACCCACTTACTATACACGATGTAACACCACAAACGCTACGATGTCGTTCAAACGGACTTTGCTGGGCTGCCCGCACATGTATGACTAGCCGAAGAATTGGCAGATCTGTGATATTCCATTGTATCAGTGAACAACACGCGTGAATAGGGTGAAATTTAATGATCAGAGGTATTGGGGGAGAAGTCGAGACTGACGTCAGATGCCGTTCCCAGCAGACTTGATTCGTTAAATTCGCAGCACCTAGCTTGAACTGAGAAGTCCCAGTCGGTCCTGCATGCTAACATGCTCAACTTATGCTTGGTTCTTGCGAGTTCCTCGCGATCATTGATGCTGACATAGAGATCAGGAGAGCCTCCACCAATCTTGCTCGCCTTGAGCCTGCAAGCAGCCTGAACAGTGATTCAAACGACGCCAATAGCTGTATCAAGGGGTACACCAGAAAGAAGTTATTCAAAATTGACAGCGAACACATTTGGCCCGTACCTCACGGGACTGAGCGTGTAGTGAGCCATATCCCGAATGAAAGTCTGTAAACCAGGAATCTGATGATAGGGTAAGCTCGAGTCGATGATAATTCATTATATAGTTACTTACGTGGCTATGTCAAATCCAAGCGACCACGGTTTAAGTCACGTAGTCAGTAACCGGTTTTTTGAGGAAGCCGATATCTGCGATCTCCACGTGAGGGGAAGTTTGCTTCAGCCTAAGCCTCATAATACTGCGAAGATGATGTCCTTGAGAACAATGGGCATCAACCCAACTAAGCTACGGGCAACGTCGTTTGGCCAAAGTTATGGCAACTGATATGTGGTTTGCCTGCGGGCGATAGTCAGAAACATGTTTTCGACCAAATAAAATAAAATCTCAACGTGTTAATGCATCAATGGAAGGTAGTGTAAAGACGCCAAGGCTACTCACCTATTCCACCAAAGCAAGAGATCATCCACTTCTTTCGCTGCTTCGGGTGTTGGGGGAAGTCGCATACTTTGAATTGAGTGGCTAAACCTGAACAGACACATAAGCTATGGCTCGAGGTTGGATATATCGCATATCGAGTACTAGTGTTGCAACGTCACGCACCAGTTAATTAACAAGCTGATGTGCGACCGATGATTGCTAGATAAAAATCTGTCGTGCGTTGCAGTATGAGAATAATCAAAGTAGTGAACATCTTGAATGGCCTGTTTCAAACAATGGGTACTTACTTGAAACGCGGCACTAAGAGTGCATCATCATGGTGCAACCAAAAATCCAAGCAAGATCACGGGTTAGTTGCGGCTAAGCACGTGATCTTGGCTAACAGTGATGTTGAACTTCCGACCTACTAGTCGGCTCTATCATACTAGGCAGCACTGCTCAGCAACCATCAAGCTTCAAGGATGATACTGTTTGTTATTACATTAGTATGAAGAATTACAACAAGTTACATCCCATGGTTCTCAATAGTGTTACAGAGTTCAAGAAGAACTGCGTGATGCCTATTAATGACTACTCCCATCCTACTCACAGTATCACGCATTCTCTCGACCTCCTGCATGATCTTGGCTAGCGCCGGCGATTCCCCTTCAAACGACTCGAATTTTCCTTCAATCCTCGTGCGTTTCTCAGGCGGAAGCTCAACAATAGGTACTGACGTTGCCCTCATGTTAGTCACATCCTGGCCAAAGTTATGCGGAGTGAGTGTGTCAGTCGAAAAATTGAGCTGGACGTAGTACTCACCCCATCATCTTCAGACCACTTTCGCTTTGAACCAGATCCACCCGAGTCGTCATTGTTGTGATCATCACCGTGAGCTCCCAACTGTTGAAATTAGAGCTGTTACAATGGCCACCTATAATCTACAGACACATACTAGCTTTGGATGTGCCGCTCGAAACTTGGCATCTGCAAGCTGACATGCCTGCTGAGTGTCTAGAGATGAAGGTTCGGATTGGAACCGAGCGAATCCATTCAAATTATGCTTATAGCATCCACAGGAATACACAGGGCCGCCTTGGCCATGGCCATACCCCGGGCATCCGATATGACTTTCTGGAGTAGACCTCCCTGAGTGGTCCTCAAACCCGAAGTCAGTGTTCATTAAGATTGCCTCAGCCCCATCATTGAAGTCAGAAGGGCGAGAGCTATTATCAGAGCTGTAGTCAGACGACATGTTTCCTCCTTACTCCGTCAAGTGTAAGGGTATTTAAATTATGTCATGTTTTCAGGACTTAGACTCGTGCTCCGTTACAGAAATTCTTTTGGTCCGCATTGTAAAGAATTTCGATGCTCCCGCCGTCGTTGCCAAATTTTGAAAACAGATCTGACGCTAGCCAACAATGGCATCCTAAAGTCTCATGTTCGCCACCGTGTCTATCGATGCTGATATCTAGGGACAATCTTTCGGGGTAAAATGCAACTCTAACTTGATGTCACGAAGCTCCACATCTTGAGATTTTCTGGCATGCAGGCCCAGAGAACCTGATCTTTACTGAAAGTAGGCGACGTGTTTCATGGTGACTCACGCGCTGACATTTGAGTTAGTTTAATAGAAGTGGATCTTTGAAATACGGACTTAGGTAAAGCCGCACTCCAGGGTTGATTCTCTGTAATATTGTAAAATTTTATAACTCCTTACAGGACAGTCTAAAGTCCTTTGACAGCTCCGAGCTCCTCGTTAATTGTAACATGATCCGGCCGGTATGTAGCAATATCCTTGTTCGCTAGGTGGCTGACAGACGGTCTAGACATGTTGACTTTGAGGGTTTGAGTCCGGTAGACATGTTGACTTCGAAGGTTTGGGTCCGGTAGACATGTTGACTTCGAAGGTTTGTCTAGATATGTTCACTTCGAAGGTTTGAGTCCGGTAGACATGTTCACTTCGAAGGTTTGGGCCTAGACATGTTGACTTCAAAGGTTTGAGTCCGGCAGACATGTTGATTCAAATGAGCGCCTCGGCAGGGAATATCTGGTTTACTGATGCACATTGGGAGATTCTGAATTGTATCTCGAGCAGCGAGCAATAAATGTCGTACAGAACTCATGCACATGACCATAGTTAAAACTTAACATAGCCTACAGTCTGAGCGAGAGCAGACGCATATCTTGTGCTATATGATTGTAACTACCTCCGGCACGTATCAAATTTCAAATTTCAAACTCCTCGCTTCGCCACTCCGAGATCAACCAGCCTGGCTACACTTGAACATCCGTGGTAGTACTATATGCCAGGCTGATCACGAGCCTACTCAGTCGCGCCAATGCCAGTGTTTCCCCTCGAACTCGAGAGAGAGATCATTATTCTCGCTATTGATTGTATGCAGCAAGCTTATTCCCTCCTGTTCGTTTCACAGAGGGTACGTTACTGGTGAGCAATTCCGAAGGGTTGAGGCAGAGCACACTGATGCTATGTTACTGAGTACTGCTGCAGGATTGAAACACTACTTTATGGAAAAATCGTTTTATCAGGCGAAAGTAGTGCTATGTCCTTTCTTTCATCACTTCGTATTCGGTGCCAGCGCTGTAGTGATTTTCCTCGAAGGGTTGTGAAATCATTGTGTATTGAGGGCGATGTACTTCTGAGTACGGCCGCAGAGATCCTTTCGCTCTGCAGCGGTACCACCAATCTTGCGTTATGGATTGCGCCATCGGACTTCAATGGAATGACAAATCCTCTGCTGCAGCCCTTGAATAACCTCCCCCTAATGTCATTATCACTTAGTATATCTTTAATTTTTCGTCACACCGAATTTGTCTCCCTTTCGGCTTTCAAGGCTTTCAGTACAGTAACGCATCTTGAAATTCTCAATGGCTGGGTGCTATGGAACTCTACCATTGGTCTGGAGTATCTTGATGGATTGACGCACTTGTGTCTACATATCCATACGCGGAGGACCAAGCCAGAGTTGATAGCGTCCCTTCTCGCTCCCTCACACCTCCAAATACTTGTTTTTCGCGTCTCAGAAGATATCAACGCAGTCCAAACATTCCTGGAATTTCATTCCCTTAGCGACTCTCGCATCGTGCTGGTATCTCAGGTTCCCACCGCCTGGGGTGAATTTGGAGGTGGCGACATGTCTCTCTGGAAGGGTGCTGATCAGGTAGTAGATTGGAGACGCACTAGTACCCAAGGCATGTCTCTCTATCTTGCAGGCACACTATGACCGGCTAATGCTCTCAACAGGAGGGCCTTTCAGTGTACCGTCATCCGATATCATACATTTCTGATCTTCCGGCCATTTCGTATCGTGATATACTTTGTGGCTAGACCAATAATCATTTTCAATCAGAGCGATGTACAGACTTCGATGTGCTACCATATGTATCGTGCGCTTCGCTATCAGACGCAGATGCTTTGGAAACTCCAAGAACAGCAGACAAGTACTCCTCACCCTGACCAGTCATCGCCCACTATAAACCCGGACCTTCAGCAAGCCGAGTCGCTGATGATCTCTATCACTTACTTGAGTTGCCTTATGATGTCCTCTAGCAAGAACTTGAATACTGACTACGCATGGCCGATACCTGCTAGCAATATCTTTGTGATTTCTGTGGCACAGATATCTTCTAGAGTTTCTTCGAATGCTTACCTTGTACTCTTCGCCTTCCATATGATGGGCCTTCATCTAGCGGTCCAAGTGCACTGACAGTAAGGGGAAGTGATGGTAGCACCATGGAGGTAGAATGACCTGGACGCAGACCAACACCCCCAAACTCATCATTGAAGCCTGACTTGCAGATCAGATGCAGGTGCGTGCTTTCGTTGCATTGTGTTCCAAGTCTGTTATTATTAATTGTACATAGCTTTACAGCTCAAGGCTTATACATGACGCTAACTACACCTAGTATAAACTGCGAATCACGTCCGGGCCCAGAAGAAGAATTGTGAGTACTACGGCTCAAGGCCTTAATACAAATGGTGCTAAACTACACCTTACAGTTAACAATACACTTCACTAATTGTGTCAAGGATCTGGGGGACTTGTATGCATAATGACCGAAGGATTGCGTTCTCCTATCTCTCGAAAACATCTACTCCAGCATGTAGATGTACTATGACAGATAGTAGGGCTGCTGGTAACAAAGGTTTGCTTTCTACTGAACAGGCATTGCACAACACTATTCTCACCTACTGTTTCCAGCAGCTTTCCGCATTATGGCCGAGAGCTAGTACTCTGATGCGAATGGCCGGCTTCATTGAGGTAACTGATGATATGGACAAAGAAATCCATGACCATGAGAGGACAGAGGCGGTGAAAAACGGTAAGGCATTCAGGTGAAATGATTTCTATGTCGTCCACTGTCCTGACCCCCAGTGAAATCAGCGGATGGAGAAACTTTTCAATCCACCCGCGCCGTGGCTCCGCCTTTTCGAGTTCGGCCAGAAAATCATTGATGGAAGGATAAGAGATGTGGGGGTCAGTCTCGAGCTCCAAGTTGGTAAGTATAGTAGACGACATGGAGTTTGTGTTTTGGGTGTTATACGCGGGCCTATGGCCTGAGGGGTATCGTTACTTCGTCTCAATTCAATGACATTCTGACACTTGTTGTAAAGGATTTCAAATCTGATTTGCCTGCCGGCGCATGATAACTCATACGAATATCCGGGCATAACTTTGGTTTAGAGTTCCTCCTCTATTTCATTCAGGTGATTATCCCTTGGTTTAGTGTCTCCGCTTCTGATTTGGTTTAGAGTGCCCGCCTTTCCATTTCATTCAAGAATTGTTTGTTCTTGCTCTGCCTTTACTCAGGTGGGCTGCAAAATTTTGTTTAATCACCGTTAGTTCACGCACGTTAACTTGATTAGGCCCATCTTTGATCTAGTAATCAGATGGATCGACAGAATCATTTTATTCCCTCGGTTTAATGTCTCCGTTTCTGATTTGGTTTAGAGTGCCCGCCTTTCCATTTCATTCAAGAATTGTTTGTTCTTGCTCTGCCTTTACTCAGGTGGGCTGCAAAATTTTGTTTAATCACCGTTAGTTCACGCACGTTAACTTGATTAGGCTCATCTCACACTGATTGACAGAATCATCCCGGAGCCAACTCTACTAATTATTAATCGATTCTATCACCTGTTCAGTCAATACGTATGTGACGTACTGTCTATGCAGGTTTGAAGAATGTACGGAGCCGATATTCGAAAGGTGCCGGATCTTCGGAAACGCACGTAGTACATGACGTTGTGCGGGGACTATCGGTACCATGCCAAGGATCCCTGAGAAATTAGCTGTTTCAATTTCAAGGTCCGTGCTTCACTTCCGCCATGTTTCCTCAGCTAAATTGATTGTCGTACCCACTTCCAAGTTCCCACTTGACATTTTCATCCCATGAGCAATGGCGACCTTATCCCCATCTCCATCTGAATCAGACAACAACGAAATTCACCCTCTGATCACTCTTAAAAGACGAATAGCTGCACTGGAGGAAGAAAATACAAACCTCCGAGTCCGTGGGCTCCCTGGGAAGAAAAGGTATGTCTAGTGTTTAAAAATTCGGTACAATAAGTTAATAAATAATCAAAGCAATGACTCGAATATATTCTATGGACGATCAATTCGAAGGCTCGTGTGCCTGACCGAGCGCGTTGAAGATGTGGTAGCAGAATTCAATAGGCGCATTGGACTGGGCGCTGCCAATGAATCCGACGCGGATCTAATGGATTCAAATGACCTAGAGTACGTGCATTTTCACAAATTTTACTGGTTAACCCTCAGGTCATGTTCTAGTGAAAATAGGCGGTATCGCTCCTTCAAGAAACTTATGGCATGGTGCCCCTTGGCTCGTAAATTGCTACGGTCATCTGCCGAGCACGAAACTCTTGCTTTTGCATACAGCAAGGTGAGATTCACCGAAACAGTTCAAATCATCGCTGTATCTCACATCCAGCTGAATGAAAGCTCTGACGGAGCCAGGGGAGACGACTCTGCTAGTCTTAAGCGCTCTGTGGCTGAATGGCTAATGGAACGTACTCCCGCACCGAATCCTGCCATTCACAAACAAGACAAATCTGGTCGGGGTTTTTACAACGACGTGACGGGTGGGCTCCTGTGCCCAGTTGATTACGATTGGAGCAATCCCACGTAAGGGTTCTTTTATAAGCTGCATCGTGACTAACTTATATATTCGAAGTGTTCGAGCCTCCATTCAAGACTACCATCCTGATCATCGCATCACCGCTTGTTCCTGGCCTTCATTCTTGTACGAGGATGGAGGCTATGACCCCCAGAATCCTACGAAGGGTCTACTTAAAGGCAAGCTACTCATAAAGGTACGATCAATATATGTGGCAGAACCATACTGAATGCTGTCTCCAGGCGTTTAAACGTGTATTTACCTCTCCAAGTTCCACAGACGAGGAACAACCTGTCGACTCGGCTCGTTCTGCACACAACAGGAACAGTGGTGAGCGTCGCACTCGGCGTGACGTTGCAACACTACTCGATATGCGATCTGTCCAACCTCGAGCCATAGCTTATGTGTCTGTTCAGGTACAGACTATTTAACTCAACATTTGCGTACTTTGCTGATTAGAGGGCCCAGCTGAGATTCGCATTGTCGAGCTCAGGATCCTGGCGCATCATTGATGACGAATTCAACAATCAGGAATTTTATGACAACATAGTTGACTATTTGGAGCTTCCTCCAACGCCAGAAGCAGCGAAAGAAATCGACGATCTCTTACTTTGGTGGAATCAGTAAGTAGCTTTGGCGTCTTTACACTGCCTTCAATTGAGTCATCGGGGTTTCATTTTTTAGAAAAGTTTTTGGTCGAAGATTTGTTTCCGATTATCGCCCGCAGCAGGCAAACAAGATGTCAGTCGCCATGACTTTGGCCAAAAGGCGTCACCACTAGCTTAGTTGGGTTGGAACGTACTAGTACATAGTTAGGAGCTGCATGTACCTTTACGTTGTGCAATTTTCAGGATAATGAATCAATGATTGAATTTTGTGGCCCATAACGTCATGCATTGCCAAGTGAGATCCGAGCAGTACAATCGACAATGAAATTAAGACCCTTTTCTGCGCAAATGTCGAATAATAGATCATTTGTTGAAACGTTCTGCGCCACCATATGGTTGACACGAGTGACCCACCTTCATCACGCATTTAGCATCTGACAGCCAACACGAATATGACACTTATCCGACTTCAGGTAGCGAGTTGTATATGATGTTACAGTATTGAACATTTGGTGTGCTTGCGTCAAGGATAGCGTTACGAGTGATCAGAGACACGTCCACCTATCTTATACATGTGAGCTGCCCACACCATATCGACAATTCTGTCTCAAAGTACCTCATTCTGCAATGAAAGTCACATCAATATCTTATAACTTTAGAATGATATACTGCGTCTGCTCATGCCAATACTGCAAGCGCCTGCCTACAATGTAAGTTAGTGAAAATAGTATACAGCTTATGTCCTCCTCGTTGCAAATCTAATTACTAGTCAAATGAGCCTCTTCAACATACTAATCACTACTTCTTGATGTTTGACTTCTTGTCACTCGTTATACAGGTATTGTACTGCGATGCATTCCTTACGATTCATCTGCTTACACACCATACTTAAGAGTCCCGGCACACGCATGTAATCATTGTGTAGATCGGCCACGATGGCTACGTGTTTAAAGCCATATATGATGTCCAATAATAGCTAGGTAATCACCTTCTGCATATTTCTGTGGCGGTTGCTTAACGTCTGACTCCCTGTTGCGTAGTGATAAAGTAGTGTATTGTACAAAAAAGATTAGAATTTCTTCGCTTACATGCCATACTTGGTGGTCCGACAAATACATATCATGATTATTTAAATTGGCCAGGGAGGCTAGGTGTTTAAAGGTATATAAGACATTATCAAACCACTTGCCATATTTCATCTGATTGCGCATATTATGACCATTATAAGGGGGATATAATGGTTTATAGCGCGTCTTGATTTTCAGTGATGTTGCCACGGGCTTTGACATATCATGCAGAAGGTATATTATGTAATCTATGCGTTTCGCATGTTGATTTCAAATTTTCATCACAAGGCAACGTTTCTGGAATCACTTCAGAGTTTGTATCAAGACCTGATAAATGCAAAGCAGTATTCGAAGAAATTATGCTTACATCCCGGATCTCTCACACGCAAGAGTCCAAATCAGCATACCATACCAGCTAAGGCTATCGACTCTGCAAACCGGACTCGGACGTTCAAGGACACCACATAACTGTGACACTCTTTGGGCTTACAAGTTAGCCTAGTCTACGAGATTTTGGATGGCTGTGGAAGATTACAGGACGTAGTCAGACTCGCAGTCCATAAGAGCATGATGCAGGAACTCAGTGTTGCCCGGCTGACTCAGTCTTCCACAGGTCGCGTTGTACTTGTTGAGCTGATCAGCCCACTACCCAGAGAACGTGTCAACGGGGGATCTACAATTAACGACGCAGAGTGTGAGATCGGGGTTGTAACATATCTCTGAGCCAATCGCTGCTCCTCTTCAAGTCTCTGCAACAACACTGCCCGCATGTCTGTGGAAGTGCATGTTGATGGTGCGGTTATTCTGTTCCTATATTCATTAGAGTTGTGCGGCGATGAAATAGGGTTTAGGTTTAGGGGTAGTCCTGATGAAGGGGCGGGATGCGCGTCGACGCTTCCAGGGTTGATGACGAGGCACGGCGATGTATTGGTGGGCTGTTCTGCTTTACTTTCGTTTCTGTATTTATCTGTACCTCCGCCCAGCGTACCGCACGGACAAGCGATAGTTTCCTCTCCAGCTAACATGTTCCCTTCATCGGTGCATGTAGCGATAGAATCGGCAAGCAAGCTCCAAATTCTTTCGCGTTGATGTCCTATATCCGACGTACGTTCTTCCCCGAGAGGCATCAACACATCTGAGCGCCGCTTGAGAGAAGGATGAAAAGACAACGAAGCAGGCGGCGCGTTGGCAGGAAGGTTCGACAACTGCGAAAGAAGGACAGGCGTACCATCACCACTACCGCTATCATCACGGGCATCTTGGTGTCCTGATGGATGAGGTAAAAATTCAGGAGCAACATCGTTCTTCCGTGCAGTTGCGCCAGCGTGATGCTTGTTGCTCGATGGAGTGGGTTGGGAGAGATGAGCCTGGACTGATGCACGGTTTTGAGGGGGACGACCGGGTGTGCTTGGGGGTTTACGCAACGTAGGAGCTACAGGCTCTGGATTGACATCCATTCTATCAGCAACATCTACTGGAACATGAGCAGGCGCGGGGGAACAAGGGAGGGTCTAAGACTGGGCTCTACAGGCGTATTGAACTTCCGATTTCCGGGGTATGTGATTCTGCTGTCTGTTTGGATTCGATAACAGCGTTCGGCACAAGTTCTCCTGAAATGCGTGGCAGCGTGCTACTCGAGGGATATTCACTCTTGGCCCGAAGAGGTGTGCTACGACCTTCTGGTTCTTTTCCTTTTGCCTTTGTAGAATTCGTTGACTGCTCCTGAGTGTTTTCAAGGTGACTCTCTCGGTCATTCGAGGTATCAGGTATATCTCGACGATCGCTGACCACGCTGTGAGTATGGTTCCTGCGATCTTGGGAGAGATGGTCTAGAGAGCTTTCTTGGAGGTAGGTTGTAGGAGTTCTTCTGTGCTCGGGACGCCGTCATGCAGGATTGGGGAAGGAAGTCGAGATAACGGAGATCGAAATCGGAACCGGTGATGAGGCGACCGGGATCGAGAATGGGAATCATAAAACCACCGGCTCTCTTTTTCCCGCTTATGGGGTGGAGGATCTGGGGAGGTATCATACTGCCCAAATCTACTGACCATGTGTAAATGTTCGGTGTTTGGGTGCCTCTGGCCCTTGATATATCTAAGTCTAGGAACTCGGAGAGAAGTTTGACGGCAGATTCAGCTCGTACTATGTCACAAGAGAAATAATAAACGTGAGGAACTAGAGCATACTATGTTTGCGGTACAAGTAAGGCGCAGAGTAGCACACAAGCGAGTCTGATTGATCGAAAGAGGATTAAAGGGTGGCATACCTGGGGCGGAGAGAAAGTTTAGTATCATGTTGTGGGAGGAGAGACGACTCGGTAGTGACCCGAACTTCTCTGTAACAAAGTGTCAACTTGATAAATTATTAAGAATGATTCACGGGCCGAAAAAAGACATGACAAAAGTAAGTATGGCGTTCCTCAAGCTCTCAGAGAGGTAGTACGAAGAATCATAGCACGGCTGTCAAAGTTCCTGATTCACCCGCCAAACACCGCCAACCCGCGGTAAAGGGTCGCAGTAGTATATACTCAAGGGTACGACTGTCCTACATTGTACTCGTACCCGCCAAACCCGTCAGCATAGAAACGCGGTGCGACACGTACCTCAACATCAAGATTTTGCCAAACGCGCAGTTCATGACGGAGAAAGATGGTGCCTCGACATATCATCTCTGGAGATGCAGCAAACTGGGCTGGACTGGGACGATACTGGGCGAATGAGTTAGACGCGGCATGCTGGGCGAGATGAGACGTGTGTGTAAATGCAAGAAAAAGCACATACCTTTGCATAAAGATGGCTTGGTACACCTAACGTCTTCTGGCGATTGCTCATTCAAGTTCGTCAGCGTCCGAGGCATGACAATCCCTGCAGCCCAGTAGCGATTTCTATGTGCCCGTCGGGCAACTTGTACACAAGATTGGGCCACTGTTGGCAATAACTGTGGTGACGAGGAGCGTGGTTGGGGCAAATATTGTTTTTGGTAGTCGAACTGTGACGCGTGTATGATTAGTATGACATATTCACTGATCAACTGATAGCACAATGGACACTTGCGTGATTGCTCTAGTAGTACATCTTCTGTATAGATGTACTACTAGAGCAATCATAGCAGTCGGGGACTTGGTGCCAGTAGGTATTCGTACGTCTGAGTCAATAGCATACATCACTTCCAAATCATGACCAAAGGATTACGCTGGCTGTCTTGTAAATTCTGGTCTTCCAGGGCCGCGATGGTCACGTCGGTGTGTGCGAATTTGTTGAGAATGGTCTTGACGGCGTTCAATGACAGTTTTGGTTGCTCGGTCCGTGGGAGGTGACTGGGGACAAAATTTGCGGCTGCTTTCAACTTCTCGCCTGGTTCCCCTGGGTATTTGAATGGGTTGAGCTGATCTTACGTGAATGAGAATTCGTCCCTTAATTTGTCGCGGGCCTCGTTAACCAGCGTGCGGCGATCGAGTTTCAAGATGTTGGTGCGGTTCTACAGCAAAATTGTCAATATTTGAACCGAGATCCTATAGTAATATGCACTCACTGTCTTAACATCCTCCTCGAGCTTATTGTTCTTCTTCTGGAGAACGTCGACATCCTGTTTGAGTACCTTGTTCTCTTCCCTGAGAATGTTGACTTCCTGTTTGACCACCTTGTTCTCATCCAGCTCTCTGTTCGCCTGAAACAATATTTAGCTACTCATATTGGCATAATGTTGAGACACACCGCTTCAATTTTGGAATCCCAAGCTGTTATGCGCTCCTTGACAAGGCCCAATTCACGTATTATATGATCTAATTGAAGAGTAGTGACCGGCATGGTGTATGTGTGATGTGTCTGCAAGTGTCGTGATAATTAAGATGGAATGTGCAGGAAATGGACGGGCAAGAGAGGGGTATTTAATTGTCTGAGTCCGAACTTTGTCGGAGATTAATTACGTCTACCATGAATTGTACAGGTGCCGAGACGTGGCCCGTTGGAGTTTCTCAGCAGAGCGACAGTTTTGACTGGTCTATTAATTAATGGAAGGTGATTCAAGACAAAATTTGCAGCATCAATCAACCGCTGTCGTGTTGCCTCTTGGTGGGAGGATGGGTCCAGTTTATCTGGGGTGAACCATCGGCGTAACTTCTCGTAGGCCTCGTTAAATAGGGGCCTCCGTTCGAGTTTTTGCGGTGCTACAGCAAAGTTGTCAATATTTGAACTGAGATCCTATAGCAATATGCACTCACTTCATTAACCTCCTCCTTGAGCTCCTCGAGCTCCTGCTTCAGCTTCTTGTTCTCCCTCTCGAGGTCCTTGTTTGCCTGAAACAATATTCAGCTACTCATATTGGCGTGATACTGAGAACACACCGCTTCCATTTTGGCCTCATGAGCTATTACATGCTCCTTGATTTCATCTATTATTTGAACAGTAGTGGCCGGCATGGTATCATAGTGTGTGTTCAGAAGTCTGCGCAGATGTGTCTGCGAGTATCGTGGTAGTTAAGATGGAATGTGAAGTCTGTCACAGGGGTATTGGCTGGGTTCGAACTTTGTCGGAGATTTATTGCGTCCGTACACGTGCTGAGACGTAGCCCGTCAGAGTTTCTCGGCACCACACTTCCAGCTGAGCGTTAGTGTAATCTTCTCAACGCAACAGTCGATGGTGCACTCGATGTACTCAATCATAATCAGTGGCTCCATCTCGCCTGGCACGGAATGCCGAATCGACACAGCCATTCGAGTCTTCTTTGGCCATGCGCGACCGCCGACGGCCCATTGATGATCTGGGACATCATCCGATCCAACTGGCAGAACCCACAGTTTGCATTTTTATCGGCCTACCATACTACCGCGGGCGACGAGAAGAATCCCGATTTCACAGTGTGATTGGTTCCATGTGGTCTGTTGACGACGAGGTTGCACGCCAGGTCGTGTCTGCTTTTTACCGTAACTTCATTGATGATTCGAAAACATTGGACTGCACGCACGCACTGCACAAGTCCGTGAAATCGTTGCGCAAGAAGATTCCATCAGAACAGCAGATTGTACTTGTCCACATAGGTGTGTAGTTAGAAGATTCACCATATTATTCCATGTGTCGTGTTTCAAGTTTTCATTGCCTCGCTCTCCTGTTGCTTACTCATTTAATGATATCTGCATGATACTCAGTTATTCTGTTCTGTACTAGTGCCACACACCGCGTCGCATTGAATGAATCTGATTCACTCCTGCATCGTCACAGCTTAAGTCGTTGAGCGCAGCCGTAGTATTTGATTCAGTGAGCGGTGTTACACATGAACTATCCTTGCTGCCTCCGTGGGGTATGTATTTGTTCATTTGTTCGGTTCTGATTGTAGCTTGCTCCTACGGCTGCCGCAGCAATGGCTGAGTTGCTCCACAGAGTGACAGCAGGTAAGGTCGCGTACTGAGTGCTGCAGACAATACTAAAAGTCCTGGATAACTTGCCCTGGCACGGTCGCAGATGCCGTTTGGTCACTCCGTTCGAAACGTACAACGTGCCGCAGGGGTAGGTACATAGAATACGATTTTCATCAGTAAATAGAACACGAATGCCAGGAAAAAATGGAACTAAAAGTGGTCATCAATAGGTATGAGAAACCATGCTCCACTCGCTTCAACAACTAGGGTCGTCAATGAACCACTGCCCATAGACACCCCAGATCTAGAGGTATGTCAGATAAAATTTAGGAGCGATGGCTCAAATGCACGTACGCTTTTCACGCATGAGTCCGCACCAGAGAATTCTTGGTCTAAGAAACGAGCAGGCGTTGTCGCACAGAATTCCTTATAGTCTGCATGAGCCGGTACATTCATGAGATGTTGCTCGATGCGCTAAAATAATGATCAAATCAAGTCCCAGAGAACAGTCTATCTGCTTCTCACCCTCTTCTTCGAGCCTTTAGCGGTACATCCCTATGGGGCAGAGCGGTAAGTTAGAGTGAGATGTGAGACTTTTAGCTTACCCTATTCTTAAATGTACTCCAGTAGGTGACACAGTCTGGTTCGTCATATTTGATAGCGAAATGCCCAATCACCGTGCCTGAGCGCTATACCAAGTCAAACGATTTTATTAGGACTAACGAGAAACATCAACCAACATATTCGCATCTGGAGGGCAAGTGAGGCTGTCCATGGACAACCACTGGAGTACTCATGCAAAGTTTCGTCCACTGGCGGTTCCAAGGCGAGAGGTTGATTTCTGCTAAGTACTCCCTTGTTGCATAACTGGTGCAGGAATGAGATTCAAGATTGGTCCAAACAATCTCATCGATGGGCGTAGACGAGAAAAATTGAACGATATAAAACACCCCCAAAATGAGTATAGCTCCAATGGTTATGAAGAAGCAACATTCTAAGCCATGGTTTTGTCGACGTCTTCCTCTCGAAAGAAGATAATTGGTTTCATTGTACCTAAAGATGAGTATCAACAACTGCCTATACTTTTGTGCTATAGACATCGTGCCTGGAATAAATGCTAATCACCTCCATCAATGACTACTGTCGAAAGAGATGAAAGCGTACACAATCTGAGGAACGGGGCGCGTTGGTACCGCGATCGAGGGCTGGCGGCCATAACCATGTCCGTGATGCCCGTGACAACCATAGTTCTGCGAATGACCATTATATGTATGTCCTTGCGCAGTGGAGTGAGTATGGCCAAGAGGGAATTCTTGTGGTGTGGTTGAAGCATATTGCTGGTATGGAGGAGGACTAATAAACGACTCCATTAGACCTGAGAATTGCGACAGAAGCCTTGGAATCTTACCTGAGGTCATGCGACATCGTATCTCTCAGTATCTTGCAAGGTGGATTAGCACGTTGAAACCAGAATTTGCTAAGTTAGACACCACTGGCATGCCGCACGGCCCCTTGCCACGGGCTTTGACGTAAGTAGTATCATTCGAGTTAAGAAGAAAGTACATTATGTAATCTGTGGGATGCATGTTGATTTCAAATTTTCATCACAAGGCAACGTCACTTGGTAAACGCAAAGCAGCCATAATGAATTCGAAGAAATTATGCTTACATCCCATCTCTCATACGCAAGAGTCCAAATCAGCATACCATACCAGCTAAGGCTATCGACTCTGCAAACCGGACTCGGACGTTCAAGGACACCACATAACCGTGACACTCTTTGGGCTTACAAGTTAGCCTAGTCTACGAGATTTTGGATGGCTGCGGAAGATATGGCATTACAGGACGTAGTCAGACTCACAGTCCATGAGAGCATGATGTCACACAGGAACTTAGTGTTGCCCGGCTGACTCAGTCTTCCACAGGTCGCACCGTACTTGTTGAGCTGATCAGCCACCACCTGGAGGACGTGTCAACGGGGGATTTACAATTAACGATGCAGAGTCTGAGATCGAGGTTGTAACATCTCTCTGAGCCAACCGCTGCTCCTCTTCAAGTCTCTGCAACAACACTGCCCGCATGTCTGGAAGTGCATGCTGATAGTGCGGTTATTGTGTTCCTATATTCATATGCCTGATTGCCATGCCGGATATGCTCGCCACATCCAAAAGGATATCGACGTGAGTAGAGTTGTGTGGCGATGAAATAGGGTTTAGGTTTGAGGGTAATCCTGATGAAGGGGCGGGATGCGCGTCGACGCTTCCAGGGTTAATGACGAGGCACGGCGATGGATTGGTGCGCTGTTCTGCTTTACCTTCGTTTCTGTATTCATCTGTACCTCCGCCCGGCGTACTGCACGGACAAGTGATGTTTTCCTCTCCAGCTAACATGTTCCCTTCATCGGTGCATTTAGCGATAGAATCGTCAAGCAAACTCCGGATTCTTTCGCGTTGATGTCCTACCTCCGACGTACGTTCTTCCCCGAGAGGGATCAATACATCTGAGCGCCGCTCAAGAGAAGGATGAGAAAACAACGAAGCAGGCTGCACATTGCAAAGGAAGGCTCGACAACTGCGAAAAAAGGACAGGCGTAGCATCACCACTACCGCTCCCATCACGGGCATCTCGGTGTCCTAAATGGATGAGATAAATACTGAGGAGGGACATCATTTTTGCGCCAGCGTGATGCTTGTTTCTCGATGGAGTGGGTCGGGAGAGATGAGCCTGGACTGATGCTAGTAAAGTGTGGTTTCGAAGGGGACGACAGGGCGTGCTTGGGGGTTTACTCGACGTAGGAGCTACAGGCTCTGGATTGGCATCCATCCTATCAGCAACATCTACTGGAACACAAGCAGGCGCGGGGAAACAAGGGAGGATCTCAGACCGGACTCTACAGGCGTATTGAACTTCCGATTTCTGGGGGTGTATGATTTTGCTGTCTCTTTTGATTCGATAACAGCGTTCGGCACAAGTTCTCCTGAGAATTTGAAATGCGTGGCAGCGTGCTACTCGAGGGATGTTCACGCTTGCCCCGAATAGGTGTGCTATAACCTTCTGGTTCTTTTCCTTTTGCCTTTGTAGAATTCGTTTACTGCTCCTCTGTCGGTCATTCGAGGTATCAGGTATATCTCGATGCTCGCTGACCGCGCTGTGAGTTCGTCGATGGTTCCTGCGATCTTGGGAGAGATAGTCTAAGAGCTTTCTTGGAGGTAGGTTGTAAGAGGTCTTCTGTGCTCGGGACGCCGTCACGCAGGATTGGGGAAGGAGGATGAGATAACGGAGATCGAGATCATAACCGGTGATGAGGCGACCTACTGACCATGTGCAAAATGTTCGGTGTTTGGGTGCCTCTGGCCCTCGATATAAGGAGTATCTAAGTCTAGGAACTCGGAGAGAAGTTTGATGGCAGATTCAGCTCGTACTATGTCTATTGATTTCACAAGAGAAATAATAAACGTGAGGAACTGGAGCACACCATGTTTGCAGTGCGAGTAAGGGCAGAGTATCACACAAACGAGTCTGATTGGTTGAAAAAAGATTAAAGGGTGGCATACCTGGGGCAGAGAGAAAGTCTAGTGTCATCCGATACAATGGTGTGGGAGCTTCTTAAATGGAGAGACGACTTGGTAGTGACCCGAGCTTCTCTGTAACAAAGTGTCAACTTGATAAATTGTTAGGAATGATTCACGGGCCGAAAAAAGACATGACAAAGTAAGTATAGCGATCCTTTGCAAGCTCTCAGAGAGGTGGTACAAAGAATCATAGCACGGTGTTTAGAACTTGTCAAAGTTCCTGATTCACCCGCCAAACACCGCAAACCCGCGGTAAAGGGTCGCGGTATGCTCAAGGGTACAACTATCCTACACTGTACTCATACCCGCAGAACCCGTCAGCATAGAACCACGGTGCGACACGTACCTCAACATCAAGATTTTGCCAAACGCGCAGTTCATGATGGAGAAAGATGGTGGCTCGACTGTCGACATGTCATCTCTGGAGATGCCGCAAACTGGGCTGGACTGGAGTAAGGACGATATCGGGTGAATGAGTTAGACGCGACATGCTGGGCGAGATGATATGTGTGTAAATGCAAGAAGAAGCACATACCTTTGCATAAAGATGGCTTTGGTACACATAATGTCTTCTGGAGATTGTTCGTTCAAGTTCGTCAGCGTCCGAGTCATGTCGATCCCTGCGGCTCCAATAGCGATTGCTATGTGCCCGTCGGGCAACTCGTACACGAGATTCCCCTAGGCGTGGTGTATATGATATGATGTATAACATATTCACCGATCAATATTAATGTTGCAACTGGGAGCCCAATATTAATGGGGTTTCTCTACTAATCTATACAGGAGTAAGGTACTCATAGGCGGATATTGTACGTCCACGCTGCCTGTGTGTTAAGACCTCATCTTTGACGGCTGTTTCTGTCACTTTTGTGTGCGCTATTTCGTTTCCCAGGCGGCGGAAGCTATGCTCCGATGAGTCTATGATGGTCTTGATGGCTTCCAACGACAATTTTGATTGGTCGGCTGGTGGGAGGTGATTCAAGACAAACTTTGCAGCAGCATCAAGTCGTGTTGTCCCTTTGTAGGAGGATGGGTCCAGTTGATCTAAGGTGAACCATCGCTCTAACTTGTCGCGGGCCGCATTGACCAGCGTCCTCCTCTCCAACTTCAAAAAGTTGTTGCGGTTCTACAGCAAAGTTATCAATATTTGAACTGAGATCCTATAGTAATATGCACTCACTTCATCAACCTGCTTCTTGAGCTCCGTGAACTGCTCTTGGTGCTCCTGGAACACTTTAAACTCCTCCTTGAAGTCCTTGAGTTCCCGCCTGAGGTCTCTGTTCTCTTGTTTTAAGACCGTGTTTGCCTGAAACAATATTCAGCTACTCATACTGGCGTAAGATTGATAACACACCGCTTCCTGAGCGATCACGCGCTCCCTGATATCGTCTATTATTTGAACAGTGGTGACCGGCATGGTGTGTAGGTGTGTAATGTGCACGGGCAAGTCTGTCACAGAGGGCATCACAGTGACCGTACCGCAAAGTGGTAGGGCTCGAATGAATATAGAGACACCCGTAACACAGAGCGGCAAGATAAAAAGACGGAATGGGAACAGCAGCAGGGCAGAGGAGAAAGCCGACAATGAGAGAGATGCGAAAGGCGGCGGCTTGATGTTGACACAGGGAAAAAGAGCCCTTTTATATTCCTGAGGGCGGGGCATAGTACTACCAGGATGCCTTATGACAGATGCTGGCTGCCTGGGCAGCGCGCGAAGGAATTCATAGAGTGAAGGACATCCCTTGAGAAAGCACAACTTGAATGCACCAGAACCACCTCCATCTAAAGTAGAAGTTAGCTCTGGGTAGAGGGGATTGCTAGTTGATTTATACGAACACGATAAACGACGAGCAGCGTGCAGGAGCGCGCAGGGCGTTGTGCTGCCTGGTGGTGCTGTTCATATAAATTCCGGAAGCATCCAAAATGACAGCATTCGCATTCCGAAACGGCCAAATTGGGCCAGGACGATGCGAACAGTACGGACGGGACGGACGGTCCTTTCCAAATTTCCGGTATATACGAGTTTCTCGGCACCGCAGTTCCGCGCGCGCGCTGAGCGTTAGGGCTCCGTGAAAAACTACCAAGTTTTTGACGTTGGAGTTTTTGACAGGTTTTTAACATGTTTTTAACGAGTCGAAAACTCGGGGTTGATATTGGGGTGTCAAAAACTAAAATATATATGTATATATCTCGGGAACATAGCCTATCGAATTCTCCATCCGAACATCCGAAATCACCGAAAAATCGTTAAGATATGACCGACGATCTGTCAACTACCGTCCAATTGAGCGTTCGGCTGAATCGGCTCAATGATTGCAACAAAAATTTACCTTGATGAGCTTCTTCGAGGACATTGGGCGCAACAACGCACAGTTGAGCCACCTCCGAAAGGCACTCGCACAACTTCCACATAGTATCCCCCTCGGAAACTCCAAATATAATTTTGAGCACTATGCTCCAGATCCGGAGAGGGTCGAACTCTATGGCAGTACCGAAGCCGCACTGAATAATGTGCTCGAGGTCACATTTGCACCCAGAGGCCGGAAGGATGAGTCGGCACCATGTCCGTTCGAGTTTCAAGAGCGTGGGCCAGGTCTTGTTGCAGTCATTGATGTCCTAACGGCTGCCCTCAACGAGTTTCCCGATTCCGTGCTGCTTCGAAAATGGGTTCATGATCTGTGGCGGACCACCATTTATCACTACGAGTGTGCAAAGCAATCAGTGAGGAAATACATATATAATATAATATTCACTGACACATCATGAGGTTCCGAGTTCTACTACCAACACCGAAAATGCCAAAGGTGACTCCGAGGCACTCGATATTGATGCCGGCGACTATGAAGACTTGCCTGAGCCAGTTGCACAAGGCCCAGGTGGCCGTCCAATTGATACAAAACTCATCTCGCTCGCAATCCGATGTTACAAGAAGGATGACCCGTCCAAGACACACATGTTTCGCTGCGCGGGAACAAATACTGGCTGCACCACTGTGTGGAAGTCCAAGAACTGGGTCAAGAGACGGATCCTTGTACACGCAGCAACCTGCGAGCACCTTCCACGCAAGCTGAAGGAAAGGCTTGATGGAGGGTTAGCAATGGATGCTCCGTCGGCAAAATCTGCAGTACTCAACAGTGCCACTGCGACCTCGCCGAAAGCTCAACATTTATCCCCTGGCGTCACGGTGACAGCGAAATCCCAGCCATCTGTTGCCCCACTCGCAAAAAAGGCTCGACTCGAGGCATTAACAGCACAGCTCCATGCTGATGTTGTGCAGTTGTTCTGTGTTGGGGGCCTTCCCCCGAGTAAGGTTGACCTGCCAGAGTGGAAGTCCATGTGGCTGCATGCTGTACCATCCTATGTCCCAGTATCAGCATCGAAGTTGGAAGAATATCAAATTCCGGCGGAGGCTGCACTTGTTCGTACGAAACAGCTCAAACATTTACGCACCTGCATAAACCTCAGCATAACTTTTGATGGCCAAACGACTCGCTTACCTGAGTCCGTCTACACGATCCACGTCATCACTCCCGACCGTCGTGTCTACTTTTTCGAGGGGAACGAGGCTTCGGAAGTATCACATACTGCAGACCACCTATTTGGTGTTTTGGATGGTGTAGGTTGAAATCTTTCTGGGAACAATCAATTTCCAAGCTAAACACGTGCAGGTGATTATTCTGATCGGGTCCAAACGCTTCTCCGGAATTTGCTCTGATGACACAGGAAACACGCGTGTCGCTCGTAAGAAAATTCAAAAGAAATATCCTTGGATTCTGAACACACCGGATCCATGTCACCGGATGAACTTGCTTGTGAAGGACATTTGCACGATCCCCTTCTTCCAGCCTGTAATTATGTATCCAGTTATTTGTTCTGAACTCACACAAACATGAATGTAGGCTATCAAGACAACTCGCCGTGTTATCAAATTCTTCAAAAAATCAACGCACGCAAATTCACACCTACGAAGTGCACGCAAAACATTCAAGGTGACTCGTGGTTTGGTGTCCATTGGGAAAACTCGTTTCGGGACCATGTACTTCTCGGGTGCATCAGTGCAGCGTTGCCTGCCTGCCATTCGAGACTTATGTGGGAATGGAACTGTAACAATCCCAGTACGATATTGACTTGTGTGATATCACTAACACTCACTGATACTTTATTAGGACGTCAATGAATCATTCATGCCTGACACAGCAGAAACTTTGTCTTTCCAGCTCTTGCTCTCACAGCTCCTTGCCGTTATAGGCCCCCCTGCCAAGGCAATCAAGTGCATGGAGTCGTCGTTTGCAAATGCCGCCGATGTATACGAGTTTTGGCTAGCAGTCCAGGCCGCATTTGAAGAAGTCAGCAAGAAAAATACTGTGAAGCTACCTGTTGCCGTCCTTGAGAAGATTCGCCGTCTTTGTAATTATCGCTTCAACCAAACTATCAACGAGGCTCCATCGGATATATTTGTTACTGCATTTTTCCTCGTTCCTGGTGAGTTTCGAGGAAAATTCATGTTTCGTGCAACTTGTGACACTCCGACAGCCAATAGGAATGCTGACATCCTCAAACATATCAACCCTCTCTCCATCGTACCTATTACGATCCACCGTGACACCATTTCAGGTCTTGTGGCATCCACGTCTGTCAATGCTAACACGAACCAAACACTTTTACGGATTGGCAAATTCCTCGTTTCACAACTTCGATTTGAGTACGAGTCCAAGGATGACAGCCCTATACATGGCCTTGATGCTGGCCTTGCTCTCGCAAAACTGAACGAACAAATTGTTGCTTATGCCAAGGGAGCCTGGCCATTCAACCGCACGTTTACAGACAAGGCAAATGTGGTGAAGTATTGGCGCGATTTCTTAGACCATGACAATGCAGATGTTCTCGCGGTACTGTGCAATCTAGTATCTGACTGGTGTCTGTCTTGCTTACTCACAACTCGCATTCGCAGCACTTCGCAGTGAAGATTTTCGATGTCACTGTCAATTCGATGGCGGACGAGCGTACAGCGTCAACGATGAATTGGTTGAACTCCGCATTACGCAGCTCCCTCAAAAGTTCTACCATTGTCAGTCAGGTTCAAGTTCGGCAGTGGGCTTTGATGGATCCTGAACGTGTTCGTGCTGTCCCATCTTTTCTTCCTCTGCCTTCTCACTGTCCTGTCCCGTAGACCAAAAGGCCTCCCTCAAAACCAACAGTTAAGTTTCGTGACCTGGAAAGTACTCTTTTCAATGTCGATCTCGATAGCAACGGTCAGAAAAGGAAACACGACAACTCCGAGTCGCAAGCAGAGGCTAACCCGGAGCCGCAGGACTCTAATTCAGACTCAGAGGACAATTGGTTGGAGGAGAGCGAGGACCCGGAGATTGAGCGTGATCCAATGTACTGGTCTTGTGATACGAGAGTACTTGTGGGTAGCGAGGATGCTCATCTTGATGCTCCTCGATTGTTGGACTTACTATCAGAGAAGCCGGTGGAAGGGGCAAGCAGGACACCTCAACTACAGGATAGCACAGTTCCAACGCCTCCGGGAGGGCCTGTACAGTGGGCATTTGCATTACCGTAGCGAAAAAATGTCAAAATGACCTGAAAAAATGCATTTTTTGAGTCTGTCAAAAACTGGTCAAAAACTAGTTTTTAACTCGTGTCAAAAACCCCTTGAGGGTGGGGGTGAGTTAAAAACTCGTCGTTAACTCTGTGGGTAGTTTTTCACGGAGCCCTACTGAGCGTTAGCGTAATCTTCCTTTCATTCGTTTTTCGACCTACCAGGCCTGCGACATCGAGCTAGGCATCCTTCAAACTCTCTCGCTTGTTATCCTTCTCGTTCCCTTCTCCCACCTGCCACTCCCTCTTATTTAGCTTTTCGAACTGTTATTGCGTTGCATTCCAGTGTTATCGTGATTGTTAGAAATTAGAATGTATAAAGATGCTTATTTTGATTTGCGGCATTGCGCCGCACAAGCGTCAGCGCACGACCGAATTCGTAAGCATGTCTCCTGTCCTCCCAGCGGCTCCACCTGCTTGCATCCCTCCCCGAGCTAACGCTCAGACCAGCCCACAATAAGGTCGTTCCTCCGACTCTTCCTGAACCAGACGAAGCTGGATTAGCTTAGTACCAGCTAAGACTATTGACTCTGCAAACCGGACTCGGATGGTCGAGGACACCACATAATTGTGACATTCTTTGGGCTTACAAGTTAACCTATTAGTACGTGTCAGTCTCATACACAGCGCCAGCATACACACCTGCCTCGTCCATAAACAGAAAGATGCACATGACGAAACACGTCCAACATAGGGTCAATGACCTCAACGGACTTAATCTGATGCAAAAAAAAAAGTTAGCCTAGTCTACGAGATTTTGGATGGCTGCGGAAGATATGACGTAGTCAAAGACTCGATCCATGAGAGCATGATGCCACACAGGAACTTAGTGTTGCACGGCTGAAGTCTTCCACAGGTCGCACCGTACTCGTTGAGCTGATCAGCCTTGCTTCCGAATGGTGCTGAACATGATCGTGAGTGAGAAATACAACTGTAGAAATTAGGACACTCACAGGCTAACCCGGCTGGTACTCCGCCCCCGTTTCACGAGGGAACTGGCAGTACCGATTCAGCGACGATGGTTAAGCCTCTCTTGAAGTTGGAGCTCAGTAAAATGACTAGGAGGCTAAGAATCCCAGACGGCCTTCAGTTAGTTGTTCCTTTCGCGAGAGTGCAAAGTGGGAATGAGACTAGTGACATTGATTCTGCCACAAGACCTAGAAAGTATGACAGACGCAGTGTGCCACAGTCCAGCTGGACAGTTCCTTTCGTGTGTACGATCGGTGATATGGGTGGAAACCTCGACGAGCCTGACTAGTGTCAGTTTGTCAATTATGGCCTCTCGGAACTTCACGATCTCGAAAGTAAAGTTGGCGTAGTGGTGACAAGCAACGACATGAGGATGGATTGGGTTCTCTCGACTGTAGGATGATATTTCATGCGAGAATGTAAAGAACGGGTGATCTGGCGGCACAAAAGCGTATTGAAGGGTATATTGACTCTTCGTGCTGGAAGTACTACATGGCTAAGTAAACGAGGAGCGGACACTAGTTCATTAAGCTCCAGGTTAGCCCACAAATAATTCCGCAAACCTCGGAGTTGTGCGGCGATGAAATAGGGTTTAGGTTTGGGGGTAGTCCTGAAGAAGGGGCGGGATGCGCGTCGACGCTTCCAGGGTTGATGACGAGGCACGGCGATGGATTGGTGCGCTGTTCTGCTTTACCTTCGTTTCTGTATTCATCTGTACCTCCGCCCGGCGTACTGCACGGACAAGTGATGGTTTCCTCTCCAGCTAACATGTTCCCTTCATCGGTGCATTTAGCGATAGAATCGTCAAGCAAGCTCCAGATTCTTTTGCATTGATGTCCTACCTCCGATGCATGTTCTTCCCTGAGAGGGATCAAAACATCTGAGCGCCGCTCGAGAGAACGATGGAAAGACAACGAAGCAGATGGCGCATTGGCTGCCAGTGGAAGGCTCGACAACTGCGAAAGGAGGACAGGCGTACCATCACCACTACCACTCTCATCACGGGCATCTCGGTGTCCTAGTGGATGAGGTAAATACTGAGGAGGGACATCGTTTTTCCATGCAATTGCGCCAGCGTGATGCTTGTTTCTCGATGGAGTGGGTCGGGAGAGATAAGCATGGAGTGATGCTAGTAAAGTGCGGTTTCGAGGGGGACGACCGGGCGTGCTTGGGGGTTTACGCGACGTAGGAGCTACAGGCTCTGGATTGACGTCCATCCTATCAGCAACATCTACTAGAACACAAGCAGGTGCGGGGGAACAAGGGAGGGTCTAAGACCGGACTCTACAGGCGTATTGAACTTCCGATTTCTGGGGGTATGTAATTTGCTGTCTCGAGTCTTTGGATTTGATAACAGCGTTCGGCACAAGTTCTCCTGAAATGCGTGGCAGCGTGCTACTCGAGGGATATTCACTCTTGCCCCGAAGAGGTGTGCTATGACCTTCTGGTTCTTTTCCTTTTGCCTGCGTAGAATTCGTTAACTGCTCCTAAGTGTTGTCAAGGTGACTTTGTCGGTCATTCGATGTATCAGGTATATCTCGACGCTCGCTGACCACGCTATGAGTTCGTCGATGGTTCCTGCGATCTTGGGAAAGATGGTCTATGGAGGTAGGTCGTGGGAGGAGTTCTTCTGTGCTCTGTCCGCAGGGTTGGGGAAGGAGGTCGAGATAACGGAGATCGAGATCGGAACCGGTGATGAGGCGACCGGGATCGAGAACGGGAATTATAACACCACCGATTCGCTCTTTCCCGCTTATGGGGCGGAGGATCTGGGGAGGTATCATACTGCCCAAATTCAGCACGGATCCCCGAGTTTGTTCAGAGAAAGTGTGACACCTGCACCAAATTGTCATAAATCGATAAATCGCGGCCACTCCGCATATAACAGTATATTTCTAGGGGAAAGTCTATGAGAAAGACAGAACAGGGTTATATATGGACGAAAAGAAACTACTGACCATGTGCAACAGTTCGGCGTTTGGGTGCCTCCGACCCTCGATATAAAAAGTATCTAGGTCTAGGAACTCGGAGAGAAGTTTGACAGCAGATTCAGCTCGTATGTCTATTGAATTCATGAGAGAAATGATAGACGTCGTGAGGAACTAGAACATATGTCAGCGATGCGAGTAAGGCGCAGAGTAGCACATAAGCGAATACAATAACGCGTACCTCAACATCAAGATTTTGCCAGACGCGCAGTTCAGGACGGAGAAAGATAGTTGGCTGACATGTCATATCTGGAGATGTTGCAAACTTGGCTGGACTGAGGTAAGGATGTCAGATGATACCGGGTGCTGGGCGAGATGAGACGCATGTGTAAATGCAAGAAGCACCGTGACATACCTTTGCATAAAGATGTCTTTGGTACACCCAACGTCTTCTGGCGATTGCTCGTTCAAGTTCGTCAGCGTCCTGGTCATGACGATCCCTGGGGCCCCAGTAGCGATTCCTATGTACCCGTACCCAACATTCCCCCGTTGGCAATGACTGCGGTGACGAAGAGCGTGGTGGAGGCAAATAATGTTGTTGGTTGTCGAACTGCAAGCATATACGGTGTATGACATATTCACTAATGCAACAACATTTGTGTGAACTGCTAATGTTGCTCTGGATTTACAGGCATCAATGGTCATGTATTCCCAACCAAAAATTCTCGCCATATTATTTAGGAGGAGCGAAACTGCATTCTACTCGGCTACGATATCAAAGAATCATCCATTCACTCATGTTTGCAATATTGCTCTACACGTATACATGTAGAAAATGGAAGTCGTTGACTAGGGTCCGCCGTTCGATTTTCAGGATGTTGTCACAGTTCTACAGCAAAGGTTGAACCGAGATCCTATAGTAATATGCGTTCATTTCATTAACCTCCTCCTTGAGCTTCTTGAACTCCTCCTTGAACTCCCTGAACTCCTTGAACTCCTCCCTGAACTCCCTGAATTCCTGCTTCAACTCCTCGTGCTCCCGCTTTATCTCCTTGTTTGCCTGAAACAATATTCAGCCACTCATATTGGCGTCACGGTAATATTGAGAATGGCACACCGCTTCCATTTTGGCCTCCCGAGCTACTACACGCATCATACGACTCGGTTCAACAGTAGCGGCCGACATGGTGTGTGTGTGTGTGTGTGTTCAGAAGTCTGCACAGATGTGTCTGCGAGTATTGTGATAATTAAGATGGAACGTGCAGCAAATGGACGGGCAAGTCTGTCACAGAGGGGGTATTGTCGTGGCCGAGCTTTGTCAGAACGTCCGCCACAAAATCGGTGTGACGAAATAGATGTAATTCAGGGGCTGTGACGCGTGTGATGAAGCCATAGAGCTAAGTTATCCTGTCACTTGCATCTTCTACCCCTCATTGATTCTAATCGGCTCGTGCTTCTCAACAATATTGCTGCCGGCCTTCATCGCAGTTTCGAGCAGCGAGGTGTTCCGTCTGACCTTGATGAAGCCATTGAAAACAATCGGGCTGCACTACTGCTCTGCCCACCTGATCATTCTGATCGAATCCGACCTCTTAACAACATTGCAGACGGCCTTCGAGACAGGTTCCGGCATCGGGGCGTCCTATCTGACCTTGATGAGGCCATTAACCTCAGTCGGGCTACACTACCACTCTGTCCACCCAGTCATCCTGATCGATGCATGTCTCTTAACAATCTCGCCCTTAGCCTCCAAGAAAAATTCAAGCAGCGAGGCGTCCCATCTGACCTTGATGAGGCCATCGAGTGCGATCGAGTTGCACTACTCATCCGTCCACCAAATCATCCTGCTCGTTTTGATTCTCTCACCAATCTTTCCCTCGGCCTTCGAGATAGATTCGAACAGCGGGGCGTCCCATCTGACCTCGATGAGGCCATTGAGCTCAGTAGGGCTGCACCATTACTTTGCCCGCCCGGTCATCCTGATCGATCCATGTTTCTTCTCAATCTTGCCTTGAGCCTTGAAGAAAGATTCCGGCAGCGGGGCATCCCATCCGACCTTGATGAGGCTATCGAGCATAATCGGGCTGCACTACTCCTCCGTCCACCCGGCCATCCTGAACGATCCTCGTCTCTCAACAATCTTTCCCTCAGCCTTGGAGAAAGATTCACGCAGCGGAATGTCCCATCTGACCTCGATGAGGCAATTGAACATAATCGGGCTGCACTACTCCTCCGCCCCCACGGACATTCAAATCGATCCATGTCTCTTAATAATCTTGCTACCAGCCTTCAAGACAGATTTCGGCAGCATAGGATCATGTCTGACCTTGATGAGGCCATCGAGCTTCATCGGGCTGCATTACTCCTCCATCCTGCTGGCAATCCAGGTCGACCCATGTCTCTGAACAATCTTGCTACCAGCCTTCGAGACAGATTCTTGCAGCGAAACATGATGTATGACCTTGATGAGGCCATCGAGCTCAAGCGGGCTGCATTACTCCTCTATTCCCCCGGTCATTCAGATCGATCCTCGTCTCTGAGCAATCTTGCACTCAGCCTTCAACACAGATTCCGGCAACGGGGCGTTCAGTCTGACTATGATGAAGCATTTAGCTTGTACTCTTAACTCTCCCACCTATCCCATGCAGCATCTCGCACACATCTTTTCGCTGCCAAGTCATGGGCAGCCTTCGCCCATGTCCTTAATCACCCGTCTGTGTTGCTTGCTTATCAGGTTGCGCTCAAATTATTAGACCAGCGAGTTGCTCTCCTGTCGTCTTCTTCTCATCACTTCGACGTCATCAGGGAAGCTGTTTCTTCCCTCGCCACGGATGCTTTTTCGTGCAGTGTTCGTCATGGTGCGCTGACGACTGCGGTGGAGCTGGTGGAGCAAGGTCGTGCAGTATTCTGGAACCAGTTGGCACGCTTCAGCACACCACTCGATGAACTTTCTGTTTCAGGTGACACCGGCGCGGCCCTGGCAGAAGAGTTCAAACGGCTGAGTTTTCGTTTTCGCAGCGCATTCGATCAGTCTGCCGAAACCCACTCTCCGCAAATCTGGCAACTGACCATGCAATGGGATGAAGTTGTCTCACGCATTCGCATGCTCCCCGACTTTTCACGTTTTCTCCTGCCTCCACTATTTTCTGACCTCCAGAAGGCAGCTGAAGATGGTCCAGTGATCATCCTCAATGCTAGTCAGCACAGCTGCGATGCCTTGATTATCCATAGAGTGGAAGATCCTGTTCATGTTCCGCTTGACATTACACAAGCCGAAGTGTCCGAGTTCTCCTCCGAGTTCCAGTTACTCGCAGAACAGTTTGGGTCTTCTGATTGTCAACTCAAGCTTGTCAGCATCCTTCGCAAGCTTTGGAATGATATCGTTGACCCGGTGGTCCAAGCTCTTAGGGAGTCAAATGTTTGCCCCGGTTCGCGTATCTGGTGGTGTCCCACTGCTGAATTCACGCTGCTTCCTCTCCATGCAGCAGGACCATACGAGAAGAAGAAAAATAATTTGTCTGACATCTACATCTCCTCTTACACCCCCACTTTGGCGACTCTCATTCGTGCGAGACAGCAGGTTTCTCGAGATGCGTCCTCGCAACATTTTGTTGCCATCGGTCAAGGCAACCCGGTCAAAGGGAAGGAGCTCGAATGTGTTGCTCCTGAACTAGCCGTCGTCGCTCAGCACGTTGCGCCCATCGTGTCCTTCACGCTCTTCGAGGAGGGCAACGCAACAGTCGAGGGTGCACTCAATGCACTCAATCATTATCAGTGGCTCCATCTCGCTTGCCATGGGATGCCGCACCGGACACAACCATTCCAGTCTTCCTTCGCCATGCGCGACGGGCCATTGATGATCAAGGATATCATCCGATCAGACTGGCAGAATCGAGAGTTTGCATTCTTATCGGCTTGCCACACTACTGTGGGCGATGAGAAGAGTCCCGACGAGTCGATTCATATTGCTGCGGCTATGCAATTCTGCGGATTTCGCAGTGTCATAGGTTCGATGTGGTCTGTCGATGATGATGTTGCGCGCCAGTTTGTGTCTGCTTTTTATGGCCACCTGGTTGATGGTTCAGGGAGCTTGAACTGCACGCGGGCTGCAATAGCGTTGCACAAGGCCGTGAAATCGTTACGCAAGATCAACATTCCATTAGAACAACAAATTGTATTTGTTCACATAGGTATCTAGCTTCATACCTATTCCCGCATTTCATTCAGTAATCTTGTCTGTTACTTTCATCTCCTCGCTGTCCCATTCCATCGTTTATGTAACTGCATTGTTTTTGGATCATCACTAGCTTTGTTTTTGTATATCGCATACTACTGTTGGCTGAATTAGATCTACTCATACATCAATCGCGTCTGCAGCATGTTCAGTGCGTGGTAAGCCCGGGATGGTACATGGATCAAAAGTGGAAACGTAGAAGATAACAAGCCCTGCAGTCTCCTGGCCCGGTGAATGATCATGACTTAAAAAAGGAAGGCGTGACACCCTTAGCGGTAGAAGAGAGAACAGCAGACGGAAAAATAAAAACCAGAGAAACAAGGAAGATACTCAGCGACCGTTGGGGAAGTAGTAGCCACAGTGTGAAGAGGAGGTCTCACTCTACTGAATCTGACCGCATCTCACTTTTAGCACCATCGACTAGTCATGAGTCTAACCATCAGTCCTGGTCATCCGCTTGGTATCAAGCTTCTAATAAGTATATAATTGCTCACTAGAACAGCAACAACGCGCTCATCGGACTACTTGAACGAACGCAGTTCGGTGCCCATCTCGGCAGCACAAGAGAACTTCTGCAGATGGCGTTGCAGATTCACATCTAGGAGCTGTTCACCCATTTTCTTGTGACACTAGAAAACAAAATAAACAAAATTTTCGTCATGGCCGCTTGAAAAGACGGCGGCTTCGCGTACAAATGTTCACATCTGCGCAGAGGAGGCCTGATTGACCAAGGGCCGATTCCAGACAGATGAAGAAGCGACTCATTGCTTTGACATTCAATGTGAGCACTGAGGAAGATGGGTCGTGCGTGATATGGTAAGGAACCAGCGACCTTAGGAGCTGTGATACCGACTGTGCTGCGGAGGGTGTTCATTAGCTGAGTGTATCTCAGCTATTTCCATCAACTCACACGGGCAATCATATGGATGTTGAGCGTCGAATGGAGGATTCCGTTTTGCTCGTCACGTATTTGGCAAATCGTGCGTGGCCTGCATCTGTGTCTTGAGCGATCTTGCAGTCTACGAGGGACTAGAGCTGGATTTTGTCAGCAAAAGAGAGACTAGCTCAGACAGTGCGTCGTCCTGATGGTCGCAAGGGTGGACACCACGCACAGGTGGGAAGGATAATCTTTCGACATGTTAGTAGATGTGTATAAATGAGAAGCAGGTTACTCACCGAATGGCTCAGATCACCATAATCGAGCAGCTCACCTCATGATGTTTAAAGTTTCCTGATGGCCTCGATTAATAGGAGAAGTGCTAAATATAAGTAGACGGTCAGTACCGGTCAGTCTTCAGCAAAAGTGGTCCACCAAAGGAACACACGAGTCTCACTGGCAGAGCTGAGAGTATTGCTCAAAACAAGCACAGCCACCCGATTCGGTCCGATAACCGATATGGGTTTCTCACCAATTGAGAACTTGGTCTTGAAGCTTTGAAGGACAAGCATGTCGTCGAAGATCACTCAATGGTATGTTTTCTTATTAATATCGCTCAACCGGCCCCACTGAGTAATTCTGTCAAAGATCATTCAAATACGAACACTGTTCCTTGCTATGACACCCACGTTATTTGACGACTCCACCATGTCCACCGTTCTCTCTGACCCTTTCCTCCTATTAGTCGGAAAGTCCATCAGCTTTGTCTGACTTGGACATTGTCACCGTCCTCAAGGTTTCGTTCGTCATTAACTTTGGCTTGGTGAGCTACAGTTGACCTACCTCGAGTCATTAGTTAATGCTATCTTAGTGCTGGGTATATCTATAACTTTGGGGACATCGATACTTCGACTTTGAACAATCATGGATACCGACGATAGCCGGTCCAAAGGGACGGAGACGCGACTTTTGTTACGACGTGGCTGGAACGTCCTAGGCCTATAGCTTTTGTCATTCGTAACCCACCGGTGATTACTAAAACGTTGGAGAACAACCCGTGAGGCTTAGTTTGTGAGTACTCTCGTGCTTGAAGTTATATTCTTTCACTCAGGCCTTTGTTCAGTGCTCTGCTGTATACATGCCTGAGCTATGTATATGATTATAGTCGATCTTGCTCGTATTCTTGTACAGTTTTCTTTATAATACTGATATTCAATCTTATCCCAGAGGATTTACCATGATACAGCGTGATGGCGTCTATGAGTTACGATCAGTGCCGAATGAATAAGCAGATACATACGCCATGGGGGCTGCATGCAGGGTAGTTCACGGGTAACACCACTCGCTGAATCATATGCTACAGCTGCGCTTAACGATTTAGAACTGTGACGATGCAGGAGTAAATCACATTTATTCAACGGGATGCGATGTGACACTAGTACAGTACAGTACAACAAAGTATACGTATCACGCAGAAATAAGTAAGCAACACAGCGAGCGAAAACAACTAGAGATAAAGCAAATGGAATAATATATAGCGAATCGAGTCTAACTACACACCTATGTGAACAAATACAATCTGCTGCTCTAACGGAATCTTCTTGCGCAACGATTTCACGGACTTGTGTAGCGCTACTGCAGCCCGTGTGCAGTCCAATCTTTTTGAATCATCAATGAAGTTGCCGTAAAAAGCGGACACGACCTAGCGTGCAACCTCGTCGTCAACAGACCACATGGAACCGATCACACTGCGAAATCCGCAGAATTGTATAGCTGCAGCGAGATGGATTGACTCATCGGGACTCTTCTCATCGCCAACGGTAGTGTGGCAGGCCGATAAAAATGCGAACTGCGGGTCCTGCCAGTGGGATCGGATAATGTCCTTGATCATTAAAGGCCCGTCGCGCATGGCGAAAGAAGACTCAAACGGTTGTTTCCGATTCGGCATTCCATGGCAGGCAAGATGAAGCCACTGATTATGATCGAGTGCATTGAGTGCATTCTCGACTGTCGCGTTGGCATCCTCGAGGGATGTGAAGGAGACGATGGGAGCAACATGCTGAGCGACGGCGGCTAGCTCGGGAGCGACGCATTTGAGCTCACTGCCGTTCACCGGGTTGCCTTGACCGATAGCAACAAAATGTTGCGAGGACACATCTCGAGAAACCTGCCGTCTCGCACGAATGAGAGTCATCAAAGTGGGGGTGTAAGATGAGATGTAGATGTCAGACAAATTTTTCTTCTTCGGCTCGTATGGTCCTGCTGCATGGAGGGGAAGCAGCGTGAAATCCGCAGTGGGACACCACCATATACGCGAACCAGGGCAAACATTTGACTCCCTGAGAGCTTGGACAACGGGGCCAACAACATTATTCCAAAGCTTGCGAAGCATGCCGACAAGCTTGAGTTGATTATCAGAAGAACCAAACTGCTCTGTGAGTGTGTGGAAGTCGGAGGAGAATTCGGACACTTCAGCTTGTGTGATGTCAAGTGGAACATGAATAGGATCTTCCGCGTGACGGACGATCAATGCATCGCAGCCATATTGACTTGCATTAACGACGATGACTGGACCATCTTCAGCTGCCTTTTGAAGGTCAGAAAACAGTGGAGGCAGAAGAAAGCGTGAAAAGTCAGGGAGCATGCGGATGCGTGTGATGACATCATCCCATTGCATGGTCAGTTGACGGATTTGTGGAGACTGGTCTCTAGTCGACTGATCTAACGCGTTACGAAGGCAAAAGCTCAACCGTTTGAACTCTTCTGCCAAGGCCGTGCCGATGTCACCTGAACCAGAAAGTTCATCGAGCGGTGTGTTGAAGCGTGCCAACTGAGTCCAGAATACTGCACGACCTTGCTCCACCAGCTCCACGGCAGTCGTCAGCGCACCACGACGAACACTGCACGAAAAAGCATCTGTGGCGAGGGAAGAAACAGCCTCCCTGATGACGTCGAAGTGATGAGAAGAAGACGACAGGAGAGCAACTCGCTGGTCTAAGAATTTGAGCGCAACCTGATGAGCAAGCAATACAGACGGGTGATTGAGGACGTAGGCGGAGGCTGCCCATGACTTGGCAGCGAAAAGATGTGTGCGAGAGGCTGCATGGGCACCACTGAAAACCTCATATCGTGATATGTCCTTATTTAAGTTGCAATGCTGAATCATCATTCTTGCTGTCGGGATAGCATTAGATAGCCTGACATAGGTGATTCACCACCTGTGACTCCCACATAACGGCTGTAGTTACAGGTGATAATAAATAGGGTTCGCACCTGTAACACGAGGCAAATACAGTCAATCAGCGCCTCCTGCAATATCCCTCCAATAGCGAGGGACTTTTACATAGCGCTGTAGGACCCACAGGCTCATACCGGCACTAGGTGCCGCCGGCATAACGGCAAATGCCGTGACGTGTTGCTGACGTCGTTTAAGGTCCGAGCTCGCTGTGCGACACGATGAGCTACTACATTTCGATATCTCGCGCCCAGATGAACATATTGACGGCGGGTTTCCACGGCCCATGCGCGAGTGACCATTAACATACGTAGATCTGTCTTATGTGTCCATAGAATGTGTAAATTAAGCTATACTACTGCTCATCGGCGTGATCATGAAGTTCCAGTCGCGAGAGATCATCAGCAACACGGAGCACATCTTGCAAACTTCTGGATGCCTCCTCTTCCACCTCCTCTTCCTGCTCCTCCTCATCTAACTCATCCGGAGTATCCGGCGCCGCTGCAGGTCGTCTAATGTTATCAAAAGGTAAGTGTTCTACCAGCAATTGTGATGGGATCTGCGCGTTCGGTGTGCTGGAGCTTTCTCCGAGACCTGTATTAGTGCTTATACCTGGGGATATTGTCCCGGTGAAGCCAGGAAGTGTCGATATCTCATGGACCCGCTTTAGGTGGCGTGAGTTGAACCGTCCTCGGACATTTCGATGTATAGCGACTTGATGGGCAAGAGTTGGACTGACAGCCTTCAACTGATCCTCGCACGCCCGCAGGTATTTGTCTTCGTCTCGGATGTATGTCACTAGGCGCCGTACCTCCACGTTCAAGCGTTGAATTTCCTCCCGCGCCCGGCACATCTTGAAATACAGGTCCATCGCCCTGTGAGCAACAGGCGATGCCCAAGGCCGTTGAGACACGTCTGCACGTGTGTCGCGTAAGAGGTCAAAGTCGGCTAGAAACGCATACTCCACGACCTCGTCCCACTTAAGCGTTTTGCGGGGAGGGTGCATTGCCTCGGCGATGGCATTGTATGTGTTGAGGGCACTTCGGATGGCGATGGAGCGTGTTTGTAATGCCTTGGCGATGTGTTTACGTAGCTTGTAGCCTTGAGTGATATTAGAATCGACACGCAAGCAAGACATCGTCTAAACAAACTCACCTGTAGCTGCCCGGTTCATCCTCGTCAGTTCAAATATGCGCGCGACTATCAGTCCTTCGAGGCGATCTAATGCACGTTGGTACTTCCTATGAGCAACGAGCCTCCCCACCCTCTGCCAATCTGCATCCTCAGGGGTCCAGCGCATCGTGATCTCGAGTTTGCGTTCGAGTGCTTGAACAAGTTTTGAATTCCTCTCGTGGTCCTCGACAGTGTGACGTCGTGCAGTCTCCGCTTTGCGGGTATCTCGCATCTGAATGTCATATGACGCGGCCTCATGGTGAGAATAGACCTGAAAGGCTTCCATCGCAGCATTAAGAGCCTCTCTAAGCGAATGAAGTGTCAGTGAACACAAGACTCGTATACCTTGGAAGCTACACTCACTCGCTTGCGGTGAAATTTACCAACTTCTGCCAATACTCCATCTGCAAGGTCTCATCTTCGGGTTCTCGCGTTAGACCTTGGAGGTAGGTCTTCTCTTCCTCTAGCCAGCGCTCAAAAATGCTCTCATCCATGAGTCTCAGGTCTTGCATGAGCTTCGGTAGAGTTGTGTCGCCATCGTTCAAGATGTCCAGTGCTTGTTTGTAGTTAGAGTACAAAAAATTGGCTAATACGATGATTATGTCAGCTAACGTTCGATTTATGTACTAGTTATACTTACAAAGATTAGCGTAGACCTCAAAATCGTCGTTGTGCTCGAAATAACAGTCGATAGCCTGCTGCCGATGGAATACACTCGCATAGCGTAGCGCAGATGCCAGCGAATTCGATTTCGAGAACGTTCATTCACACGTTTCGAGATCCTCGAGGCCCAGACCCTTGATGTACGTTGTGAGTGAAAACAGCTGGCACAAGCGCCTGTGAGCATGTCCGTGGAAGGCGCCAACCAGGCAGGTGTGTTGAAGCGAGCGTGCGAGCGGTCCAAGGGAGCTGTTGTCGAGTGTCGTCTTAAACTGGCAACCAATGTCGTACCCACTTCCTAATTGTTTCCCGAATACGTCCAGCAACTTTGCAACGACAGCAAGGGGATACTTTGCACTATCCAAACACTCATTAATAGCTGAGAAAACGATAGGCACTACTTACAGTTCACCGCTCTGTACCATGTCCGCGACAAGTAACATAAATCCGTGACGGCAAACAGCCACGAATATACCTGTTTCGTCGTATATCCCCCACGCTTTCTTTGTTTTAGCGTCGTCCATATTTTTCCATCGTCCAGCGCAAGAGTCTTCAGTGGCTGCATCTTCCTCGTCACCTACAGCTGTTGTCGTTTCGGACTCTCGAGAATACCGGTCTACAAATGCACGAGGTAGGTACCGGTCACTCGTGAATTGTTGGCCCGTAGGAACTTCAGACGAGGGAGCGAGAGAGTCGTCGGTGTCATGGTCTAAAGACCTCCGCAGGACTCGTTTTAAAGAGTCGTTACCGTCCATAGAATATAATAATCTGAATGTTAGTGCTTCTTCGTCAGTGAGTTCATATGTGCATGTAGGGCACGCGTGTTTAAGGCGCCAGTCAGGTGAGTTGCGCTGAAGCGATTCGGCTACGATATCTGCCACAGAGCGTCGAATTTGAAGATATGTGTCGAACGCGATAGAAAATTGACGTGAGAGATGTCTATGAAATTCCACCTGCATATGATCAGCACAATAACTAGAGAAATTAAAATAGTTACCCCATGCAAGTCGCACACGGTTTTCACGAAAGCTTGAATAGACAAATGAGGACTTCTAAGATGCGCGACACGGTATAAGTCAAGAGCTTCTGTAGTGATTCCTACAGTTGGTGATATCGGCGAACACGGCATGACACCTTGACACACCATTGCAGAGCAGATGGTGGCGTCTATTGGTAAGATTCGAAGAGTCACTTTCGAAGCGTCTAATACAATGAGTCACGCCGACATCAATATTAAAAGTAAGCAAACAACAACAAGATCACTCACAGAACACGTCAATAACACTAATTGACCATTCACCATAGTCCGAGTTGCTCTCCAGCTCCTCATTCCGCAATCTCTCAAAAAAACTCTTGAACTCTTCCTTCGATTTTGCCAGGCTCCAGGCAAGGTAAGCGTCGATCATCGCAGGCATCTGCTCTGTAAACGCCTGGTTTCTGCGGAGGATGCGATCACGACGCGTGCGGTTATCCACGCGTCGAACACGATTGTTTCTGTTCACGAAGGTATGTGACTCACATATCAATAGTCAACACTCACCGACACTTACGTTTTCCAGAAGTCTCCCAACACCTCTCTTGCAAGGTCAGCAAATTCGCCACCAGCGTGACTGATGGCAATCGATTCAGTCCCATTCCAGACATCGCCGAAGCTATCATCGCAGCCTTCCTGCCAATCTTCAATGGTGGCATTTTTGTCCTCTTTGAGTGCTTCGAGAGCACGACGCTCATCCGAACTCATGGCTTTACAAGAGGTGAGTTTTTTTTTGTCGAGTATTTCAATTAAGATTAGATACCTTGCAGACGTGCTTTCCGTCGCTCATTGGACCTTGCTGCCTGCTCCACCAAGTCCCGGTGCTTGAGCACCTTCGATACACTGCTGTTGACCGGCAGCCCATTTTTATTCTTCGACGGTCCAATGTGCCGGATAGATCGCAGGGAGAGCTTACTTCGAATTCACTGGCGTCCTATGGTATTTCGCATTATCTACAGATTCTTCGTGTTAGTAAGGAATATCTTTTCGTTTCACGTGACTGATATGATCGGTAGTGTCGCAAAGGGTCCCTATACATCATCACATCTGCCATGTCCAGCCATCCATCAACTCGCTCTGACTCCCAAGCAGGTGATCACATTCAAGATCTACAGAATTTGCTCGATCGTATGAGCCTAGCAGGTAGGTATTTCTTCTAACATCCCCAAAATACTGTCTACTCACATCACTTATCATAGATTCATCGGTCGGTACTGTTACTTGGAAGCGCAAGACTACAGAAGAGTCTATCACGCTCTCAAGAACCTCGTGCGTGCAATCCACGCACAACACCATTCCCGATGGACGGATCGTGCCTCTTCCTACCACTTTGACAGCTCAAACACCCTCGCATCCGGTGTCAATCCCCTCCCATGTTCCGCTTGCTCCAACCCCAGACGAGATCCGCCCACCACAAGCTGGGCTCAAGCCCGAGGGCTTCTGGGTCATCATTGTTGGGCAAGAAGTCGGTGTATTTTATTGTTGGTCAGTGTTACACACTCTCTTTTACTTATAATCACAATGTTTATCTTAGGGCTGATGTTGCGGAACGAACAAATTTTGTTAGCGGGAGTATTCAGAAACGATACCCATCTTTCCAGCAAGCTCTTCACGCATACACCGTCAAGTATAACGAACGCAGCGTCCATGCAGTTCCGATTCCGGGTGGCCCATTCTGGCCTATGAACTTGCCTGTATCCCCAGCATCTCCCCCGCCCCCTGCATCTCCCACATTGTCTATAGACTCGGATGACTTGTGGTCGCAAGTAGAAGACCTGTCGGACACCATGAGTCAATATAAATTTGAATCTACGTAGTCTAGTTTGCGAATGGTACTTATAATTAGAGTAAAGAAATTGAATTTGCCTTACTCTTACTGTTGTGATGCGGCTGATAAAGATTATGTGTTGGCCATGTGAGAGTGAGAAGGAACTTGCGGTACTGGGAAGTGAGAGTGAGAAGGAACCTGCGGTACTGGGAACGGATCAGGAGTAGATGGCTCGTACTGTTATGATGCGGCTGATAAATATTATGTGTGGTGGCCATATGAGAGTGAGAAGGAACCTGCGGTACTGGGAAGTGAGAGTGAGAAGGAACCTGCGTGATTGGGAACGGATCAGAAGTATGTTGTTGTTGCTGCTGCCCTTAGAGGGGTATTCCGATTAGCAAGTGCATCACATTATGCAAACGAGTATCCTAAACATCATAAATGCTCTACACTACTCAACACACATTTTTCCAGCTTCGGCTTGATAATGTATATCGTGTTCAAGTGACTGAAGCATTCTGCGTCTTCAAATTTTTGCTATAGGGTGTTATTCACAGTCCCGAGCATCCGAGAATGAAAGTTCACTATAAGTTCACTATAAGTTCGCTATAAGTTCACCATAAGTTCGCCATAAGTTCGCCATAAGTTCGCCATAAGTTCGCTATTGTTCACTATTGTTCACTATAAGTTCGCTACGTGACTAGGCATTCACACTGTGTCTGATGTTGAGATGCTCGGAGCTACATTCACAATATGTATACTACTAGTTACAGACGGTGTCTACAACTAATTTGACTTCGAAAAATTTCACCTCTGATGTGACACTAACCAGTAAATCATATAGTAATATTGTATCGTACTTCAGGCGTTCCCTGCAATACGGGCAATGAGTGTGCACGACATCCTTGATACTTTCCAGCAGTGATCTACCCTCTGAAGCATGCTGTGCACACTGCTCGACAAATATAGCGTGCTCCCCCTTGCTCAGAGCGCGACGAAGTGCTTCATTGTATGCCTCATTCCACATTTCTTCAGACAGCCACTCCTTTCGCCACTGCCCGACGAGGATCTCAAGCGTTTGCAGTGACGGAGAGTCACAGGCACAGGGTAAATCGCTGTCCATTGTGAGGATAGATTCGTCAGGATCGAATGAACGATCATAACACGATTCTTCATCAATCGCTTGCAGCGAGGGAGAGTTGCGAGGAGAAGGCAGATTGGCGTCTGCGAGATAAGGTAGATCGTCATTCGCGAGCACGGCTTCGGTAGCATCACACTCGGAATCGTTACGGTCCAAGGTGAGCACGGCTTTGGTGGCGTCATACTGAGAATAATAGTCTTCATGGTCCGAGGCAGTGACAGGCGTGTCATGCGCTTCGCAAGATAGAACCCTTTTTTTCCTGTGCAAAAGTCGGTTAGTGAGTCTAGCACACTCCTATAGTTAGGCATTCTCACCTTGCCCTATTCCTAAAATAAATTATATAGCGCACATAAGACTTAGGAAATAGGTATGAACTCACTGAGCAACTCGAATGCGAGCCTTCTCGTTTCGAGCATCTCGCACTCTGCAGTGAGGGCAGGTAAACAGGATTCACCAGTGACTAAGGACGTTAAACTCACCCTGGCTTCGCAAGCCAGCGCTCTGTGGCTATCCGCTGCTTCGACGCGGGACTGCAGGATCTGCTCTTGCCTTGGCGAGCCTTGGAAAATATGTTAGATAGTCCAGCCTTTAACGTGAGTTTGAACTTACCATGTCGTTGAAAAAATGAAGGAAGGAGAGATGACCTGGGGTCATCCCTAGGTATATGGTCAAGATCATCAATAAAATGGTTGACAATGCTGCGAGATCTGATTGAAAGGCACGGAGTAGGATTCTGTAGGATTGCCGCTTGTGCGGTCATCTTGATTACTAATTCATCTAAATTAGGGAACCGTTGTAGACTGTTATAGGTCCAAGTATACTACCGCAGCAAAGACTTAACAGTTCTCATTGTCTGCAAGCAAGATGGTAATCTTCCTGGTCCCTCCCCTCCATTCTCACCAGCCCCAGAGTACGTCGTATAAGTACATGTCAGTCCTTCAATGGGGCAGGAAGCCCAGGCCCTGGCACCTCAGTGAAACAGTCGAGTGGTGGAGCGCACAGCGCGTTCCATTTCAACCCAGGAGGCACCCACTGCCTCTACTTGGCACGCAGCGCGTTCCATTTCAACCAGGGAGGAGAATCCTACCTCCACCAAGTGCACGGCGCATTCCATTTCAACCGAGGAGGATACCTCTGCCTCCACTGCATGCATGGCGTGTTCCATTTCAACCCAGAAGGCACCCACTGCCTCTACGTGGCGTGCGGCGCGTTCCATTTCAACCGGGAAGGTGAGTCTACGTCTGCTATAGGACGATAGACCCTTCGGCTTATGGAAGGTCTGTCCGCATCCCACATAGGACGATAGACCCTTCGGCTCATGGAAGGTCTGTCCGTATCCTCCATAGGACAATAGACCCTTTGGTTCTTGGAAGGTCTGGCCGCATCCTCCATAGGACGATAGACCCTTTGGTTCTTGGAAGGTCTGGCCGCATCCCACATAGGACGATAGACCCTTCGGCTCATGGAAGGTCTGTCCGCATCCTCCATAGGATGATAGACCCTTCATCTGTCTGCATCCTCCATAGGACGGTAGACCCTTCGGCTCATGGAAGGTCTGTCTGCATCCTCCATAGGACGATAGATCCTTCGGCTTGTGGTAGGTCTGATCAGTACCGATCTGCACTGCCTCTGAGATGCACATGTGACCTTAGCCGCGGTTTCAAATGAATATCAACCTCAAGATCTTACACTGATTCCACTGGATCTTTTCTCTCAGAAACCGGCTGGCAATGATAGGATTTTTGTGACGCGACACGCGTTGTTTATTTGCCATGGAGTCTGTTACAATAACATGTAACCGAGAAACCCCTCCTACGGAGGTCATCATGACCTTAGCCCCTATCCCACCATATGCACCGTCTTGGAAGACTTACCGACTCAACGGAGACTCGTAGAGACGCCTAGAACGGCCTGGATGCCGTTAGATGACCTAGACCAGCCTAGGCTACATCTGATCGGACCTAGATGGTCCTCGACCCGGATCATGAGGAAGCTCTGCCTCATGGTCAGAAGACAAGCCGCATGCCTCAGCATGCGCAGTTAGACTCAAAGGCATGCTACGCCTTGAGGACAGATAAGAGAGGCATGGTAAGCCTCATGTATAGATAATCAACCGCATGGCATCAGATAAGATGCCCTTGTATAGACACACTTACATCTACCTACCGAACGTAGTATTGGTCTGTGCACACGGACGACAGTATATAGAGCAGACAGAATCATGTATATTCCCTACTTGATTCTACTAGGTTTTCATCAGAACTTCCTCTGTGTGATCATCCCAATCACTCAGTCTAAGCCGCACCTTAAGGAAAGCCGACGCTACCTTAAGTGGAACCCCCGAACCTCTCATTCGAGAGAAGATCCCCGTCTCTCCAGTAGCGAGCCCGCTATCAGATTAGGCAATCCGCCTAGGGAGAGCTCGAACTATCCTAGTCCGTAACAGAGTCCATCACATGTCAATGCGCACATTTTTTATTGGTTTAAACTTCGCGTCTACACTTACAGAGTTTCTGCTCACAGTTTCAAATATGAGCTACCTATATTCAGCTGACGATTTTGATGCCAACGGCAACTTTATCTCAACCGGCCGGTTTTTGGATCTGCTAGCTAGAGGTGAAGATACGCCACCCAGTGGTGAAGGTGGTAGTCATATTCGCTTGATTAACAATATCAACTGGAACGATCCCTCGTTGTACACCATGCCGCTTACCGATGATGAAATTGCAGCTCTCACTCACGACATAGCGGCCACAAACCACCCCCTTCCAGAGTTGCCTCCCCCCACACATGTTGCTGGCGCGAGCACCTCCCCTGCTCACACGCCCTCACCTAAGCCCTCTGAAATCCATGATCAAGGCCCGGTAAGTCCCACCCAGTCAGAGGTGTCGGACACCAGTCGAGAGGTGCCAGAGTTACTCTAACGCGAAGCAAACACGTCCACATGGGCAGCACGAAACCCAACGCGAGCCACCATCCGTCCTCGGACACCGCCCCCTCGACTGACAGATGCCCAGAAGGCGTCTCGAAAGATCAAGAGAGACCAAACGACGGAGAAAAGGAAGCGCTTACATAATGCTGTCGCTGAATACCTGGAGGAACAACGAGTGAAGATCGAAGCGCTCTTGCGAGCTCATAGTGTGACTCCCAAGGCAATCAACGACATCATCGGGGGTCAGACACATTATCGCAATTCTCGCAAGATGCAGGTGAAAAACGCCCTTGTTCACGCTAAGTCAAAGGAGATGAATGCAGGTACGTAAAATACATATGTTTGATGGTACCGCAAAGCTTATATCATGTCAATTAGACCTACCTGTAGGGTCTCGATATTCGTTGGCAGAGCTCCGCGAAATGGTCGCAAGTGACCCCAAGATGAAAGACTTGACGAGGGAACAAGAGGCCGCCTACATTTCAGCACTCGACGAGCATCGTGAAAAAAAATCGGCTGGTGTTCGGTCGAACAATATAGCAGCTGCGCGTGATGTTGTAGCTACGACGGATAGGATTGTCAAAGAGGTGAGTTTGCCCGAACCTGGACTACAATGAACTCAACTCATACTTTACTCTCTCAAAGCTGGACGACCTGCGAGTTCGGACTGGCGTCTATGCAACGTTATTTGTCGTTCGCGGTCACATTAACGACACAGTTCAAAGTGCGATGCATGGGACCGATAACTCAGAAGACTTCTGGGAGGACGTATACGAGCATCCTATGGCTGATTTCCTCAGGCAATATGAGCAATGGGCGTGCACCCAGAATCAAAGTGCGCATTTCACATTTTTGTATACTACCAGCCTATTCAATATCCTGCAGATCTTAATGAACGGGACTCTTTGGAAATGGTACGGAAGCAGGTACGTAAAATGATTATCCGTGGTCTTGGTGAGTGAGATCTTGTTTTGTACGTGCTGTCCTCGATTAACGTCGTTTGTAGTCGAGGTGACCGGAAAAAAGGATATCGGGATGAATTATCATAACTATGAAACAGCCATTGTCGAGACATACGGGGTACGCCTGGTGGGGTGGCCCCATGGTGTTAATTTTATTAGCCCCTCGAACATCGGGACTGTGGGCGACATTCGCAAGCTGCGAGATGCACTGAAGGCCCGAACATGCTACTGGACTGTTCTCTCACCAGCGGAAATCAAAGCTCACACTGCCGAACTCGAAGCGCGCTGTTCAGCCGGAGATGTCGTTCGCAAGCCGCGAAAAAAGCGTTCGGATGCTGGGGTACCTCGGAAACGTAAAGCTGCAACTAGCACAGGTCCTAGTAAGGAGAACCAAAGGACGTTGAAAAGAGCAAAAAGGAATTCTGCCCAGCTTCCTCGAGGTCCAAAAAGTGCTGAGTTTGTCCAGTCGTCTGATGAAGAAGGGGGTGACGACGAGTAGTAGTAGTTTATATTACCTTAGTCTAGTCTACAGACCAATACAACTCAGTCGCGCATCTTAGTCATTGCCTGTGCACGGGCCGTCGAAACCCGTCGTCAATACGTTCATCTGGGCGCGAGATATCAAGATGTGGGAGCTCATCGTGTCACACAGCGAGCTCGGACCTTAAACGACGTCAGCAACACGTCACGGCATTTGCCGTTATGCCGGCGGCACCTAGTGCCGGTATGAGCTGTGGGTCCTACAGCGCTATGTAAAAGTCCCTTGCTATTGGAGGGATATTGCAGGAGGCGCTGATTGACTGTATTTGCCTCGTGTTACAGATGCGAACCCTATTTATTATCACCTGTAACTACAGCCGTTATGTGGGAGTCACAGGTGTGATTCACTGATGACACCAATGATTTTTCCCGTCGAGATATTACCATCTAAGATATACCCTTGTAACACAAACTCTAAATTCCGCCATCATTATGAAGCGCTACCACTTCTATCTTCAAGGACATTTAAATTGCAAAGCCGCATCATTTTGCCCGCTATTGAGATCGCATTGGATAGTCTGACAATGGTGGATTATCAATAACACCAATGAGAAACGTGGCCCTTCTCGTCGCAGGATTGCAATCCAAGAAATGCCCTTGTGACACAAGCTCCAGATCTGAATCATGATGGTGATATCGTATGTTCTTTGGGGTTCCATTAGTACCTTTAAAACAGAAGTACTAATAGCCTGAGTATATGTGATGTAACTTTCAATTCCGAAGTCATCAAAATTTGTATAGGTCCTCGTCGTCATCCGAGTCATCGCTGAGTCTGTCTGACTCCTCATCAACATCAATGTCTGCGTCCTCAGCACTGGCAGTACTGCTGTCCGAGTCCTCACTGCTATTGCCGTCACTTTCGCCATCTTCAAGTTCATCCTCAGCATCATCTTCCTCAATGTCTCTATCCTCAACATCATGTTCCGCCGGGTTGACATCATCTTCCTCATCAGGCAACTCATCTTCGTAACTAAGAGTGTCTTCTTGATATTCGCTGGAATGTTGCCTGATTGTTGAGGAGGTGTACTGGACCTCGTGTCCAACGCCAATCCCAACAAATCGTGCAAACATATCCCGATCTGCAAAGCTTCAATGCGAAGTGAGTGTAGGCTGTAGTATGATGATGGCCATTCCTCACATGTTTATATAAAAGAACGCCCAATCATCTGTTTCATGCTGGAATCTTGCGAGAGAAGTACCGTGTCTGAGTAGAGCATTTGAGCGCCCCTCTGAGAAGGCAGGAATAAGGTGGCAGCCACGAATGACGAGGGAAGGGTCGAGGAAGCCGAAAGCATTGTCATCAGTCTCAGGGACAAATCCGACCTTGGGAAGGCGTGCTTCCTTAAGGCCCCAGCGATAAGTAGGATCCACTCCATGTTACGGACTAGGATAGTTCGAGCTCTCCCTAGGCGGATTGCCTAATCTGATAGCGGGCTCGCTACTGGAGAGACGGGGATCTTCTCTCGAATGAGAGGTTCGGGGGTTCCACTTAAGGTAGCGTCGGCTTTCCTTAAGGTGCGGCTTAGACTGAGTGATTGGGATGATCACACAGAGGAAGTTCTGATGAAAACCTAGTAGAATCAAGTAGGGAATATACATGATTCTGTCTGCTCTATATACTGTCGTCCGTGTGCACAGACCAATACTACGTTCGGTAGGTAGATGTAAGTGTGTCTATACAAGGGCATCTTATCTGATGCCATGCGGTTGATTATCTATACATGAGGCTTACCATGCCTCTCTTATCTGTCCTCAAGGCGTAGCATGCCTTTGAGTCTAACTGCGCATGCTAAGGCATGCGGCTTCTCTTCTGACCATGAGGCAGAGCTTCCTCATGATCCGGGTCGAGGACCATCTAGGTCCGATCATATGTTGCCTAGGCTGGTCTAGGTCAACTAACGGCATCCAGGCCGTTCTAGGCGTCTCTACGAGTCTCTGTTGAGTCGGTAAGTCTTCCAAGACGGTGCATATGGTGGGATAGGGGCTAAGGTCATGATGACCTCCGTAGGAGGGGTTCTCGGTTACATGTTATTGTAACATTACCTCCGTTTCTGGGTCGAAGTCGCCGACTACGACAAAACTCTCTCCCAGGTTTCTTCGTCTGGAGTGGCAGTAGAACTGCGGGTATCAATGGGAGTGGGCGAGCGCGGTGCGGGGTGGTGCTTGATTAATTCTTCTAGCGCGACGTGGTTCTTCTCCCAATCTACG